CAAAACAGGGCAGTACTTTTTTCGGTAATTATTGTACATCCGAGCTTCCAAGGCGTACCATTCTCTAACAAATATTTCCAAAAAACGGACGTGAAGACGTGAACGTTTAGTGCAATTTCGTAGTGCTTTGCTAAAAAAACACCTTAGTACTGCATATTTGAGAAATTTAATTTTTCGTGGTGCAAACATTATATAAGTCAAATATTAACAACGCTCAAAACCACATTTGCCATTTGCTTATTTCCTTAATAAATTAATTTTTCTCAGTTAATAACACATACCCTCTTGCTGCTAGCACCTGAAACTCATGCATGCAAAACATTTGTATAAATATTAAATTATTACTAAAAATTAATTAATCTCCTTCAATGGATTATCTATAGCTTACACTTTGCTTGTGCATAATGGAACGGAACTTACATGTTTTTGTAACATTTTAATATAATTTAATTTAAATTTATTTATTTTTTTTTTGCAAAAAAAATTATCTCTACGCCAGTTAACACTACATTTTATTAATAGCACAAGCACATAAATATTATTTAATGCGGAAAATTGAATTAGTAAGCTAATAAAATCATAGCATTAACGCTAATATGAAACCCGTAGGATTAATGTCGCTTTTATTTAAGAATCTAGTAGTTGGAGGCTGAATAATGCCAAATGACACAAGTCACACTAGTTAAATTTTAATGTCATGCGATTTTTAATGTTTTGTGGTTAAGCTTGAATTATTTGAAAACACCTTTCAGTTACATAATTAATAGGTATTATAAATAAAATTCTATATATGTAGATATTAGCTGATTTAAAGTGACGAAGTGCATTCCATTGAATATTTAAATGCAATTATTAAATTATGCAAGGGGTTGGCAAAAGTAATTATCTTAGTATATTTCATATTTCATATCGATGGTAATTTGCACTCTAGTCTTGTCATAATTATAATTATTTATTACATCATTAAAGCGATATTTTTATAATAATTTGTGCTTATTGAAAAGTATATGTACACCTGTATTTTAGTGCCTAAATGTAGACTTCATGCCATATTATATTCTATTGTTGCCTACATTTAGGAGCAAATAAATGATAAAACTTTCTTGTATTTTACTTAGTCATGACTAAATCACTGGAAAAAAATATATTAAAATTAAAAAAAGATCTGACTTTTTTTTTTCTTGATGTCTCAAGATAATTCTAACTGTTAAATTGTATTTTTGCTTGTTGCATGATTACACACTTCAACTTTTTCTTCTAGCCATAATTACGCCAATATAATTGAATGAACTGATCAATTAAGAAAACAACTAAAAGTGTGTGAAAAAAATATATATATTTTTTTCTGTTACTATATATGTAAATATAGAAAAATATGTATAAAAAAATGCATTCATTGAACGGTAATTAATATGTTCGCTTAGTTACCGGAACTGCAATTGCAAATGTGCTGGGCGTGGCGTTGCGAATTGCACTATGTATGCAAAAAATAAAAATAAATTTCAAATAGAATTACTTTTACAACACACAGCAGCAGCGAAAAGTTGTCACACAAGCGCGGTAAAAGCTACAATCAAGTGCGCAATCAAGTGGCCAATATAAATTATCAATCATACACACTAGTATGCGTTGTTGTGCCGGCGGCTAAACGCTGTAGAGAGTTTATAGTGCCCCTCTAGGAAATCTTTGGAGGCTTCTCAGTTCAGCTTCTAGTGAGCGGCGAAAAGCGGAAATTACACTCGGAGAAACTACACAATAATGACTGATCCATCTGCTTCTTGCTGTAGAGGAGTAAAATATTCGGTTTCCATTTAATAAAAAATGGCGTTCAACGACACTAAAAAGACGAGACTAAAATATTCTTTCTTGTCACAATTTTGGACACAATAGTATCATGGATAGAGCAAGCCCTCTATCTTAAGCACTTGACTGTAGAAAAAATGTTCTACATGGAAACGGCGCAATCAATTCAACATTAGACAGAATGGAAGTTACGACTGTAGCTATTCTGTATTCGATGCCATTGTAGAAACAGAATGAGCGCAGAGGTAATAGCGGCTCTCCGCAAGCCGATGTCCTCTCATCTAATCTCTGGATATTAAACAGTTATGACTTGTTTAAAAAGCTGGAAAGTCTTGGCTTCAAGGTATAAACTTGTACGGATGGTGCTCGGAGGTTTCTGTAAGGCAGGCGGTCATTTACTCAGATAGTAAAGCAGATTTTATGGACTTGGGTTCACTCATGGTGGTGCGAAGCAATATTTGCCAGCACTGTCTACGGTCGGCTTATTTCATAACTAAAATCCTAAGGGTCACAGCGAAATTTTTTAAGCCATCAACATTTCATGACCTTGAACGTTTGAGGACCACCACTTTATTAATGTGTGATAAAGCGCCATTGGGTGCTCGTTTGTCAACATGCTATGAGCGCCTTGTACCAACTCGGCTATTGCTGGTCTAGTACAACCACTTACGCTGTTTTGGGATCCTTGCGAACTTAGGTGGATCGTTAAAAGTCAAGAAAGCCTCTTTCCATCTCAGTCCAAGCCAATCGCACATTGTGAGGATTTTTACATTTCCATACATTTTCTCATGCATAGTCCTTCGATTAAGTGGCTGATACTCAAATTCTCGCATTGCTTACGTTTAGAAACTTGCAGGAGCTAACAGACACTGACCTGCACTAAACGATTCACTGGATGACGAGGGGTCTAACGCTCTGGTGGGTTTTATAATTAGTCATAATTATTATAAATGAAATACTTTTCTTCCCAGGAAATGGACCAGGGACATGGAACCAAGTTTGATTTGCACGAAGTATAAATAACACTCCCTCTACCGGATAGGACTCGTCGACAAATCGACAAATATTACTCCAATTTAGATATAAGCATAGTTCATTAATAGGTATGTTCGCTTCTTACACCTTCAACTTAGCTGTGGAAAAGTTTAGATCCAACTCGTGCATTTGGCTTGCTTCGAGGCATTCATATTGACTTTTTCGTAAAAGACTTTGGGCAGCGAAGAATTGACAAGCAAATATTAATAGATTAAACATGTTTATAAATTTTTCGAATGCACACATATTTGAGAATTTTTTCCAAAAATCGGAAGCTTATCCGCCAAACAGTCTCGGAGATATGATGCTATCAAGGATCTCTCGCGGCGTTCAAAAATTGGCGAAGCGCAAGTCAGAGACATTTAACTTGTAAATTAATCGCAGAACTTTAAATGGGTTTTCCTAAAAACGCTGTTTTCAGACCTTCCAAGACATATGTGTTAGATAGTGGTCGAAGGAATAAAAGTTTTGACAATTATTTCGATTTCTTAAGCCACTTCGAAGTGTAGAATTTCTCACAAAAAATCATTTTTTTTTTTTTTTTGAAATTTTGAAGTCTCCATTTTGTCAAATTTTCACTATTCGTTCGTCCATTACCTGTCATCATCTATTATAATACTAAATTCCTTTTGTTTTTCGGGTTTTAGAAAATTTGAAGCAGTAACAACAACTTTCTTAGGAGACCCTTCGGGTGATTGGGTACAGAAACTAGAGAATCCAATATTTTTTAAAATGAATCGTTTATTGTTAAACTACATTAAATGCTGTCTGTTAACATTTCGTCTATTATATATACATATATATATATGGCACTTTGTTACAGCTGAAGCGAACCTCGGCCCAGCTCCTCCTTCAGATTGTGGTATTGCGTCTTCATGTTTTTCCAACATATGGAGGGACCTACTGTTTATACTAAGCCGCCTCCGAACGGCTAACGATTCTTTATTTCAGTTTTTTTTTTAATTAGTTTTCTATAACATCAGTATTTGAAGTCGAGCCTCCCGAACAGCAGTATGCAATGCTAACCACTCGGCTGCCGCGGTCGAATATGGAATAAAATGCCTCTAAAAAAATTAACAAAGAAAGCATTTAGATTTAACGCAAAGTAATGTAAAGTATTCTTCATCAGTTATTTTTTTCCAGTTTTTTTTTTTAATTTAAAGTTTTTAATAAACAATATGCATAATTTTTCCTACTGGGTACACTCAATATGACAAATTGTGTAAGGCCAGCTGCGACTACAATTATGCGATGGCGGAAGACTTTATTTACGAGTATTTACCTTATTTATTAAATGTTACTTTTTTCACAATTAAATTATGTGTGAAGGAATGTAAGGTTATGGTCATAGTTGTTGTTCTTGCTAATGCCACCGCTGCGCTGAACGTGAATGTGAATGTGACACTTGCTGTGCACATATGTACATGTGTATTTATATGCAAAAGAGAGGCGTTGACAAAGCTCCAACGATTGATTGCATTACATAAGAACCTTTTGTAATCATTGTTGTTGTATTAAGTGGTTGGCGTATTTTTATCAGCTGTCAGTTGATTTTGCTCTAATTCAGTTGTGTTTATAGGCGTGATGTTGGTGAGAACGCATGGGTGCGCATGCGCCGCACGTCACACAAACCGTGTGTTGTATACGTGTATATATGTATGTATGTATGTATGTACATATGTGTGTATGTAAGTAGGTAGGTTGTGTATTTAATTCTTCGATATTAATTTGCTTTTTCTATTTGCTTACTTATTAGCGTAGTAAGCCCACAAATAGTTACTTTTCTGCATCTCATTAGAAGCCGACAATACGGACGCAGTGATGTTAATATATTATATATGTATATATGTACATACATACATGTGTCAAGATATTTATCTGAGCACATATATACATTATTGGCATTCTATTAAATGAATTTATTTATAACTAATAATAAAAGAGCTATTAAGCTGATTTTTTTTTCGCTCATTTTCTTTTTGTGTACCTGCTATGAGTGATTGCGGTCATAAGAATTTTTAGTTTTTTTTCAACTAAATATGTACTTGTACATTCATATGTACATAGGTGTGTATGATGGTTGTCCACTCTCGCTTTCATTGCGACACTTGCACTTGGTGATCCGATTCAGTTTCCTATATGCGGCTATGAATATTCTTTTGTATAAAAATCGGTGCGATTGCCGTATTGAAATCAGAACGGAAAATTAGTCCAAACGGTCAAGTACAAATAATTTGCTTAGCAGCAATCAATTAGTCAAAACAAACAAAAACAAAACAATCAAAATGAAAGTAAGTGTGCAGAAAGGATTTGTAATTAAAATAAAAATTCTGTGTTTTAAAGAAAATTAACGGTGACTGGCTCAAAGGATCATGAAATAGCTTTTCAAGCTGATTTCAAAAAGCAGTAAATCAGTTAAAAAAAAGAACTTAAAAACTAAAAAAATATTTTTTATAAAAAAGTTTTTTTTTTTTAACTTTATAAAGTGAAAGCTATTAAAATAAACACGGCATAATTATTATACGGTACATTAAAACGTTTTTGGGGATCAATAAAAAATTTAATTTTCAAAAAAAAATTATTAAAAAAAATAATTTCATTTTTACTTTGTTGTAATCCTATTAAAAAATAAAAAAAAAAAATTGTAAATTTTTCATTCAAATTTAATTTTTTTCAAATTAGTCTCATATCATCAATAACTCCTTAATCCTCATTTGTTGTTTGTTAAACATTCTTGTAATCCAATCAAAAGACGCAAAAAAAATTAATTTTATTTCTTAATTTTTTTTTAAATTTTCCAAAAAAAATTTTATTTATTAATTTTGATTTTTTTGTATTTCAAATTTTTTTTGAAATTACGCTAAATTCATCGATAAAATAAATTTAAAAACCGTTAATTTATACAACCGTTTTAAACAATTTCGACCAAGAATTAAAATATTCCATAAAAAAATATTATAAATTAAAATTCAAGTTTTAAGTGAAAATTTAAATTTTTTCTAATTAATAAAGTTTTTAATGAAAATTCAAATTTTTAATACACCTTAAAGTTTTGAATTAATTTTAAAATTTTTAATACAAAAATATAAAAAAAATAAAAATTAAAATTTTAAATAAAAATAAATGTTTTGTATGAAAATTTGAATTTTGTATTAAATATTAAAGCTTTTACTGAAAACTAAAATCTTAAAAATAATATAAAGTTTTGAATAAAAAATTAAATTATTAATAAAAATTAATGTTTTGAATAAAAACCAATGTTAATATGTTAAATAAAAACTAAGTTTTTGAAAGAAAATTAAAATTTTGAATGAAAAAAAAATTTAATACAAATTAAAAGTTTAAAAAAAATTAAATTTTGAATGAAAGTTAGAGTTTTCAATGAAAATTAAAATTTTAAATTACACTATAATTTTGAATAAAAACTAAAGTTTTAAATGAAGATTAAAATTTTTTAATTAAATTAAAGCTTTGACTGAAAATTAATATTTTAAATATAACACAAAATTTTTAATAAAACGAAACATTTGAATAAGAATTAATATTATATATATAAATTAAAATCTTAAATTGAATTAAATATAGCTATTAATTTAACTTTTTAACTAATTAAAAATACAGACAGACAATAGAAATATCGAAAAAAGTTTTCTAGAAATTATAATTTTATTTTATTTGTATTTGAATCTAAAAAAATTTCAATTTAGTTCTTAAACAAAAAACAGATTGTAATTCAAAACATTTCTACATCTCAATACTAAAGCGTATTCTGACATTAGTCTTAATTTAAGCTCAAATTCAATTTGAGTTTTAATGAATTTAATATTTAACACGATTTTAAGCTTGTTGTTATTATATATAATTTTTAATCTCTCTCTCTCTCTCTCTCTCTCACTCTCTCTCTCTCTCCCTCTCTCCCTCTCTCTCTCTCTCTCTCGCGCACTCTCCACCAACAACCAGTTCGTATTCGCCGCCGTCTTCACTTTGGCTCTCGCCATGGGTGTACAATCATCCATTCTACCTCTGTTGCCCGGTATTACACAAATTTCTGGCAACGGTCTCTCCTACACTGCCGTCTCTGGACCATTGTCCGTTCCAATTGCCATTCCTCAGATACATGGCCCAGCTGCTGTCATCGCTGCCGCCTCACCACCAATCGTTCAAGCTGCTCCCGTCGCACACTCACCCGCTGTGGTGGTGGCTCATGGTGGTGTCGTGCCCGGTGGTGCTTATGTTGCTCAAACTCGTGGCGCTGTACACACTGCCCCTCTACCCGGACACATCTCCTCGGTTGCTAACGTAAATGTTGCTCCAGCTCCAGGCACTTGGTAAACATTGGTGACACACACATCACATCATTCTGCCTTCTGTCAATCCATACGAAATGCTAACTCTAAATGGACCTGATTGAGATATATGTATATACATAGTTGAGCTCAAAGCAACACATAATGTCAACGAACGCGTAAACAAAGACAAAAAGACGAAGAAGAAGAACTATTACATAGTAAATGTGCAATGAGAAATCATTTTGCTTGGATTCCATAATATTCATACTTCACAATAAAACAGCAACAGTAAAAGCAACAATGCAACGAACGTTTAACGAACATTTGTGTGTCAATTATATATGTACATACACACATACTCGTACATCAATTTCTCATTTCCATCATCACCAGCACCGCGACTCACACATACATACATACTTGTATTTTGTATTTTATTCCCCCTCACTCACTTCATTATCCCTATCCTATGGTGTATTCCTTCTTCTTTCGAAGCTTACTTTTGTAAAAAATGAATACTTCTTCTGCAAATGCTTGTAAAAAAGTATGGTTGTAACTAAATGAATAAAAGTGACGACTAAAAAACAAAAAAAAAAACGAAGGAGTTTGAATTTCTGAGTTAACATTAAGTGATGATACCCGCTGGGAGGCAGGTGCGTAAGTCTACGAAAGTGGGGAAGGTTTTTGATTATTCTATAATTGGTTCCAGCAACTTACGGTTTCCGGTCTTAGGCCAAGTATCCTCGAGTTGAGCAGAAGTAAGTAGGCGGACTTCTAGGACCCATCACAAAAAATCCGCTCCATTCAAAAAGTACAAAAATAAGCACCAGAGGGGTGACCTCCCTGTTGATAAGGACCGCTGCAAACACTTAGAGGATCAAAATTTGGTAGCGAGTAACTATATCATGAAATGGAAAGATGTGCTTGTAAAAATTAAAGCAGATATCAGCGACACAAATTTCTGTACCTGGAAGGCCTCCGATGGATCAACATCTCGGATGGATGAACGTCTCCTCACAATCCGCAACAAGTAAAATAACTCCAAGTTATCGATGAATTGCATCTACGACCGGTCGGAACAGAAGGTCGATATGACCTTAACCTCCTTAACGAAAATATGAGCGCGACTCCTATCACGATGGCAAAATCGTGTTTTTCTGCTTAACGCCAGGCATCTTCAGCAAGCCGTACCTAGCTGATCGACTTTCTCGAGATCACCCGCACTGGATTCTAGCAAAAGAGGACTCAGGTTCCATCAGAAAACTTCCTTAAATGAATTGAGGCTGACTGAAATGCTTGCCTGTAGCACAATAAGACTTATGACGTTGCTTGACTAACATCGGATCGAAAATTGCGCTCCGAGCACCTAACATCGATTCGAATCACTATTTTGCCGCAGCAAAATTACGCAGCCATCTCAGTGCGGCAAATAACGTACGTCAACAAACACAAGGCAGGTTAAATGTCGTAAAGCTAGAAGCACAGCTGCATCTTTGCTCTCCAGAGCAGACATCTTTATAATTCCACTTTGGGATGACTTTTCAAACTCTGCACCTACAGCCGCCAGTGGAACCAATACTTTGCGTTAAGGTCAGAAGAAGTGCTGGTACAATGAGGAATCTGAAACTGCATTTTCAGAGAAGAATTGCTGTCCATTTTGCGAAAACCTCTGCGGGTTGGAATAGATGATAAAAGGTGAGGAGGAATATAAGACGTATACTCGTAAATATTTGAAAACAGAAGAAGCAAGAACCCAAAATGAGTGAGTATGAAGCACTTGAAAAGATGTCCGACAATTGACATGCTCGAAAATTCTATGAAAGAATTGATGACTTATAAATGGTATCAAAACCACAGCATGCAGGTAGCAAGGAGTTAAACTGGTGAACGAGTGTTTTTTGGAGAGAACACTTCCTAAGCGGCTTGAACGGCAATAAAAGTGTACACCCGGAAATAATAAATTCCCAAACGATAATTATGGAATAGAAGTTCTATTACGCGACTATGACGATATTCGAATAACGATTGAGTTATGCAACTTTGGTATTGTCTGCAGAATACGGCCGGACAAAGGAATATTCTACTTGTGATAAGTCTTTTCTATAACTCAAGTGCATTGTGCGAAAAATTAAAGCCCATCATGGAATTGATTTGACACTATTGGTGTGGCTTAGACGTGGTTAATCTGCCATTGCCCAGTTATGCACCAGCTTTGCAAGTCGCTGCTCATTTACCTGAAAGATCTCGACATCTCATCTAAGTCTGCACAAGGAATTTTCAAGTGAAGGCTTAAGCGTTGGATTTATGATTGTTTGCAAGGCTGAGCTGTTCAAGATATAGGGTGACATTGACATTAAGAGATCTGTCTAACAGTACCCTAGTGTAGAACAGTAGCCTGCACTATATGACTATTAGATAATTGGTTTATGTACTCTAGTATATGTTTGTCTAATTGCTAACACCTTGAGGTCACTCATTTTCATTTAATCAACCCAAATTTATTTTTAGTGTATTATCTATATTTGGCGCGTAACTGTTGAAACAGTTTTCGGGCAAGCTTCTCCTGCAATTGGTGGTATGCGTCTTGATGTTTTTCCAACAAAAACTGCTTTCGAAGGGCTGCTGGATTTTTATGAAGACCTTTGGTTTTAGGGTCAAAAATATACTCGGTCGACTGGGCATCCCCGAACGCAATAAGAAAGGTTAGTTTTCCATAATTTTTGAATTTTTGCTTCAGCCATGAGTCGCACAATGGCACTGCTAACTGCTTGACTTTCCCGTACGCCGGCTTATATTTCTTCTAAAATTCCGACAACAATATCTCCTCCCATTTCTGTTGTTAAAAATAAATAATTTCAATTGAACATGAGAACATTTTAATCTCACAATTAAGAGCTGCCGCCGTGACAAAGTCCGAATCTAAGCTTGACATAACGAGGGCCATGCAAGTTCAAAATTAATTGGTTAATTAAAATCAAAGTAGAGAATTTTATTAAAATTACAGTACATATTATGTTTATAGGTATGTGTGAATTTATAGGGTGATTTTTTGGGAATAATGGCAAAAGGTTTTTTATATTTATATTATAATAAAAAAATGTATAAAAAAATTTTTTGGGCGTCAAACTATTTTAAAATGAAATGAAATATGGACAAAGGGCAAAGTAAACAAAATTTTATTTATTTAATTTAAATTAGAATAAAAGCTAATAATATAAAGAATGTATATAAATATGTATATATATAATTTTAATCTTCACAGAATAGCTCGTTTTATTTTCGTGAGATATACTGCACCTAAAATGATGCTTTATCTAAATCCTATTGTTTTTCCAAATTGCAGAAAAAATTCTTGTTGGATCCTGAGCGTATGTAACCACAATTTTGAAGCACAGTTTTAGGCGAACTGAATCTGAAAGTTAAGCCAAAAGTCCATTATTCGGACGTTTTAATTGTTATCAAAGAATTTATTTCGTTTTAAATTACTTATTTAATTATTTTTTTATTTTTTGAATACGCAGCACCCTGTATTCTGCATAAATACACACAACAAGCGCCGCCAAGTGCAATAAATGTAAATTGTAAATAATCAAATGACCCTCGAATGCATTGTAAGTGAGCCATTTAAACGGGTTTGCCACATTTAATTACCGTTTGTCGATCAGCCAGGTAATAATAAAATACAGAGCACGTAGTACGGCTAAACATATGGAACTAATCATTTTTTACAACAACTTACTGAGTACGAAACGCAGTAAATATTATGGACTTAGCGTAAATATGTAATAATAAAAGGTTAATAAAACGTCGTTTGTTAAACTTTCAAGTGATTGAAGTGATTTCAAGTTGTAAAGTTCGAATCAATAAATCGCAAATAAATAGATAAAAATAAAGTTTTACCTACATACATATATTCGTAAATAGAAACATTTTATTGATAGTCATTCAAACAAATATCTTTTCAATATTAAAATTCATATCAAACTGCAATTAAATACAAAATTAAAATTCTTGAAAAAGCTTCTAACTCCTTTTCACTTAGAAAAAAGCATTGAATTAAAATACCGGTTTTCACTAATATAAAGTAATTGCTTTTGAAAACTATGTACATATCTATAGAAAAAAATATGATAATTGATATCTACTTGTTGACTTAGTCAATAAACCCATCATACGAGTATTTATTTACTCATTGCTTTATCGCTGACGATACAAAGTTATTAAAATATTTATTCAACTCCTCGTGCTTTAGCGCATATTTACATTTCGGTTTAATATGGACCCGGTCGGAAATATTACATATTTTATTTATTTGTGTCAAATATGCATCGTTTTCTGCGACAATTTTTGCCCTGCCTTCCGTTAATCCTGGCGTGCAGATCGTTTATGCCTACTCACCGCCCTCCAACTAAGACCTTTTTCATTTGACGCTGCCGTAACTAGTCCACTTTTCATCACCAACCGCTTCAGTAATAGGCCGATTTTCTTACGATTCCGCAACGATTCGCAGATGGAAATTCGGGGTTTTCTCGTTAAGTCATGTGCCACTCATACATCGAGATTCTTTGTGTATCCAGCATTTTCACGTGATGCAAAACGGTTTTTCTGCCATGCTCGGCTGTTGGGGAATCGAAGTAGTGCTCATACGACGATCATACTCAATAATTTTATTTAGTTGTTTTTTGAAATTTTCGACAATTTATCTTCCGCACCGTGGATTACATTTCGCTAGACCAGAATAGTAGTCTTATTAACATAAACAACTTTTTTAATTTTTTAGTAAATCATAGTTTCAAAAAGGCAGTCGAATACAGCCGAGTCGACAATTGCATTCCAGTAGTTTCTTCTCTTCGCCATTCGGCGCCAAATGGGCAAAAGTGACCTAGGCGCTCTACAATTGATCATTCCGATAGAGTGGTGGTCATCCAGGGATTTCAATTATGTGAGTTGATGCTGATTCCAAGATATTCGGAATAATGGAGCTGGTCAGAGAAATCCTCAGATATTTTGACTTGGTAGTGTTGCGCAGCGTCAGTTTATACAGCCAGTCTGAGATATACTAATAAGGCTCAATTTATTCGCTGGTAATGGACTTTAATCTATCGAAAATATGTTCAATATATAATCTCACAATAATTGATGTAGCTTGGAAGCTCCCCCTTTATGTGGTTTGGGCAGAGGACACTTATGTAGATCTTCTCATTAGGCAACGAATTTGAAAATGAAAACGTTCTGGATCAGAGAGCCATAACCATCTTTATAGACGGTTCAAAACTTGGTTACAAAGTTGGGCTGTATAAGACACTCTCCGATACTATCAACCAATATGAGCAGCACATTATCACACCATTACAGTGTTTTCCCAGCAGAGCACTTTGCAATGATGGAATGACTGCTCAAACCAATATATTTTGACAGCCCAGCTATCATTTCATTTCTAAAGTGAAATAGTACTACATTAAGAGTGGTAATGAAATGTAAAAACACTCTGAACAAAGTATCGAATATATATAACATAGCCGTGATCTGGCTGTCCGGACACAGGGACATGCCAGGCATTTGCATGGCAGACGAGCTAAACAGAGTATGAATCCTAGCACACTTCTTAGCTTCTGTCGACGCAAGCCCTTGCTAAAGCAAGTATTTGCTGAATAAGCAAGCTTTAGATCATTGAATGAGATCACAGAAAGATTAAGGCATCTTATCCGTCCATACCGGACCCTATCAGCAAAACGACGGGTGTAATAACACAACATTGTTTCGTAGAGCTTTACGGGACAGGCACGATTAATTACTCTAATGTTTTTTTTCGCTGCAGCATGGTCGAAGAGGGTGAGACTCAAACACTACCTGTGCGAATGTCCAGCCTTGACAATTGTGCGACACAAGTTCCTCGGAAAACACTTTTTTGCATGTTTCGCTGAGTTGGTTCGCACATAAGAGAAAGTGATAGGAATCTCACAGTGTTAGTCACTGAAACTCATTAAACCCAAACGAACTTATTCCAGTCAGAGGTTAAGCTAATATAATCCACACTGCGAACTATCAACAGCTAACGAATCTTTTATCAATTGCTTAAGTTAAATCAAGCAATCTATTTCCTACTGACCTTCTTCTCCACTTACCTTACGAAGATGTTTTCCGTGCATTGCCTTTTGGATTCGCGCCTCTTCGCTATTTAAATCCGCAGTAGCTATCGCAAAAAAAGTAACTAAGCAAACAAATAAAGCAATGTAGATATAAATATGTATGTATGTTTGTATAAAATTTTACGAGCTGAACAATTTCTTTGTACTCTCGCAAAACTCTCGCGACAATGGAATTTCATGGATAGCGCAGAGAAATTGCAAACAAAGTATAAACAACAACCAATTCAATGCTTTCTGTACGGCAAAATACCGGTGCTCCAACAAATGTTTACACTCTTTTTTCCGCTGTGCTGAGCGAACGCCCGAGCGAGTCGTCTCTCCAATATCAGCAACCAAACAGCCAACCAACCAACAATGACAGCCACTGATAATAGAAGGTAAATGCCAACAACAATTATAAAGCAGTTAAAACAACAGCAACAACAGCATCAACATTTACAAGTATTTGGGAAAAATTGCAATGAAAACGAAATTGAAACGTCTCGCCGAAGCTTTTGTGGCAGAGTGTGTCGCAGCGAGTGTGGTGGCTATGTCGTCACTTTGGAGCTTCATTGCTTTGTTTCGTGCATCGCCAGAGGGTAGACAACGCAGGCGTCGTTATTGACGTCGGAGCGTTGCATTGATTAAATTGATTTGGGAGCAGAGCTAGTAAAGGAAAAGAAAAGTAAAAACAAAAACAACACTCAGTTGGTTGACAGCATTGGAGATTGTAGTTTTGCTGTCTAGCCCAAGTAAGCTAGACCCGGTTCGGCAGATGAGTGTTGTGTGCTGAACGGTGTTGTTGCTTGCTCGCCGCCTTTTACGGTCAGTAAATAATTGATTCGGTTGAAAGTGATTTTTTGCACGGTTTAAAGGATTTTTCTTTGGCTTATTTGGTTTTAGTGGCGGTGCATTGATTATTGTGTTGTTGTTATTTTTTGTGATTTGTCGACTTTTCTTTTGTTGTAGTTCCATGACTGGGCAAATCAAAAATAATTAATCACTGATATGGTTAACGGCTTAAGCAACAAAATGTAATAAAGCTTGCAGAAAAAGCAATAGCAACAAAAGAAATGTTGAAAGCAATATACATACATACCTATATATGTACATACATATGTGCATACACTCGTTTGAGCAAAACTTCTAGTTGGGGAGCAGCAGCAGCAGCGAATGCGAATCGTTAGCCGCCAGCAGAGTAGCGCAGTAGTTGTGAAACGGTGGGCGAGTGTGTAACAATTGAAAAACTCGCCAGAAGCGGTTTAGTGAAAAGTTAAGAAATAAATATAAAAAACACAATCAAAAAGTGCTAATAAAAATAAAAAATTCTTTATGAAAACCATGAAAACTTTTAACAGTTTTGTGTTAAAATTGCAACAGCTAAATTAAGAATAGTGATAAAACAGCCAGAAAAAGGTGTGAAAAAAGTGCATTATTAGTTCGACTCGTCGTCGCTGAGTTGCCGCAAGAGCCGAACCAAGTGGTTGTTGTCAGTGTTGTGCGACTTCATGAAGTTGCACCAAATATAGCTGCCTCCACCAGCCCAACAATAAAAATAGCATAGCATTGGATAGCAATAAATAAGGTTGTTTTATTGCATACACAATACGCATACGAATATATGTATGTTTATACGTATATACGTACATAAGTACGTAAATAAGTGGCGCCGAGTTTGGCTGACTCTGCGTCTGGCTAGCTAGCTAGGCTGTTGGACTCCGAAGCTTTTGTGCATAAGAAATATTTATGTGCTTGTTGTGCTTGCATATAAATTTGTAATTTCCGAGATACATATTCATATTTTCGCATGTGCTAACGCGTATGTTTGCTGCAGCTCTCCGCCCACATTTATTTCAATGTTACCCAATAAACCAAAAAATTGGCGGTGTATTTTTAAATTTATAAAACTTTTTGAACATCTCAAACGCAGAACGAAATACTTTGGTAGTACGAATAATTTCACAAACGTTATCCAAACTTACATATATGCTAAAATAAATGAATCTGAAAGTAAAGTTTTGTTTGAAAGAACTAAAGTTATGGATTTACTGGTCCTCTGTAGATCCCAATTTTTGTCTGTTTTTGTTATAACGTCTAGGTAGACCCGCTTAGGGACAGATAAAGTGAGTTGATGAAGTCGAAATCATGACAGGAGGTTAAGACGTTAAGAATTTGTGTTCCGTGTCTGAAAAGTTATATTTATAGCTCACCTTTATTGTGTCAGTATTACTCTGGTCTCGCCAGAGTGTGTTAAGATGCTCTGGCTGCTAGTGAAAGGAGAATTTGGTTTCTGTATTCGATGATAATCGCATTCGGAGGAAAAGTGAAGGGAGTGCAAGTTGTCGTGTAAAACTTCAAATAATTAACAGTTGTCCAGGTATTCCCTCAACCAACTGGTAAAGAGAATGGGTATTGAATATCCCGTTCTGCTGTTATTACCTTTTGAGAACTCTAAAGGCACCGTGATACCTAGTTTTGATTTCATGCGACGGCTGTAGATGTCTGAGTCTCTGTATAGAGAAGGGGCAGGAGAGAAGTTCTAATTACTTACACCTTTGCCGCTTATGCCGATTATAGATATAATTTGTCTTATTTGTACAAAAGACTACGATTAATATCATGTGCAATATCTGTAAAGGATACGCCTATGGGCCACAACCTAATTGCACCCCATACAAGTGGAATGAGCAAATGTAGGAAGCGCAAAGAGGAAGACAAGTATTGGACGTTAGCACACCTCCTCCGTCTGGCCTTTGGTGGAGCTCATCTAAGATATCTCGGAGCTAGAAAAGGCTTCAGCAGTTTATATTGAGGCTCTCTTGAACATCTCGATCTTCATCTGGCACTACAAAAGACCAACACTTCTATGTGTGTAATTTAAGCTATAGTGCGAGCAGCGCTGGGTTTCAAGAATTTTCCGAAGATTTCTTGTGGTATCTTGTGGTAGCCCCAATCATACATATATACGCATATATATAATTATTAGGAAAAGAAAAGGAAAGTTTATAGCCATTTACTAAATATTTTTTGAAAATCCAAATATTTTTTTTAACTGTAGGAATTGTCTTTATTTGACCCAACATAAATTCTAAAAACAAACTCGAAATTATTTGAAATAATTTGGCTTACTGGTCAAAATTTTGTATCTATTTTAGTGGTTTCCTCTTATCAACGGCGCTATTGTTGTTGTTATTGTAGCCACTGTTGTTGTTGTTGTTGTTGTTGGCAGTCTTTTTGCTCTTAAAACGAGTGTCTGCGCATAATTGTTGCTGCGCATAAATAAGGAAGATATGTATCTATGCACGTACATATGTATGTATATGATTACTAGTAGACAATACTAACAAATAAGCTCAAACAACTACAAGCTTATATTAAAATACATGGTCATATATATTTACACACCGTTATGTTAACCATATCTATGTACTTAACTAGAGAAAGTAAACAAAAAGCAATGAAAGTAATCATAACGAGCAAAGCTACAAAACTTGATTGATATATGCATATGTACATATGTATGTACATAAATTTAAAATAGAAAAATGAGTTCCATCAAGTCTAAGTAAATAAGAAATATTTTATTAAGAATTGAAAATGCCATAATAAAAATAAATTAAATGTTTAATTATGTTGCTTAGTGGAAGAGAACGTAATAAACAAATGGAAATATTAAAAAATGTGTTGCGTTTTGAGAAATGTCGTGATGAATAGTGGTGAATTATTTAGTAAAAATATGTCCACCGTCCTCAGAAGCCAATACGCAAACTTGATAAGCTTACTGTTATTTTTCAGCTTTTCAAATTTATACTTTACGCAGGAAAGTATTAATTATCGATGAAATAAAAATAAAAGTAAACAAATTAAATTAATCACATATATGTGCTTATATAAATAATAATAAAAAAATAAATAAATGCTCATGTGGATTACAATAAATAAAATAAACTATGAAAAAATAATTATTTAAATTCATTTTTATATTATTTTTTTGAACGTAAATATTTCGAATGCACTTTGAGGCGGGCGAGAATTAATTTCTTTTGTAGTAATAAAAACTTAATGTCAATACGCCTAATAATAAATATTCAAATATATTAACGTCCAGCACAATAAATATTTAATTCATTTTGCTAAAAACAATAACGCAATAAATTGCTATTGCAATAATAAAAATATCAGTAACAACAACAACTTGTTGCCAACCACTAACACACTTTCTTCGTCTTAGTTTGACTTGCACACGAAACGGCATTAATTTTATTGTACAAATAATTAGTGCAACAATTTACGAAATGACTCAGATCCATTAATAAAGCGGCGAACTATGCACATATTTATATATGTTAATGTGTATGTATGTATGTACATGCCAATAAGTGGAGACTGATCAAATCAACAAATGACTTTTGCACTCTCACAGTTGATTTATTTAATGAGTACAAAGGAAAACGCCAACGAAATGAAAAATAAAGCAAAAAAAAAAACTTTATAGAATAAAGAAAATAATAATAATGAAAATTGAAAAGAAAGCAAAGTTTTTTTCTTCTATTTTGTATTTCTTTATGTTTATTTGCTTAGCACAAACAACCGATAAACCAATTTGCTAATGAATGCTATTATTGCCTGTGTTCTTCACATTGGCATCAAAACAAAAATCAGCTGTTTTTCATCATATTGGTTTATGGTCACCCGTCGGCATGCATATATGTACATATGTACATGTATATATACACACGCTAAGCATTTGCAAACAAATGAAGCGCACTTGGGATGAGAGCTTGAGAATAGCGTGAGCGTTTGCTTGCCTGCTCTTGCGCTCTGAAATTCAGCAAGTTGCTCCTTTCATTGTTTTCATTTGCTCTTGAAATATTTACTTTCCCCATATAAATTTTATATGTCATGAACTATTTGAAGTTATGCTCTTTTCCCGCGTACAGCAAACAATTTTTGAACAGCGAGAGGAAGAGAGAGTTAATTTTGGTCATAAATATATTTACAACAAATGAGCGTAGATATTCCAAATTCATGCCACTGAAAGTGAGTGGAGAAGGCTGATAAGAGCTCAAAAATGTTTGCCAAAAAAGGGTGTATATTTTGGTAGAGAATATGTTTTTTTTACTGAAGTGATTTGTTTACATTAAGACAATTTTATAAATTCAAAACCATTTTTATTACAGTTTTGGCAAATGAATATTTTTAAAAAAATTATAATATAAATTTTTTAAAAGCATTAGAGTTAACCTCTTTCTGCCAATGCACAAATGCTCATGTGCGCAGCAGGTCAAATAAAAAGTTGACCCAGTTGGCAGCATGTTACACATCCGCCATGGCGACTACAAAGTATCCTTGCTCGATATATATATATGTATTCAAATGTTCGTTGTTAAGTAAATTTGTTAAAATATTTAAAAATACAAACAAAATGCGCAATTATTATTTAAGTTTGAGAAACATTAAAATGACAAAAGTAATCATACAAATTTTGTGATAATTGAGTTGTGTATGTATATCAAGTCAAAACTTCAAACAATCAAATAATGATTTTTAATGCTTCTTTACATGGTTGAGAAAAGGAAAAAAATAGATTAAAATAATATTTTTCAGTTGTTGAACCTTTCTTGTAACCACAATTCAAAAAAAATTCAAAATTAAAATGGTTTAAAAATAAAAATATGATTTAATCGTTTAAAATATACTGGCATTTGCATGAAAACTCCATAAAAGTAATTCTCTACCATAGCTCTTTGCTTTCGCTTCAAAGATAATATTTAACAAGTTTATAATTATATACCAACCAAAAAAATTATATTTTAATTGATGTTGATTGCGATTTCTTTTTATTTGCATTCACATTTTTAATAATAAAAAAGTATTACGTCGTTTTGGCAGTAATTAACGTTAACACAGCTTTTGTGTTTATGCAACCTTCCCTCAGCTCAAAATTAATAATCAACTCAAAATTTAGCAATAAGAGATAAAAAAAGCTCTATTATATAAATTATATAAAAAAAAACATACATATATGAGTTTTTAATTAAAATTAAATCTATAGATTTATCACAAAAAAAACAATCAATCAAAATTTTGCAAAAAAAATAAATTTAAAATTTTGTGTTTAAAATTATTTTAACTTGCTAGTTTTCTTTTGTTTTATGAAATATTACTTAATCCCTATCCCTTTATTTTATTTTTTTTGTTTAATTAATTTCATTTTATTTTATTGCAATTATATTTAATTTAATTTAATATTTTAAAATTCATTTTATTTATTTATTTCATTTTATTTTATAATTTTTTGATTATATTTTATTTTATTTTGTTTATTTCATTTTATTTTATTTATTTTATTCTATTTCATTACTTTTTGATTCTATTTTATTTTATTTAATTTATTTTTTTTTTGATTGTAGTTAATTTAGTTTAGTTTATTTCGTTTCGTTTCATTTCATTTTATTTATTTATTTTATTTAAATTAATTAATATTATTTGATTTAATTTTAATTCATTTTATTTTTGATTGTTTAATTTAATTTAATTCATTTTATCTTATTTTCTTCTATTTTTTATTTTGGTTTATTTTAGTTAGTTTTTATGTTTTAATTTATTTTATTATATTTTATTTTATTATTTTTAGCTTATTTAATTTATCTTAATTTAATTTTATTTATTTTAATTTAGTTTCATTTTCCTTATCTTATGATATTTAATTTTTTTTATCAATTTTATTTTAATTTATTTAGTTTATAAATTTTATTTTGTTTATTTTTGCTCATATTATATTATTTTATTTACTTGTAATTGATTTCATTTCCTTTTTATTTATTTTATTTTTTTTATTATATTAAATTATATATTTTATTTTATTTTATTTTAATGACTTTTATTTTATTTTTTTATTTTATTTTATTTTATTTTATTTTATTTTATTTTATTTTATTTTTATATTAAATTTTATATTTTATTTTATTTTATTTCATTTAATTTTTTATTTTATTATACAATATTTTATTAACTTTATTTTTTAAATTATATTATTTTTGTTATTTTGTTATTAGTTTTCATTTTGATTTATTTATTTTAATTTTGGTGATTTTCTTTCATTTTTGGTTTATTATGTTATTACCTGTTTTATGATCAAATAATATTTACTTTCTTTGTGAGTATTTTGAAAATAAAAATGCTATTTAGTAATGCTTTTTTTTTTTCAAAATACTCACAAAGAAACTAGACATCAAATTTTAAATCGTATAAAATCCATTCAAATCAAATATACAAACATACTATATAATTAGCTAAATGAAAATAGCAACAAAGTAATAGTAAAACAAATAAGAATGGCAAACAAACTGAGCAGCGACGATTAAAACAGCGGTCAGTGAACAAAGAAACTTTTTACATACATATTGAACAATGACGAAAGCGATTGCACACAGCTGAATACCTAATTATTGTCGGCGTTTGTATGTATGTTCTCGTGTGTGTTTGTATTTCTATTTATTTGCGGCTAATCACAATTAGACGCTACCAAATCGTCCGTCTATTAGTCAGTCGTTCTGTCAGTATGGACAGCTGTTACCGCGTTACCTCACTATGCGCCGCTCTCTCTGCTTCTCATACACTCTCTTCAACAATGGCTAGCTATCGCCAGCGCATTTTGAATATAAAAAAGTAAAAAGTACAATAAAAAAGCAAAGTATTCTATATTTTTGCTTATTTTGCTGAAAGAAGAAACTTCAATGTTCCAATACATTTTTCAGTTCTCATTCAAAAGCAGCGTCCAGTGCACCAAAGTTGTGAAGAGCCACAGAACGGTAATTACTTTTTAAATAGTCAATATACAGACAGACATTTGTAATAAAGCAGTGTGAATTTATTCGAACGTGAGAAATTCGGACGTGATAATTGGATTTCATTTGAAGTTTCAACGGTAATACGATGATTTAATGGAATTTGAATTGAAATATTTTAAATAAAACTTTTTATTGTGTTTACGTAATTGTGTGAAATTTTCAATTTTGGCGTGAATTACGAGTATTCCTTGAATATTTACTAAATTTGTGATTAATTGTGGCGGGCTGTTTATTGTTACGAATTTTGAAGAATGTGTATTTCCTTGCGCAGCAACAACAAACTAAGTGAATGTGCGAAAATGTTGCAGATGCAAAAATTTTTAAGATATTGTAAATATTGAAAATATGCGCCATATAACAGCAACTAGAATAAACCAACAAACATTGCGGATGTAAGGTCTTGAACTTTTGTTCACATTGACATGCGAAATATTTATCTATTTACAAGATACAAGTCCATAGACAAAGCAATGGATATGCTTTGAAGAAAAAAAAACTAACAATTTTCATAATAATACCCAGCGAACTATGTATATGTTTATGTACATTTCTGAAGAAAATGGAAAACAAAAATTATATATTTTTGTAATTTTTTTGTTGTGTCTTTTTCGGAAATGATTAATACATTTTTTTAAAATTATGTTTCTACATTTAAAAAGTTTCCTTAGGGTTGAAAATAACCCACCCTTCCGCTTCCTGGGGGTAGTAATTACTTCTGCGTAAAGAATCGAAGTTCTAGGCTAAAAAAGGAAAAGTAGGGGCTTTTTTAAATTAATTTAACAGAGAAATATCAACTGGAGACATGTTTTAAGGCATAGTTAATATAATAACATACATAAATGCATATCCTAAATATATATAATCTATATCTATGCTATTATCTAGTCTGAGTTCGGCTTCCCGATCCACCTTGCAAAAATTGTGTTAGTCCAACCTTCGCTGAGTTAGTCCATCATTCAGCTGTCCAGAAACACACCGTATGTTGACAGTAAACACATCAAAATGGTATTTTCCAGCAATGATCTGGTACCCGAATGATTTCATTTCTAAAATAGTTTAGCCGACATCAAAAAACAAAAAATTCTCATACAGACAGTGATGGCACACATTCGCAATTTTGGTGCACGCCATGAGTAAATCCAATTTCGTAATAGCCGATTTACTATTTGAGTAAATGTCAGCCCATCTTACAGAAACTATCTAGCAGAGCAGTGTGTTGACCGATTGCTTGATAGTAACAACATCGGTCCGAAGAATACTACACTGTTCTAGAGTCTAAACACCGCGTCGATGATAAGTCTCAATAACAGACACTCACATCCACTTTACCACCAAGCTCGACCTCCATAAGTATCCTTTCCTCAGGTGGTTTGGCACACACGTAAGGGCTGTAGAGATTATACCGAAAAATCAACCGCTGGGTAACAGCTTGGAGATATATTGCATGGATTATTATGCATTCGAGCTTGCGTCTGGTGGTGAATTTGATCATCCCAAGAACAGCATATTGTTAGGGAGCCTCTTGCAGTGATAGGATTACAGCTGGCATTATATTACACATGGCATTACAGATCGCACGTTGAACAATTTGTAATTGCTTAGCATACGAAAAGTCCGTTAAAATGTCAGGCTTGTAGATCTAACACACAATGCAGCTTCGGAGAATGGGTCCCAAACGAGATGGGCGCAGATCCCGATTTTCACAAAGAAAATTTTTATTCTGTGATTAAGCTTACTCTTGGTGATGGTCCTCAAGCCATTGTTTAGATATCCTTACAGCCTTAAAAAGTCACTGTTTGGTGTACTCTATAGGCACCAATAGCACATATTTTCTTGGAAATGAAGACGACCATAATGTTACAGTCAATGGGGAAGGATATAAAATCATGGCTAATGAGCTTTGAGTTTAGTTAACTAAAAAATTAATTTATTGAAGGTAACTTTTGCTTAACCACTGTACTACTGTGACTATATGTGAAGATGCTTATCTATGTACATAAGCCTGAGACGATTGATGCCTTGGAAGAGAATATTCGCTATTGCTGATGGAGACCGTATGTATTGCTGCAAGAAATATTGGACCTCGACGGTCATTTGTCTGAAATCCTGAAGAAAAAATATATCGGCTAATCCCTATCTTTATAAAAAAAGCTAAATTCTTGTCCATAACATTATATGGGAATTTTTTTCTTCTGCTTGGAATCCAAAGGGTGCGACATTCAAATGTGGTCAATGGATATGTTGAATAACTTGAAAAATTTTTAATGTATTTTGATAAACTCTTCATTATTAACAAAGCCTTACAATTTTCTCCAGCTTAGTTCAAAACCCAACCTCGACCAAATTACCCCCTTCATTGTGCAAACAAAGAGCTTCGTGCCTTTTTCGGCATTTTCCTTGACATTTGCTAGCGTGTCGGGCGATATCGCAGCGATTTCAGCTCGTCTTCGGTTTGTTGGCCTACATTTTGCTTTTCAAAAAAACCCACAAAAAAAAATAACGATTATACATGAATTACGATACCACACGTCCGGGAGACTTTTGCCTCGAGAATTTCATCGTTGACTCCGCTGTGTGAATATACCGTGAGTCTCGAAATTGGAAGCCAAGTGAAGAATAGTGTCACTACGATACGCACGCTCTGTTGGAACAACTGAACGATTGCACTATACGTACATTGTAACTATTTCTACACGTTCTTTGGGCGTAAAGCGATACATGGTTGAAATTGTATTGGAACAATCTTTCAGAAAAACCTTTAATGCATGCAGTCGCTTGAAATCTGTCAAAGTTATTCAATGTACCCATTGACCACATATAAATGGCTCATTCTGCACGTTTGTTAAGACAAATTTTTTTAAAAATAATTTTTAAAATTTTGAATAAAATTTTGTTTAACAAAAATTAGTATAAAAAATTAGTAGTAAAATTAGTAACCGCTGAATCGATTTTCAGCCGAGTTCCTCCTCCAATTTGTGATTTTTTGTCTTGATGTTTTCTCAACGAATGGAGGGACCTACAGTTCATACTAAGCCGCATCCGAACGGCTGAGGGTTTTTTTTTATAACGAGCCTTTATTCCATGTCAGAAATACACTCGGAGTGGTTGACATTCTCTGCCGAGAGGCGACCGCAAGTAGAAAATTTGGCTTAAGTTTTTATTTAAATTAATTTTCTGTAACTTTCCGATGCTGATCGCACGGGAAGAACCGAGCTTTCAGAATGGCTACCGCGGCCGTTTATATTGATTATATTTCTATTGAAATTCAAAATCAATAATTGAATATACCTAAAATAAAAATATTTGATTATTTTTTCTTAATAACACTCATTTTTTGCATTTTATTGATTATCACCGCCTGAAGCGAAACCAGTTCAATTACAATTCCTTACTTCGCGAATTGGAAAATATGAATAAATTAAATCGGTCTCAGTTTGCTTAAGTGCAATGAACAAATATATACATTCACATTCATATATACTCGTACTCAAAATTCCACACGAAGCTAGCATATGCACAACGAACAACCGAACAAAAGTACTGTTATTTTGCAATCTATAAACTACAAATGAGTGTAACACAAAACCCACCCACCACCCAAATGAGCGGCGCTGGCGGAGTAATTGAAAAGTTGCACAAGAAGAATTGAATTTGAAACAGAAATCAACGAAAGCTACTCATTTAACGGAGACACTTAGCGACAAGAAACACATCAACGACAATAACAATGAAATCAATCTACACCGGCGCTAAGCAACAACTCAGCAGTTGTATGCAACACGACAGTGATGACACGCCGCCCGTTATATTGGTAGCAAACAACGATTATAATCACCAACAACACAACCACAACCACAACCACAATCGCAGCAATCATCATCAGCTACACCATAATGGCTATGAACAACCGACGTCGCTTACACAGCTAACAACAACAACAAATCATAGTAATAGCAATCAACATCATCAGCATCACCACCATCGTCATCACAGCCGCAGCAACAATAATAATGTACCAAATAACAGCTTCATTACAGCCGTTACAACGCCCATAACGGGCACCAGCACTTACGAGACTCTGCAGCGTCCCTTCAAACACGATCGTCGGCGCGGTCAATGGTCAGCGACGGCCGATTTCTATTTCGCCTGCACAAGCCATGCTTTCGGTTCGATTATCTTCTCGGAGGTGCCGGTTTATGCGATGATCTTTGGCGGTGGTAAGTTTGTCGTATCTCTATGTTCATATATTGTAGTTGCGCGTAATGTGGGCCTTTATTAAGTTTTCAATTGATAAGCGCTGACGTTAATTCAATTAATGGCAAATGTGCTCAATTTGTCTTAATCTTCGCAGTTATATAAACAAAGTTTTGATTTTTTTGTAAACAACTTCTTATCACTCCAAGGCTTAACCTTGCAAGAAGACATTGTAGAGGGCTTTAGCGTGGAATGGGTGCATAAGTTCACAAACCTAATGAGTTGTAAATGTAGTTTATTGATTTAATCAAGGTCTAATGTGACAATTCTACAATATCCGCGTGTCGCTGAAACATCGTGATAATAAAAAAATTCTAAATAAAAATGATTCGGAGAATTTTTCAAAAGTCTTTCAAATGTCAAAAGAAAAATGTACTTCTTTTAGTTAGTAAACATAACCGTTAAGACTTCCATTCTAACTTACAAGAAAGCCACCGTCGTCCCTTATATATAAATTGAAATTTAACTCCCAGATTCTCTGCGTGGATATACATACGTAGCCGTGATAAGATAGTATAGCAGCCCGAAATTGCTTAGAAACCAAACATCTACCTTGCCTAGCACCACTCCAAACGGAACTCAGAGAGACAGTCAACATTGTCCTCAATTCGTGAATGGTGTGAGGTGAACCCGATCCCCACCTACAGAAGACGAGTAGCCAGAGCTACCCTATAACTTTATATTAATTCTGACACAAATAAGACCTGATAATTTAGTAGACTTAACTCCTATCTATCAAATCAACGTTCCACACATTATCAATCACTTATTTGTATGATTCTTAAAATCGATTCCCCAAAAAATACTTTTAGCTTGGTTCAAATCGGTCGAAAAAGTGCATTCTCATCAGTTCCACGTAAGATAAACCCAAAGATATCGGCTAGCTTACGACAGCTGCACTCACTCTCAATACCTAAATGCTACAACAACAACAAGTCTTAGATGTAATCCTTATAATCCCGTGTTCTAGCCTTTACCCTTCACCCTAAAGAAAAGAAATTTTCAAACATCCTGACAAACGAAGCAAATGTAACGCTACATTCCTATGTTGGGTACTCGCCAGAATTCAACCCAAAAGGTACAGAGGGGCCCATGATATGATTTAAGAGCGGGATGGAAGCGAACTCTAATTTAAGCTGTCGTATTACTACTGCCTAATACTCAGGGAAATACGTTTTTGTTGTTGTTGTTGTTGTTGTTGTAGCGGCTCCTTAACCCCGCTCANAGAGAGAGAGAGAGAGAGAGAGAGAGAGAGAGAGAGAGAGAGAGAGAGAGAGAGAGAGAGAGAGAGAGAGAGAGAGAGAGAGAGAGAGAGAGAGAGAGAGAGAGAGAGAGAGAGAGAGAGAGAGAGGGAGGAAGTAGATGTGTCGGTTTTAGGGGGTATATAAAGAGGTTATTAGTGTCGTGCGAAACCCTCTACATTCAGAACATACGTTCCCGAGTAGGAGTCTAAACTGCTTCAATAACCAGACCTAAGTTGCGTCAGTGTCACGCAGGTCTCTCGGGGCAGCTCGGGTTCTTCGTCTGCAAAACAAAGGTATGTCTTCATTTTCAGTGAATGTCACTACATTACCCAGGAAGATATGTCTTTCCGAGGCGTAGATTTATATATATATATATAGATGAACATTTCAAAGTCAAATGAGATCTTGAAGAGAATTGCCTTGCAAGTCGTCAGGCAGAAAGTCTGTGGGACCTTTATAGTAGAAATAACGATAAGGAGGAAACGATTTTCCAACAGTCTTAGAGAAGCCTTGCGGTTACAAAAAGAGCCACAAGAACAAGTCGCGGCATCGCAATGGACCCAAGTAAGTCTAAGTGTGTCGATATTATTTAGCCCTTTAACGAATCTTACCTAACTCAACCCAAAATTTTGCACCGGCTTATAATCTCTGTTCCTTAGGTGTATTTTAAGTAAATTTAATCAGTTTCTTTTCTTCTTTCTATAGTTTTCTTCCTGCCTATGTACTTGATCGCCATCATTTTATATGCCATTCCAATTTTTATTATACAAACTTTTTTGGGTCAATTTTCTACGTCCGGCTTGATCTCGGCATTTCGTGTGGCGCCACTATTCAAAGGTAAGCTTTAAAATTATTTTAATATTTTTATTAGTTAATTTTTTTATTTTTAAATATTTATTTCTATACCTTTCATGTACTTGAAATGGTATATTAACTCTGATACGAGGTACAAAATTTAATTACCAGAAGGCCAGAGGAAAGTTCAGAAGGAGGAGTTGAGCTGCTTTAGCCATCTCCGTCTGTTTGCGCAAAAACTAATACCTGAGTTTTTGAAATATTTCAAACCAATTTGGGACTCAGAAACACTGTTGTATTTAAGTAATCATGTCAAGACCCGGTCAGTTCAGACTACTATAGCATATATGTATATCATCGACTTTTCAGCTTTGAGATTTTGAGTTATAAATAAATAATAAAAAAAAAATAGAAATTTGGTATGAATAATTACAGATTGTAGCTAAAATTTATCAAAACCGAAAATCTTCATCGTATTTTCTACAACTTCTATATATAAATATGAGGTTCGTTGTAAAAAATCTACAAGAGTTGGACACCAATCGATTTTATCAGATTTCTTCCGAGGTTCCTGTAAAGGTTTTTATGAAAAACTTGTTTCGACAAGTGGATCAAGGACCGAACTATACTAAAAAATTATATTTTTCGTTCAATTTACTTCAAATTCGGTGCAAAGATGGGTTTTTCCCAGAATAACCTGAATACTACTCTCCCAGAAATGAACTAGAGGACAATGTATTCGAAAAATTGGTACTTATAGTGTGGTTAAGTGGTTACAAAAGTATTAAAACTTCAAAAAAATCTTTTTTTTTTTGATAATTTTTTGTATAAAAGTACAAAGTGTCAGGAATATTTTCTCCAAGTTTTAAGTCGATCGAGACGAAACTGTAGAAACTAGAGAGTTTTATAACCCGCCGTCTTTGTCATGGCTTCACCAATGGCGGAACTTTAAACGCGTTTTTCTTAAAACCACCTTATCGAAATCGGTAATCGAAATTTCCCAACAACTATTAAAGAGATCGAGTTAAAATTATCCACACTTCTTTTAAGCATGTTTTTGTAGTCCCTGAACGAAGGATTTATTTTATCTTTGATTTCACCTTATTTTACAAGCCAATATGTTGCCTAATTTTGTGCAAAAAACGCTATAAAAAATTCAGTTCAGTTTTTCAGGTTTTTAATTTTGGAATTTGGATTTTCGATTTCAGATAAAAATTAAAAAAGTTATCATAACTACCGCGAAAGCATTTTCTTGTGGACGGTCTACTTCACGACACTGGCAACGTCTCATTTTATACTATTTTTTGTTCAAATTTTCATCAAATATTGTCCATATATTGAACTTTTATATGGGAACAAAATAAATTGTATACCTTTTAGTATCTTTTTAAAAAATTAGAGAAAACAAGCTTTTTTTGGTCTTCAAGACCTATGTAACCCCTTAAGGTTCCCCCCTTAATGGTTTAGAGGGTCAAAAATATCGCTTTTTTGAAACTTATCCCAATCGATTAAAAATATATTAAAAAATATATCCACAAAATTTCAAAGTCAAATTCCTAATCGTTCCGTAGAAATGGCCTCTGAGAGACAATACGCTCAGGAGACTGATAAGCGGACAAGAGAACTTTGAACGCGATTTTCTCAAAACAGTGTTTTTCTGTTTTGTGCACACGATTAAAAAAGTTGTAATTGTCGCATTTTCATAGGCAATACCTTTTTATACAGCTAATAATGTAAGCTTCTAAGTGAACCTAAAAAATCACAATAAGAAATTTTTTTTATTATAAATAAATAAATTTTTTATAAAGAGTCATAAAATAAATAATTTTATACATTTATTCGAGTATCTTAGGTTCACATAGAAGAGCAACTCCTAAGCTACAAAAAAAAGTATTTGTTTTTATGTTCCAGATGAAAACTACGAAAATAGATTCTTCGAGCGAGAAGTGCCACAAACAAATACGAATTGTTATTGCTTAACAATATCAAATAAAGTGAAAGTAAATTTTTTGCATGATTTGTGACCTATTTCAAAAGTACTTGAAATATTGTATTTCATACGTAAGGCAACCTAAAATACTGTGCCGAATATTATGCAATTTTCAGCTTTTCAGGTTCCCCCCATAACTGGAATCTGTGTATAGGTGCCTTAACAGGAAGACCACTCTTTTCACTGAGAAAAGGAGGAGATATTCAAAATAATTGTATTTATAGTATAATTCAATTTTTATGAGTGGATCGATCTTTAAAAAAAAATATATATATATTCATTATTCAGTTTGTTAAAATTTTTGTATGGTATGCCGAAATCGAATACTTTTACTTCCAGAAAATGAATCAGAGATCTGGAACCAAGTACGATTTGCATAAAATATGAATAACTCTATCTTTACGGAAAGGGGATCACTGATAGATTAGCAAAAATCAGTATGATTTGGATATTAGAATAAATCGGTGCTAGGTACGTTGGCTGCGGCTTACAAGCAATTCTAGTACAACATTCAACTTGAGTGAGTTTAAGCGTAGATCCGAATGGTGTACTTGTCTTACTTCGATGTATTCATGTTGATATTTTCGTGAAAGACCTTGAGCAGGGAATAAGTGACTTACATATACAAATCGGTAGTTAAATCAATAATACTAAATATTGTAATAAAAAAAAAGAAATTTTGAATAAATAGGGCTTTATCGTTCATTGCAAATACCAATTACAATAAAAATTGGAGAAAGTACAGAAAGGAACTTGTGGACGGTTCTGCTAATTTATTTATGAAATAAGATACTTTTGATATTGTCATACAGTTGTATAAGGACATCGGCCTGGCGGAAGACAGTTCTTCTTAATTATTTATTTTGTATTTAAAAAAAAGTTTACTTTTGTTTTTGTTTTTATTTTCTTTGTAATATACAATTTTTTTTTTTGCAATTTTTTTACATTTTTTTTCTTGACACTTTTGCAGGCATCGGTTACTCCATACTCTTGCTAAATCTCATTTCACTCGCCTACTATGGCATTGTGGCAGCTGTGCCGCTTATCTATGCTGCCAATTCCGTGCACACTGTGATACCTTGGATGAGCTGTGATAATGCGTGGAATACGCCCAATTGTTCGACACACTCAACATATGATGTTGATGAGCTTGCGTTGGATCCGCATGCGACAGTGGAATTTTTTCGGTAAACTTATTAACATTTAAGCTTAGTGTGTTGGATTTGAAGCATAATTTTAGGCTTAAATATGAAAAAACTTTTTTTTCGCTATTTTTTAATGCATTTTATTTCCAAAGCATATTAATAATTTCCTTTAACTACCATAGCTACATCATTCTCTCCGACGATAGCTCGCCACATGAGTATGTGATATCTTGGCCAGTTTTATGCGGCACTGTGGGTGTGTGGCTGCTCACACTCGGCATACTGCTTAAGCGTGTTTCATTTGTATGTAAATTCATACATATATATATATATATACTACATATATATACTTTTTTAACAATTTGAAATATTTTTTAATAACTTTCGCTATTTCGATATTTCAGATCGGCAAGTTCTTTCGCTGCATTTGTGTTATTATGTTCGCCGTTTTCTTGGCGATTTTCGTACACCTTCTGTGCTATATAAAACTGGATTGGGAAACCTTTGTGAGCTATTTCAAGCCAACATTATCGAATAGTTTTAATGGTGTTTTGGGTGGCATGCGCACAGCGATTTTAATGTCCACTTGGTTGCTCGGTCCCGGTTGGGGTAACGTTCTAACGCTGGCGAGCCATAATCGCTTCCACCGCGACAGCGAGAAGTTGACATATTGGGTTAGTGGCACACATGTGCTGCTCGCTTTTATGGCAATGATTTGTGGGCGTATTGCTTTCGATCACTTTGAAGGTACAACGCAATGAGTGTGCTGTAGAAAAATATAAAAAAAAAAATTTCTTAAAAACAAATAATTATTACTTTTCTTATCATTTGCTGTATTTATAGATCATGTGGGCTTCCTGCATTTCCACTTCGATGAGGAGCATTATATGCAATTTCTTTATCTCTGTTTCGCTTATTTATTTGGCAGTTTTACGACTCTACCGAATTTCTGGTGTTTTCTATTTTTCGGCATGATTTTTCTCGCGGAATTAAGTGCGATTGTGAGTCAAGTTGTTTGCAAACATATAATAGTTTGTTCTAAAAATATATATATATTTATTTATTGTTATTGATAAATGCATTTGCATAGCCTCAGAAAGTATTCAGTTTTCTTTGTATTTCCTCCACGCAGATTATTCAAATGATGTCGGTGCTAACGGCTTTATTTGATGAGTATGAGCAGTTGAGAACAAAGAAATCACGCATTACGATCGCGTTGTCATTGCTCATGTTGGCTGCGTCAATTTATTTTTGCACCAAGGTTAGTAAATATATATATATATATATATATTTATAGTTGTAGTCTAAGCTTATGGCAACGCAGTGGGAGCGTATGTATGTATGTACATATATACAGAATACAAAGTCTAACGTTTTTATTAATAATTTATAGTATTATTAATAATAGGCATTTGACGACAATAAATTATCAAGGTCAATAGTATATTTGTGAGCAAGCTAGAGGAAATATTATGAAAAGAAAATTAATCGTAAAATCTAGTGCCGAGTAGCTGAATACTGATCCCAAAACTTAAGCAGAGAATAGTTTAATTGTCATTATTATCAGAACTTTCCGATTTCGCACATTAACATTTTTTACCTATAAACTCTACAAACGAAGGTGAAAAGCCTGACTGTAGCGCACAGATGAAACAAGCTTGGCATCCTAAAACATGTCTTCAGTGGTCTCTAACCCCGGTCTGCAAGCGGTATCTGCTAAAAGCTGCAACAGAAATTGTAACCGTTTGAGTGGAACAAAGCTACTAAATAAGAAGAATCACGGAACATGATCAAAAAATGAGTTTATCGCTTTCTGAAACTAAGTCATCCGGTTTTCCTCATTCTGAAACATTACTTCAACAATGTTGTCCGTAACCAAAGGACAAACCGCTGCTTCTCGTTCTCGCCAACCTCTCGGAATAATATACCATACGTCACGTAATATCTCACCACGCTGAATTTTCTAAGTGACCAGGTTTTTAAGACCTTAATTAGCCTAAGCGTTCATCTGACGCAAATGTCTTGTACCCAGCGGCCTCGTCATCGTTATAAGGTATCCACGTTTATGCCGCCCCTAAATTTTTTTTTTTACACATGTTCCCTCCTTCTTTGCACTTATTCTTATATTTCTTACTTCCGAATGCCTAGAGCTGTTGATAAGAACACTTTAATTACAAGAATTGCTTCAGCTCGAGCTGTAACGTATGCTGACGCTGACTTTAAGACAGTTGTACGATATGCAGTTACCCCTCCTTAATGTGTCCGCCCATAATTATGCTTCATAAAGCCTTGATAACAGTTATTTTTCTACTCTCTTACAAAGGCTCACCGGCATTCTGCTGAGTGGGGTTGTAATTTTAGAAGTTTTTTCTACAACCTTTTGCTTGAATCGTGAACCTTGAATCCAATCTTAAGCCTAAATAGTTTACTGTTATATAAGTTTATTATAATTTAAGGCTATATTTTTGGTTATTTCTTTTTAATACATATATTTTAATACAATGCACTTTTTTTTTTTAAATATTTTTCTCTTTTTAAATTCCTCTCTTCCAATTCGAATACACAGAAGGGCTTCGAACATCTTGATCTTCTCCCGAACATCGTCATACTCTCGCATTTGATTATCTCCATCGTTTTACTGTTGATGACGACTTGGATTTACGGACGTGAACGCTTCCAATGTGATCTGCAATTTATGTTGGGCAAAACAATAACGAGTTTTAAGATATTTCTCATACGTTTTCTAACGCCAGCGTTTTTTGTGTTGAGCTTTGTGAGTTGCACTACTACATACAAACATATATATATTTTTTTTTTCAATATAAATAAAATTTTAATATAATTTTTTTTTTTTGTTTCATCCACTTAGATACAAACTCTATACTTTTTGGAGCGTGACAACTCGCCAACTGCACTTGTTATCGTCAGTCAATGTGTGATATATGCCATAGCACCTGCCTATATGATTTATAAAGTTTGCCAGACAAATGGCACATTGCGTAATAGACTGAAACAATGCTTTGCACCACATGACTGGCATCCCGTTGATGCGGATAATCGTCGCTTCTATGAAGAGATTATGGGCGTCTCCGAAATGCTAGTAATGGATGGGGGCGAAGAGAACTGCGCTGTGAATGCTTAAAAAAAATATTGCATACAAACATACATACATACACACAAGCAAATGTATATCTAAAAATAATAGAAATTATATTGAAAACAGAATTAACGAACTGCATATTGAAAGCGACTCTAACTAGTTTAAAAAATGATCAATTATACCTACCCTAGCATACGTGTATATATAAATGTCCAAAAATGCATGTAAAGCTTCTTCGAGAGCTGACAGAACTGGTTAACAATATTTCACTGTAACTCTTGAACACTCATTATGTGAATTAAATCCAAATTAACTGCTAAGTGTCTTCACTTCACTGCAAAATTGCATATAAATATGTTAAGAATGGATCTAATATTGGTCTCTGTATGTATGTATGTTGGTATGTAAGCGCTTTTAGATGTTAATTATTTTAACGTATAGACAAATACATTTACATATACATATGTATGTTATACATGTACGTTATGTTTATGTAGCTATTAAGTACACTTAAGGTAGAAATTATGAAAAAAAATGCTTGTAGTTTTTTAAGCCGCCTTTTTTTATAACGGATTATAAGTCAATTTATACATTTACACGAAATTATTACAAATAGATATTACATTTATAAAATATTGAAGTGATATACCAGCTAAGAATACTCGATATTCATACCAATGCATGTATGTATGTGTATGTAGAATAATACTTAATAAATAACTGGCTACATATTAAGTTACATAAGTCGATATTATTCAAATAAGTTATATATAAATTTATGTATATGTACGTTGCGTATGATATGTATTTTTCAATATCAATTGAGTTTGAACTTTGAATTCGATACGAAATACATATTTATATTGAAAGAATGAAATGAAAATGTTTCCATTACATCTGCCTATGTACCTACCTATGTATATAAATCTGTTGTTCATTTGTAACGGTCAGGTAATCTCCAATAATTTCATATGTGGCTTTATCTTAGACTAACCGGAAGACTACACTTGGACCAAAAACTGAACTTTTTTTTATAAAAATCGTATTTATAGTTCGATTTACTTGAAACTCGGTACATATCGTATCGTAATTCTTTGTACCTAAAACCAAGCTCGATTTGCTAGAAATATGAATATGGATTGTTTTTACGTTCAGCTTGGTTGTGTGCCTAGATCCGAAAGCTGCGTTTGACTCACTTCAACATTAATATTTTCCTGAACGACTTTGAGCAACGAAGAAGTGGCCCAGACCTAAGAGTAGGTAGTTGGATCAATAATAGGATTTTATCATTGTTTGCAGTACCTATTAGACTATTGGGTATATGCATTAATTCGTGGGGTTTTTTTTTAAATTAAGATTTAATTGTGAAAAAATGATTTTAATCGTCTGATCAACTCCTAAATTTTTGCAAGTTCCTCTTGCGTCTGGCATGCATTTGCGTTGAGCAATGTCCCCAATTCTGGTACAAATTTCGACCTTTTTTAAATGAATGAAACAAATTGTTGTTCATCTACATAAATATAGCCACAGATGAACACGACGCAAGATAATACTAGTAGAGCCCTCTCTTAGAAAACCGCACGAATTAAAGCATACACCAAATAAAATTTGGAAAAAAATGCAGAAAGCCACAGCAGCGTGTAGACGGATCTGCTAGATTTATTATTTAAATATAAATAAGGAATTTATAAATATATAGTTGTTGTTAGATATCCAACCCCACTAGAAACAGGCGAGAGTAATCAAGGTCATCTAGCAGGAATTCAAAGCATCGCACTGTTTCGAAATTCGGATTAGGACCAGACGGAAAGGGGGGTTGAATGAGTCGATCTTAGAGGTGGTTAGTGTCATGGTTAGCATCGTGCGGGATCCCATTGCATGTTTGAAATACCTTCGTCTAGTCTGGATAAGAAGGAGTTAAGTCGACTACAATTTCCAGATCTTAATTATGATGGTCTTCGTATGCAATGACTGGTACTTGGATAATGAGAACGCCGTCCACATAAGTGAGTTACAAAGAGTGTTCACGTACTCTCGAAGAATGTTGTTTAAACCTGTCGGTTTGGTTCCCTGATGTTATGTTGCTGTTGTTGTTGTTGTAACCACAAATTATTCCCCGAATTTGGAGTGACACTCCTTTTCGTTTCGGTATAAAGATATAAAGACGCGCCTGTCGCGGGAACTATTGGATTTAAATCAGCTTTCATAACAGACATGTCTTACCATTGGAGCCCCCGACCCGCATGGGCTTGTATACGGTGCAAAATGGATTGTGTGTAGTCAAATACTGCTTTACTGATATGCCTAGATGGAGTCTTGTCAATGTCCTAAGTGCAGTGTTTTGACTTGCTGTAACGTCTTCACCTGCGGATCTCTAGTCCCCATCGACATTCACATCCAGTTCAACCCGATTATCATACTTCCAGGTAGCAAAGGATTTCACAGGTTGTTGCATTAGTTGTCGTGCAGTACAGAAGTGAAAAAGGTGGACAAAATAACAGTTTACTTTCGAACTTAAGTTGGACCTCCAAACCGTACCGATTGTCGAATTGAGTGAAAATTCGAGAAGAAAGAACGGACTACACTTACCATTTGCAATTGCGCAATATTCAATTTTCCAATGAAGTCACTCTAGAGTAACCAAGAAAGCAGTAAGAAAGCTCTAAGCCTATAATGAGGATATCGGCATAAGATTGGGACTGGGACTCGGCTATACAAAGGGTGGTCCTATTTGGTTGTACGATGCTAGACAACAACAAGATGAACGAAGATCCTAAATAAGCTCTGGACTAGACACATGACGTTGATACGACCAAATATTTGCTACGATCGGTCTTCACCAATTAGATTAATTATATCGTTAGGACGCCACCGGCATTACAACTAGAGCGATTTGATCATTGATCGAAGAGGAGAAGAGGAGAAGAGAACAAAGTCTCTATTTCTTCTAAATTCTGAATCTCCATCTACAACCAAACCACAGTAGGAGGAACATAGTTGAGGAGGAGGGGGTGGAGCATGCATTTTGACATCTTTTCCAGCGAAAATTTTCATTTCGACTATCTTGCACAACTTTCTTCACCAAGTGTCAGTGTCAACTTAAATGGCTTTAACATAATTAACAAACTACTCTTGTAATTCCAGGAATTGATGCAGATTCTGGTGAGAAATGGTCTGCTAAGCGTCTACACTAAATTACTGCGAAACATTTAAATAAATGATTAAATATTTAGTTTTTCGCCCAATATATGTATGTGCATACATATATAGTCATAAAAAAAATTCATAAATAAATTCATACTTTCATTTAACAATTTTTGGAGTTACTCCCCTCACTCTTCACCTTTCCACAGTTTTATTGGAATTAGCTCGAATAATAGAGAACTGCAAATATTGTGTGCTGATAAGACATTGTTCATTCGTATATTGAAATTTAGTAAATAATAATTAAATATATTAATGCAATATGAGCATGCATAGGTACATACAATAGATTTTCCTACAGCTGCCAGAGATTATTTATTGTACTAAAGGCCTTACATTTTTATTGACAAAATTTTCGAGATATCATACATGAACATTTCATGACTCACATGGGGAAATAATCTTGAAATTAATTTAAAAAAATTTGCTTTAATTAAATAAAAATGTATATATATATATATATATATATATATATGTAAGATTAAATATAAATAATTAAAATTGTCATAAATGAATGTGTTGTTTTAATCAACGCATCGTGTGAGTATGTCTAGGGTCAAATTTCATAACAACGTCAACAACTTTATTATCAAATTTCTCTTGAAAAAAAAATTAAACTTGTTTGAAATATGTAAATATACATACGAATATGGGTGTATTTTCCTAGGCACATTCACTCCATAAAGTGTTCCAAATCTTTATTCCCTTCCATTACAATTGCATAAAAATATATTTAAACAAAATTTTTTATGCTAATTCTACCAAAATTCGTTTTAACTATTGTATTCAAAAAAAAAGTTATAAAAATTTAAAAAACAATTTTTAATATATTTTTATAAATAATTTATAACAAAATTATATTTTTATATTTTTTTTATTATGTTTTAAAATTTCTTTTTAAAGCTTATCACTTCAAATTTAATTTAAAAAAAAATTTCTTAATATTAAAAAGATTTCAGTTAAATTTGTTAAATAAAAAAGATATTTTTATAAACAAAAAAATGCATTCCTAATATTTTCAGTTAATGTGTGTTCATAAATTACTAACAGTTAAAAATTTGAGATTAATAAGTAATTATTAATTATTAAATAAATCTTGATAAAATAAATTAAATTTTATTTTTAATAAACTTTTTTCAAAATATTTCAAGACAGTCCATAATCCAAAGAATTTTTCTAAATCCAAACACAATCTCGACACGACATAAAATATGGCATCATAAGATCCCGACCTATTTTGCAACGAATGTTCATCTACCCAATATCGAAAGATGTAATAATTCCGCCAACTCTTTGTCCGAAAAGAGCAAGAAAAAAGCTACTCTTGACTTTAAGTCAAATATTTCTTTTAGCTTGCTGAAAAATTTGACACAATTCCAATGTAAAATCTAACCTAACTAAAACGTCAACAGTTTAACGGTTTAATTTTTGCGCTTAAAAAATATTTGCTATGGCAATCCTTTATTAGATAGACACATTTTATGTCTGCATATGTTTTTTTTTTCATAACTTCTTTGCCGAGATTTTTGAAATGGATTTTTTTACGTTTGGATTATAATTTGTCGGTACTTAGTCGTGTCTGTATTATATATTTCGGAATTTCGTAAGTCGACAGTTTGTGTGTGGGGATTTCTTTAAACACTCACTTATATAATTATAAGCTTTATTGTTTAGATATAAAGATGTTTTAAAACAATTTCGAATAAACTCTCCAAGCGAATCTCCAACCGAGAGGGCCAATATCCGATTACTTTTCGCGCGGAATACTGTATTTGTTTACATTATACTTTATATGTTCATATGTACATATATTATCATAATCACCACGCTCAGAGTTTTTCCAATTCCGCTCTATTCACAATTATTTGCTTAATAATCGCTGCTGAAATGACTGAAACAAGCGAGTGAATGAAATTTCTATTTACATTTTCTCACTTTTCTCTATCTTCTTGCATTGCATATTATGTATGTACATATGTATGTTCAAATATTATTATATACCTATATTTTACAATGAACATCTCAATGTTAAAAGATTTTGAAATTTTACATAGCAGCAGTGCTTCAGTTGCCGCTCGTGGGTCTGCGCATGTGGAACGCTCTGCTCGTTTTGCTGAAAGTTTGGCGAATTTTTTCGGTTGATTTTATTTGTTTTTTTTTCTATTGTATTAAGCAAAAGAAAACAAGCAAACAAAAAGAAAGTGTTTTTATAAGAAATATATGTATATATAAACAAATATATATTAATTTTTTTTTAACAATAGATAACTATGTTGTTGTTTAACTGTTAGGAGAATTACTTTTAGTGCTAGTGTACTTTATGCTTTTACGTGTGTGAGTGTGCTTTGAAGCAAATTTCGTGTTGAAAATGATTTACGAAAGTTCATATGACAGCGGCCGCTTGCCGTTTAAGCCCGACTTAACACGCGGTTACTGGGCCAAATCGAGTGACTTCGTGTTTACCGGTATCAGTTTGGCCTTCCGTTTGGATATCTTCTCCGTAGTATGGATGGCATTCACATACGCTGGCTGTGAGTAAATATTTATAATAGAAATTTGAATGAAAGTGAAAGAAAATAAATGATGCAGCAGTTGTTTGATGGGCTGAAACGCGATTAACGTAGAAATAACGGCATATAGTATGAATTAAAGGGAAATAAATGTGTAAACAAATAAATTTTAATTTAAATACGTATGCATACGTGTATGTATGTATGTATATATGTGAACTTGAATTTTCTACAAACTAAACTAATGTTTCGTAAGCAAATAATTCTCAAAATTTTTTGAAATCTAAGATGTATATATGTATATATATGTAGAAAACATATAAAGTTCAGTGCTCTTCAGTTTTCATGTTGGATTTTTATGAAACTCAGTGCTGTAAAATAAATTGTTTAAATCAATTTTTCCTATATCTCGTTTAGTTCTTAAGATATCGCATGAAAAAGAAATTTGAAATATTTTTTGAAGGAAATTGTGTTTTAGTTATTTTTTTATTATCTTGATAAACGGATATGGATTACTAAAGCATCGATTTTTTTTTGTTTTTAATTATGATTATTGCTTAACTGCTTAAATTTTTGTTTGAAAATTTTCACAATTTCTTAAACTTGTTGAATATTTTTTTTTTTTCATTTTGCATTAATAAATTCAAATTTATAAAATATTGGATGAGTGCATAAGTTCGTGCCCGATTCGGCTGGACGCCGTTCGATCCGCGCTCGTGAAAGAAATATATACATATTATATATCGTTGGGAAGGTGACAGTCCAAACTGTAAACCGAACATAAAATAACCTCATTTTGATTTGAGCAACGAAAAAGATCATATTCGTCAGTGGAGTGAAAAAAAAAACAAAGTGGACCATATGTCAGCAGCAATTTCTTTGCTTCGACGGATCAAAAACGAACCTTTTTTGGATCGGCTCGTGACTGGTGATTAAAAATGGATCCTGTACAACAATGTTCAACCCAAAAGAACATGGGAACAGGCACACGAAGGGGCGGAACCGATGTCGAAAGGTGGATTGCATCTGATGAAGGTACTGCTGTGCATTTGGAGGGATATCCGAGGCGTGATCTATTTTAAGCTCTTAAGAAACGATCACTGCCAATAAGTATTGGTCGAATTGAAGAAAGCAGTTGATGAAAAACGTCTGATTTTGGCCAATCGCAAAGGAGTTCTTTTCCATCATGACAACGCTAGGCCACATGTTGCAAAACCGACCCTGGCCAAAATGAAGGAGATGAATTAGGAAATCATGCCGCATCCCCCATATTTACCCGACATTGCACCTTCTGATTATCATTTGTTTCGATCGCTGCAGAACAATTTGAATGGAAAAAAATTTAAAAATGTGGAAGACGTCAAAAACCACCTTGACACCTTTTTCAACAAGAAACCGCGCGATTTCTATGAATCAGGCATCCGTAAATTGGTTGAACGTTGGAAGTGCCGTTGCCGAACATGATGGCGAATACATAATTGATTAATAAAAGCGCTTTCTTCAAAAAATTTCAATTTTAGTTTGCACTTGAAATCGGGCACGAACTTATGCACTCATCCAATAAAAGTGTTGAAAAATAGTCAAGTGTTTGTTCAAAATGCTCAAGAATCCGTAATAATAAAAAAATGAACGTAGAATTATTATGCGCTAAACAGGAAAAAAATTAAATATGCGAATTATACACAAAAAATATACGTAACTGAAACTTGCTCCAGAAAAAATTTTAGTTTTCTCATTTATTACACTCAATATTAAGAAAATCGCAAATGATGTCGAAAAACTCTATTGTTATTGCAGTTTTTATCTAAGCAGGTCATATGCTATCGTTAGGCACAAAGAAACCAAATTATGTCAAAAGGGGTTTTCAAACTCGAGAAGTAACGAAAACCAAACTCTACAAGTCGCTCATAATACCGGCTATATGGCGCAGAAGAGTGGACTGTGAGTCGTCTATATGCTTCTTTGCGCATTGGCAACGGCGAATACCAAAAACGCTGGAGTGATGAGCTGTACGAGCTATGCGATGATATTGACATAGTTCAGCGAATGAAGAGACAGCGGCTACCCTGGCTAGGTCATGTCGTCCGAATGGATGAAAGCAATCCAGCTTTTAGATGCAGCACCCGCTGGTGGTAGCAGCGGAAGAGGAAGACCTCCTCTTCGTTGGAAAGATTGGATGGAGAGTGACCTGGCTACACTTGATATTTCCAACTGGACCCAGGCAGCGAAGAGAATAACGTAAGCGATCCAAACGCCAATAAAGAAGAAGAATATCAATATCAAATTTATCGGTTTCAGTATACTTAAATCAGTTTGAAATTTTTTTTTTTTGCCCTTCCTTTACTAGTCAATTTTCGAGTGCTCCCAATTCATAGCGATTTTAATGATACTAGACTTAAATTGTTTATAAAAAAAGCGTATATAAGCTTATGATTATTTTTACTATAAACTAAATATATTTAATTTTTATTATAAGTACATAGCTGATATAAATTTGTATTTACATATTTTTGAAAAAAAAAAAATTATTTTATTTTAGGTGCTGGCGTCTTGCCATACATAATTTGTTTGTTCCTATTTGTTGTTCCACTTTTCGTTATGCAATCGTTTATGGGACAATTCTCGAGTAGTGGTTTCATATCGTCATTTCGTATAGCACCGTTATTTAAAGGTAAGTATTTATTTCGAGTTTGATTTGATGGGGTTCTTCCCATTTTTCGGTCTTCGGGTTTTCCTATGCGCCCGCCCATAAAGTTTACAATCCTGCTCTTGTTAATATGTGATTTTAATATGGCTTACAGTACACGTATGTACGTAAATATGTACCTGGGCACAGCTCCCTTGCAAAGTCAAGCTGCTCCTCATCACTTTTCAAATTTTTTTTTTTTTAAATATCAAATCAATACTTTTATTTATTTTCACATTTAGGAATTGGCTACATAAGTTTGGCTGTGAATTTGGGTGTACTTACCTATTATAGCGTTCTAGCTGCCGTACCGTTACTCTACCTCTTTCATTCATTAAGACCTACACTGCCGTGGAGTTGTGAAGGTTTAAAAGACTGGTCAGCTAATGTAACAGAAAATCCTGTAAAACATGTGAGCATAAAATTGAAAAAAATTGTAACATAATTTGTATTACAACAATAAATTACGGATGTTGCAAATTACTTTCGCCCCTAATTGGATTACATACTTACGTACATAATCTTTTGACCTCTTTAATTTTAGCTTTGCCATATGTTGACGAATGACACAACGCCGAATGCCAACTTTTCCTGGTTTGTAATGCACGAAATACCATCGAACTTATTTTTAAAGTAAATTTCTTATCTATTATTATGTTTTGAACATACTATATTTCACTCGTCATATTATTTTAGAACACGCTTTAACAATTTAGAATTATTTGAGCCCAACGATGAAGGATTTTATATATCATGGGAGATTTTACTTTGCACATTTCTAACATGGACAATAATTTCGTCTATATTCTATAAGTGCAGAAGCATTGAGAAGGTAAATATTAAAAATTTATAATTCTTATACATTTAATTTTTTTTTTTTTTTATTTTATTTTATTAATTTTTTTTTAATTCTCTATATTTAATTTTTTTTACTTCCCTTTATTTTTTAATTTTATTATTTTATTTATTTTTTTTTTATTTTACTTAACTTTATTTTGCTTTTTACTATTTTATTGTATTTTATTTAATTTAAATATTTACATTATTTTATTTTATTTCAACTCATTTTGTTTTATTTTGTTTAGCTTATTTTCCTAAAATTTATTTCAATTAATTTTATTTTATTTATTTATTTAATTATTATTTTATTTAATTATTTTTATTTAGCTTTCTTCTTTATGCTTTTTAGTGTATTTAATTATATTATTTTACTGATCTTTATTTTGCTTTATTTTATTTTATTTTATTTTACTTTATTTTATTTTATTTTACTTTGTTTTATTCAATTATTTATATTATTTTAGTTCTTTTTATTTAGTTGAATTTTATTTAAATTTATTTTATTTATTTAAATTTAATTTATTTCAATTAATTTTATTTTTTTAAATAATTTATTTTATTTTATTTAATTTTATTTTATTTTAATTCATTTCATTACATTTTATTTCAATTAATTCTATTTTTTTACATAATTTTCTATATCTATTTTATTTTTAGTGAATTTAATTTTTTTAGTTTAGTTACCATTATTTTGCTTTATTTTATTTTACTTTATTTTAATTCATTTTTTAATTTAATTTAATTTTAATTAATTTAATTTTATTACATTTTATTTCAATTAATTCTATTTTTTTACATAATTTTCTATATCTATTTTATTTTTAGTGAATTTAGTTTTTTTAGTTTAGTTACCATTATTTTGCTTTATTTTATTTTACTTTATTTTAATTCTTTTTTAATTTAATTTAATTTTAATTAATTTAATTTTATTACATTTTATTTCAATTAAATTTATTTTTTACATAATTTGTCTTTAATTTAATTTTTTATTTAATATTATTTTATTCTTGTGTATGTTATTAATTTTATTTTATTTCATTTAATTTTAATTTACTTAAAATAATTTAATTTTATTTAATTTAATTTTATTTATTTAATTTTTTTCATTTTATTATATTTTATCAATCATTTAATCAATTTTATTTTTTCACATAATTTTTTTTATTTTATTTTATATTATTTTATTTTTATGTATGCAGTTATTTGTATTGTAATTTAGTTTTTTAAATTTAATCTAATTTGCTGTCTTTATTTATTTTATTTTTAATCAATAATTTATAATTTTTCAGCTTGGCACAGTACTACGTTATTTAATATTCATCACCTTGGCTTTGCTCCTGATCACTGTGATACGGTTTTCTTTGGTGCCCAGCAATCTCACACAAGCAATATATGATTTCTTCATACCAAATCGGTTTACCCTGATTCAAAGTTTTTCTTGCGTAAGCATATTTGTGATTTCGGTTTTTGGCGCTGGCTGGGGTACTGTTATATCTTTGGCCAGTTTCAATAAATTCAAATCGCCCATCACCCAAAATAGCTGGACTATTTGCTTGGGACAAATGTTCGTATTTCTCTCCTTCGCGTTTATCGTCTTTGTCACAGATAATTATTTTGATGGTGAGTATTGTATGGGGAATCAGAAGTTTTGCCGTATATTTCTATTTTTCCTATTATTTCGTGTTTTTTAATTTTCATCAAATTCCGTATTTGAATATTTACAGAAATAAAGGAAGCGTATGATGAACAGAATCCGAATTCATATGCATTTATAAATAAATTATGGGTATTGTACCTCTCCACTGGCAGCGTGTTGGCGGAAATGTCCTGGCCAAATCTGTGGTGTATTATTTTCTATCTTATGTTGATATTGACAGCGCTGATCACAATGGTGAGAAACAATTTTTGTACATCAAATGCATAAGTTCAAAACTTTATATTTTCTAATTTACAGTCCATTTGTCTACTATCAACACTGCAGAGTATCTTTGATGATTTCGAAAATTATCGTACGCGCAAAACTGAAATCACTTTTATTGTGATTGGCCTTTTAGCCATATGCTCACTGTATACCTGCTCCAATGTAAGGCATTTTCGAAAACTCATAGTTTGAAATTTCTTTTACTGTTTTTCTTTTCTTTGCATTTTTCCAGCAAGGCGTCTTTCTACACGTTATATTCGCCAACGACACGGTTGTCACACAAACGGCACTGAACCTTCTGCTCTTCCTCGTGGTTTTGTGGGTTTATGGTCGCGTGCGTTTCCAGCGTGACCTGGAATTTATGTTGAGTGAACGTTTCAGCAACTGCAAAATTTATATGTTACGTTTTGTGTCGCCACTGTGCCTAATAGTCATGTTGGTAGGGAGTCAAACTAAGTTTTAAAAAATATTTTTATTATATCGTTGTAACTATTTACAGCTCGCTACATTTTTCGTTGCCTTCATGTACCATAATGTTGGCTCTTGGATAGTGCAAATAGCTGCTTTGCTTTTTATCGTTTTACCCTGGCTTTATGTGCCGGGTTATATGATTTATATAATGCTACAGACCACTGGCACATACAAGACACGATTCAAGCGTTGCTGCCGCCCAATGGATTGGTATCCAGTGGAATTGGAGGATCGACAACGTTATGAGCAGGCAATGCGCAATACGGATATGACGCATCAATTGAATTCGCTGGACGAGGAGACGGCGACGTAAATATTAAGTGATGATAAAGATGATGTGATGATGTGATCTGATAATGATTTAGCCTCAAAATGTGATTTGTATTTAAAGCAAATAATAGTTTAAATAAATTAAAGTATTTAAATGGCATTAACTGCAGTTTATATTTGGAACAACTGTCGGGAAATTCTGCATCCACGTAAAATATCTCCAAAATATCTGAGGATTATCGACTTTGCCAGGGCCCGAGATATGGGCTGTAGTGCTATATTCCAGCACCAGAACATTCACTGGGCTACTATAATTAGCTGCCTTCAACCTGATCGAGATGTTGTGATAGACGGATGACTTGTCTGCAGTGTTATTAGCCTGCGTACGCTCCGAGGATCCAACAACCTCTCGGATCACTATCTTGCAGCATGAAAGATACCCGTCAACACACACAAAATAGGTTTGACGTCGAAAAGCTACGATCACCAACTCAGTCGAATGGATTTCGTAACATGATTTGAACCCTGGCCTTCCGAACGGCAGTACGCAATTCTGACCCATCCGCTACCGCCGTCGCCGAAGCTATTGCTTTCCAGAAAAAATCAAAGTTGGTTATTGTTATAGCTGTTACGATGATGATTGCCGTGCCGCTGTGGAGAGGAAGCAGACTGTTTACCTCGTAACGTTGCGATTGACCACTACAGCCGCGGGTGCGATAGATATCTACAATTGAAGAGTGACAGAGAAGTATATGCAGAAAAAAGAAAGAGGCCGAAATAGGTAAGTATGAAGAGAAGACCAGGGTAATGCTCGAAAATTCTACGAAAAGATATCACTTCCCTAGCCAGCTGAAAAGCAGTAAAACTGCAACACCCGGAGATGCTGAACCCAAAATGAACAGAACAATTTAAGATATCTCCTGTTATCTAACAAATAGTCATCGCAATCGCAAGAACAATGTCAGCAGCGCGACTCTGAATGCATAAGCAGAGTCTACGCCAGTAAAGAAGAAGAAGAAATAGCATAAACATCATGATGAAACATATGTCCCGTGAGACAGTGCTTATAATTATATAACAAGTAGTAACTACTAACGGACAGAGAAACACACAAAATGCATTCCGTTAGGCTCTATCGGTACTTGCAACTGATAAAGAATAAGAAGAGGAAGCTCTTCATCACACTCGTATGTATTTCTTATATATTATTACAGTTATCTAGTAAGGGCAATATGCAGTACCATTTCCGCTGCTGGCGCTGCAGCATTACCAATCATCAATCCGACGGCTAAGCCCTTATCGGCTGTGGCCTTTGCAGAAATGTCAAATTTTGCTTTTTAAATCTACATGCTTTTGTAGTGAAGTAAACAAGTTTTAATATACATATACTAGACGCATACATATATATATATTTATATGTATATGTGTGTGCATTAATAAACAAATATTTCGTCGAAATTTAATTTATTATGCGCGCATTTCTCAGAATAATCACTACTAATGACGTCGAGAGTACATCAGCGCGCTCTTTAAAACGAATGAAAATCTCTCAAAAGAAGGTTTTTTGCATTCAAAGAAATTGAAGGCATGAAACTTGATTTGTATTAATAATGCAATTCACAAGAATTCGCGAAGCCAAGAAGCTATATTTACGTGGTGATAAAATTGTTTGTTGCAGTTGAAACCAAAGAGAAGAATAAGAACAAGTGCTCAGTGACTAAAAGAATGCGCAACAAACTTTGTCAATTCTCTTTTAACGTTTATTTAAAATTCAAATATATAACGTTTATATTTATGTATGTATATGTTACAATATAAATCATTCATATGTCAGCACTAACGAATAGATGATAATTTCTGTGGTCAGTATGCGTAATAGTGAATTAGTAGCGGTGGTATGAAGTAATTTACATATACTAAAACAATATGTGAGTAAATGATAAATTGGTCTAGTAAAAAGTAATCCATTATTTTTGAAGGCTGCACTGATTTGCTCGATAACTTAGACCATTTTAAGCGTAATGTCATGATGAATTTATCCCTATTAAAAAAAAAATCGGAGAAATCGATTTTCACAAACTTCTCTTGAGAGCAACGCCTAACCAGTTAAATCACTGCGCGAGCTCCGGATTATTAGCCGGATGCATAAAACCCTCCCAACCAAGCACTCCGAGCTTCTTGCGAGTCACTATCAACCTAGACCAAATGAAACACAAATCCTCTCCTCTTGACGAAAGCTCGACGCTTCTGGGCGATTTCATACTTCAGACGGTCCAATCGCTGAAAGTAGTGGTCTGAATTAAGAGTTTAGGGTAGCAGCTTATAGTGAATGATTACTTGCTAACCGCTCCAAGCAAACAACAAAACTTTCTGGTCGCTCGGAGACCTTTTGTGCTGGCTCACCAACCTTTGATAGCGATCGTTTTCGTTTCACGTTGTGGTAGCGAAAACGATGAAGGAAAAGTGCTAAGAGATGCACGAGTACAGATTGTGCCAGAAGTTTTAGGAGCGCTATTATATACCTCCAGGGATATGAATTTCAATCTATGTATTGGTAGAATGTTAAAGTCTCCTCTTTGGACCAGGTAAGAACAGCAATAAGGCATTTTAAAACCACAAGGCCGGAGGTGAGGGTATACTAGATGAGCTTTCTAAGACTAGCGGAGCTTAATATAAAATATGTGAGATGTGGCTTTCTGTGATAACCCCAGTGAGATTCAGGAAGCTGACTGTACGAAACTATTTTTAAGTTTTAGAGCCCCTCAAAACTCATACCGTTATAATGACGTTGCGAACAACCTCTCTGGGAAGGACCTCTCCGAGGTCTGAGAATAGCGCTACGGTCCAACTTATTCAATTTGGTTTTGCCATGTATAATACGCGTTGTTTATTTAGAATCTAGTATCAAAAAAACAATAGCGTTAGCTTGGAGATTTAACGAACGAACTGACCAACAGATTCCACTTTGGGCTCGATATGCAAATGTAAAGCAGATACCTTTCTCGGCCAACTAAACTTTCGCTCAAATATTTTTTATCACGCCCATTCTCTGCCATGGCGCCTAAGATGAGAATGATCTAGGTGCATTTGATGGATCTATTATATTCTATGTAAAATCTATGGCCCTGTCCCCGTAAGGAAAGAATACCGAATAAGATGGAATCATGAACTGTATGTGCTTTGGAACTTATCGTTCGTATGGATGAACATGCACCCATGGAAGGATCATATGATGAAGCCCTCTGTGGTGTTCAACGAAAGTTAGGGCGCATCCAAACAGCATTGAAGGGCCTAGTCCAAGAGGACCTATCGGTTCTTGGTCTAAATAACTGGCGGAACTTCGCTGAGGTGAAATTTTGTTTTATCAGCCATAGAAGAAGAAGAATACTTACTTATCAACACGCATTGAAGAACTCTTTTAAATAAAGAAAACTTTGGAACTTTTTAAGCTCAAATATTTAAGTACCAAAAAATAAATGTTTTCATATATATTTTCACCTTAATATAGATTTATATATATGTAATTTTTTAATTTGCCTTTGAAACTAATTTTATTTTGAATAATTATTTTTTTTGTCATTATAATTAATTGTGGTAAATAAATACAAATTTGACGATTCATGCGATATAACTACATATATGTACGTATGTACGTATGTACGTATTCTAATTCTCTGCTCAATCAATTGCAATATTATTCTGCTATTAATGTGAAAAAAAACTCAATTAAATGCAATGTTTCAATTTAACAGTAATAACAATTTTGTGAAAAATATTATGAAGTTATTACCGTGACAGGTAATTCATTTCAACTTAAGCAAAAAAAAATTGCTTGCCTGATATTGAAAAAAAGTAATATTTTTATACATTTCGGTTACGGTTTCGAAAATAAAAGTGAATAAAATGCATTTAAAATAATTTTTTTTTTTATGAAATTCCTTTTTTTATTAAATATAAAGTTTATACGTTGGGATTATATGTAAAACACTACAATAGTTAGATCGCCGTTTCGCGAACTCTTGAAAACTACGAATCGATTGAGATAATTTTCGAGCACTTTTTGGACGGTACGAGTATATCAACCACAACTTGAACAATATAGGTTTTCAAGTGCTCAAGAAAAAAGGTCCAACGGAGAACTCTCTCACAATAAAGCGTTGTGAATGCTCAGCTGACTTCAGTTGTTGTGTGAAATGTACTTTATATGGATATACTTAGGCTTAAGTCCAGTGCAAGATACCTCATAATGCGTTGTGAGAAAGTCCCAGCTCTTCAGCTACATTTTCACTTACAGTAGTGATATCTGAGGTAGAACGAGCAAAATGATGATTCACAGGCCTCACAATATCTGTAACCGATCCAGTCTCTATAAATTTCTTCAAAATTTAACCAATTGCATTAGTGGTTGGACGATCAGATGCACCATAATCTCCTTTTAACTAAGACCGAGTCAATCATGCAAAATTTTGTTCGTTGTACATACACGTATATATGTCAATCTTTCTATTTCTTGCAGTTTTGCCATTTTAATGTATTAGATTGCAAGCTATTGACCGATAAGGGATTGTGATGAAATTGCTTACATTTTTAAGGTATAATCTTTACATGTAATATTTGTGAACTATAATACATCACTGACATTTTAATATATACTATATTCAATTAAAAAAATCTCTAACTTCTAATCTTGAACTAAAACATTTATTATGATATTGATATTGTACAATGTAAAAAATGTCACAACTAACAAATTTTCAAACTGAGAATTTATGCGCTTAATTCGTACGAAAATAAGTTTGAAATTAAAATATATTTTTTTAATGATAATCATAATGTTTGTATCCCTTAAGTAAAAACCTCTTTGTCTATTTCATATTTTTTATAAATAAATTTCTGTACGGTTCCAAAGACACTAAAATATAGTAATTTTTTAACTCACATGCATATATTAAAATTAGGTATGTGGTGGAAAAATTTTTTCAAGCGTGTTACCCTATAGTCTCAATCTAAGTTGCGTATTGATCAGCGCCATTGCATTGGTTAGATGTGACGTTGAGTGGTATGATGTGATGTGATGTCATATGAATGCATATAAAATATTAGTATTTTAAAGGAATGGAAAATAGAAATATTTGAAGTGGAATGATGTAGTGTGTTAGGATATTTTTTTCCCCCCCGAGACCAGTTGAGATATGATGTGATGTAATACGAATCATATATTGTGAGGTGAAATCATATGATGTGATATGACGAGATTTGGAATTTTTTCAGCAGATCATTCCAATATGAATATGTATTGTGATGTGCTTATTTAATTCAAAACGGTGTGATTTAATATCATATGATTTTGAATAAAATGACGTGAAAATTTGACATGACAACAGACTGCTTTCGTTATGATATCTGCTGATGTTTGTTGCGTAAAAGAAAAATCGTAAGAAATTTCCACAGACTTTTACCCTGCATTTTTCGTAGAAACTTTTATAATTTTTTTATATTTTAAATAAATAATAATAAATTTTATTTGTAATCAAGAAATATAAATTTATTTATATATTAATAATTCGCATCATGTATGTGGATCATTGCTACTTTTAAGGAGAAATAATTATGCATATCGCATATCTACTCCAATATTATTCAATTAACAAATCACTTTGCGTGTTAAATCCAGCCCCTCACACGATGTGTCTCCAAATAAGAGCATATGAATGAATGAATGCTTATGAAATATGTATTGGAGCATGTAATCTAGTCAGGCATAAATTAACATAGTCGGCTTCTAACTATTGCTAAAGACTATTCATATTATCGCTCGTCTTTATTTCATTATTTTTTATTTTTATTTTTTTGGTTTGAGCTCTATATGCATGCTTTCTCAACAACAATATGCAGTTACATCCCTTTTAATATTTTTAAATTACAATAAGATCTATATAATCTCTTAGAAGGTGTCAATCAAACTCAACAAGTGCTAAACAATTAAAAAAAAAAATATTAGAAATCAAGGAATCTACAATACTTATTCAGAAATCTGAGAGGCAGCAGAGTAAGCATTTTTCCTTGGGTAACTCCACAGCAGTTATGTATGTATGAGGAACAAAACAGTTTTGCTGTTGTTCTTTTGGGCAAATAATCATAATGATTGGCAATCGCTACTATACTACGTAAACCATTTTTTACAAAATTTGTATCTTCTCTTCGGTGACTAGCCGTAGTATTTTCTTTGGGATTTGTATATGTCGGCACATTAAGGTAAGGGTCTTTTGGCGCCGAAGACAAGTTCGGATAGTTAATGGACATCTCATTAAGAGGTGTCATTTTATTGTAATATTCAAAAAAAACGTTTCACTTAAGAGATTGTTGGTTTCGTTGGTTGTGTGACACGTAAAGCCTTTTTGTTGAAAGTAAACTTCGTCTAATAAAATGTCACATTCCCTATAGTATGTGCAACAATCTTGAAAATAAAACCTTTTCTCCTTACAAATCCCTTTAAGCCCTCACAAACAGGAACTTCTCCTAGAAATATGCAACATTTTTATGTTTCAGCGAATAATAATTTTATACAACTACACAATGGTTACCTTAATATTTCAAAATTAGAGAATAAAATAAATATTTATTAATCATCGAAAATCGCTTTATTGCTTTTCAAAATATTCTCTCTTAAAGTATGTACACTTTTGCATGCGTTTGAACGCAACAATAGTCTCTTGACATGTCAAAAAACGTTGACCTCTCAATTTATTTTTTACGCACGGGAATAAAACAAATCATTCGGTGCCAAGTATGGACTATATGGTAGGGTATTTTGAGCGCTCAAAAGTGCTTCGTGCGCTTCCAAGATTTTCTTTAAACATACATACAGTCGACTGCTGTTTACTTTCGGGTTCTAGCTTGTAAATCCACGATTTGTCACCTATCACGAAGTCGTCGACGAGTTTCGTTTATCGTATTTTTTTAATGTCTGCTGGTAATGCCTAATACCTCTAGTCGTCTCAATTTCACGATCGGTCACATTATGATCTTACAGCATCAGTTTGCGTACAACATCAATAGTTTCCGGATTAAGAAATAATTTTGGGCGCACTTCACGAGATTCTCCTTTAAGTGATCTACGATCTCGAGCAAATTCACCATAAAAATCGATAAGCGCTGATTCTTGAAACTGCTTCATCGCCAAAAATTTATTTGGCTTCATCGATGCACTGTTGCTGAGCTAATCCATGTTCATTTTTTTTGGGTTGAGATGAATATTTTAAGTTAGTAACAACCACACAACTAGTGCTCGTATGTCCAAATGTTCTGATTATCTACGAGTATAGCATCAAAAATGTTAAACCTAAGGTGAAAGTTGTCAGTTGCGAGATTGCTACATTAGTTTTGCTAAATCCATGAATATAAAAGACAATCCCCCTATACATATAAAACTCACTGTATGCTTATTTGTGTGCTTTGTACGACGCGCTGTTATTTTACCGACCACGATTGTACATTTAATTACATTCCGTACTAAGTTAACAAATACCAAGAGATGCAAATCATAAGCACAATGTCTGTGCTCTACTCGAATTTCTTTTTATTTTAATATATACACACATACATACGAGTATGTCTGTACATTGAATATAAAAATATATGTAAATGAATATATATTTTTTAAATACGTCCAATGATAATTTCAAATATAACGATAATGCAAAATTCTGCGCTCATTTTTAGATGAAAAGTAGAGCACAAGATGATTATTTCCCAAACATAGATATTTACATTCATATATACATACATATTTTATATAAATATTATACATATCGCCTGTACAGAATATTAATATTAATATAAATTATTAATTAATAATGTGTCTATTTGTACTGCAAATTAAATTTTAATCACACATATACACACAATTGTAATCACCTTGAACTTCATTGCAACGCTAACAGCACAATAACAACAACAATAATATATGTTGTCAACAAAACCTCTGAAGTTCACAACGTTTGACCGCATTTCAGAGAATTGCATGCGCTTAACCGTTATCACTTGCGATCGGTCTAACAAAACCATATACCACACTATTGTACTTCATGCATAGATGTCCACTATGCTAATGTGTGTGTGTGTGTGTGTGTGTGTGTGTTTGTGTGTGTATATGTTATTATTTTAATTCTTAACAACAAACAGAAATATGCAATGCGCTAATGTAAATGCGATCAGCGATGTTCAGTAATGCGCCGGAGCTGTCGCTAGTAAATACAACGTAAAAATATTTACGGAAGAGAGAAGCCGTAGATCGGCGTTTAGCGTTTAGTGAGCAGAAAATTCATCAAAGAAAACAAAAAAAAAAATAAATAAAATAAAAATATTTGTTCGAAAAGTACATATGTATGTAGCTGAATAGTGTGATTATCAAAAATAATAAATAATAATTACGAAACGAGAAACGAGCAAAAAATCTCTCCACATGTATATATATAATTAATTAATAAAAAAAAGAAAACAATAACAACACAGCAGCAGCAGCAATTAATATAGCAGAGTTAAATACATTACATACAAACGAAATTATATTACAATGATATAAACCTACATACTATTTAATCAATTTACTCATATTTGTATACACATATACATACATACGTTTATGTGCATAAAAAATTTTGTTGAACAAGTAAATGGAAATGAACATCCGAGTATTAATTTAGTGTGGCTTTTCTATTCATTTAACTGACGATGTTGCTCACGTTTTAATTAAAATATTGCTCATACTTTTGTATCGTTTACATATGTATGCACATATAACTACGTACTTGCACAAATATCTGTAAGAAAAAAATAATAATTTTTTTTAAGTGAATTTTGTGTGCTTTTCTATTATTTTTTTCTCATCTTTTTGTATTTTTGTAATTAAACGTCGGCAGACATTAGTGTGGCATAAACTTGGCAATCATTTCAGTGTCGCTTAGCTTTTCGTTGCAACGCATTCATATACATATATACAAATTTTGCATTTTCACAGCATCGCATCAACATACAAACAATATTTCGATTTGTTTACGAAAATTAATTTTTTTTTCATACAGAATAAAGCTAAGAAATACATGTATATAATAAAAATAAATGTAAAGTAAAAAAAATTAAAAAAAAAATAAAAATTAAATAAAATAAGAAAAGAAAATTAAAAAATAAAAAATAGAAATAAAATAAAATAAAAAAAGAAAATTAAAATAAAATATATTAAATAAAATATAAATAAAACCAAAAAATAATTTAAAAAAAAAATTAAATTGAATTAAATAAAAAGGAAAATTAAAATCAAAAGCGAAAGCAAAAGTGTCAAGAAAAAGAAGAATAAAAGTTAGTGCAAAAAAAAAATTAAAATGGTTTACGAATCATCATATGACAGTGGTCGCAGACCGCACAAGCCCGATCTGACGCGCGGCTATTGGGCGGCGCCAAGTGATTTCATTTATACCTGTATTAGTTTGGGCTTCCGCATGGATGTGATATCAATGGGCTGGTTTCTCTATCAGCACATGGGCGGTAAGTATTATGTGGCTGAATATTAATCACTTAAGAACATTTTTGCTAAATTTTATTTAGGAATTATAAGCAAGTTAGATTCAAAAAAATAAAAATCACCTGTAAAGGAAAGAAGGGTCTTCTTCTTCTTCTGCGTCTTTCTTAAATTTATATTTCACTTCAAATGCGTCAGGAAGTAAGCTCAAAATAAGCATTTATTTGATTGGAAGTGCAAATTATTGTAAGATTTCACATCTGTCAACCATAATTAGTATGCATCAGCGGCTATTTCTGACAGCAACACTGTTTTCTGCTTTGTCGAAAATGTCCAGATTTGTGTTAGATATTTTATTTGGAAGAAAAGTACAGCTGAAGCCCAAGCCCATGAAATGCTTTTGGAAGTTTAAGTTGACTCAGCACCGACCGATAAGTCCACACTTCAAAATGGTGATTTTAGTGACGAAGACAAGAGCTAACACAAAATGATTGAAGTTGAGAAATTGTCGGTTTTTTCTGGATCAAAATCTGCGCAGAATACATTGGCAGTGATTTAGCAAACAATTTCCAATCGGTTAAAACAATTTAAATTTAATCAAAAGTAAATAAGTTGAGTGTCGTACGAGTAGAAGCTAAGAGTTGTGAATAGGTGTTCTGATGTAATCGAAGAATTGCGCAATGATTGAACTGAAAGCAGGGAAATCTCATTTTCTAGATTGGTATTCCAAAGAATGGCCCCTGCCAACAGGCAATAATACTTTTTTGAACACAAAGAATATAATTTCCACTCCAAAGTCAGTACTTACTTTTTATCATTTACATATAAAGTTTTGTATTGTATTTTAATTTTATCGTATTAAAAATGTTAAGTTAAGATTTAAAAACATGAACGCGCTTTAAAGTGAGAGTTTTTGCGCCTAAATGTATGCCTAGTGTTTGCAGCAAGTTTTTTGTACGTTATTTCTTTAGATACCTTTAAAAACAGTAGTACGCACAAAAATTAAGTGATTATTTGTTGTATAATTAATCTTTATCATCAGTGGCTTAGTGAGGGGTATTTATAAGAAACCTTCGTACAGTAACTCGTTGCCTTGCCAGGAACTAGCCTTACTATACATTAGTTACATACTAGTTCATTGTGTGCATGGAACCAAAAATAAAAGTCAAAATCGAAGTCAAAATACTAATAAAGGGGAATTTTCCTGAAGCCAAAATAACCACAACATAAGAATGGCGTCGTGGTGGAAATTATTGTTATAGGCATCACTGATGACTTGCATCCGTAGAATAAAAGGTGTTTTTTTTTAGATATGTGGTTTTAAAGAAGAAATAAAATTCATATTATTTAATGTTATGGCCAAGAATTTAGCTCTTTTATGAAGATACGAATTTGCTTTTATGTTTAAAAAATTATTCAGGCTTGAACGAGTAAATTTTAGCCAAGGAACTCAATTTTCGATCACTTGTTGCAACAATAACGCGCCAAATATTATTTTCCAAAAAGTCTATCATCTCGGTCTGATCTGAGTAGACAATCGATTTTACATAACGCCACAATAAATAGTAAAGCACAGTGGCCATCTCCTTATGGGACCTATTCATCGAACATGTGAATTTTTTCGGCCCGCAAACCATAATCATGCCATAAAATTTTCGATAAAATAGATGGGAACAACACGATGGCTGGTGTTAAGTGTGTGTGTTCGGTTCTTCTTTAAAACTCTGCTCTACAGCAACAAGAGCGTTTTCCGGGTGCACTGTACGGTATCCCTGATGCTGCGCATTATCCACTAGAGTAGATGGGTTTAAAAACTGATCCATGATTGCTCGTATACCGACTCTGCTGAGCGAAGGTGTCGGCCGAATATTGAACGGAACACGCAAGTCGTCGTTCGAACCAAACTAATATTTTAGTAATAAATTTAAATGATGTTACTTTAGATGCCAAAAATCCAACAACGAAAAAAGTGTTGCCCTCATTGAAAATCACACGTCCATCAAAACATAATTTACTAGTATTTAACTAGAATCTTTGCATAATGTGCAGAGCATTTATTTGTTTTTCTGCTATTTGATTTAATTGTACTCGTATGTAATAAAGTAACTGGGAAATAAACACACACAACTCGAGAACAGCGGTTGGAGATGTGGCGAATTGAAGGCGTTTGCATTCAAACACCTTCATTAGTATTTGATAACTGATAACCCACAATCTATGCTATACGCCTCTAAATTATTGAAGATTATATACATAAATATGAAAATTTAAATATAATATTGCATATGATGAATATATAATATATGTCCATAATTAGCTGCTCAGTAACCTTTGGCGAAGTGATAAGGAACTGTAGCTTAATGTAAATGAAAGGCAACATTTCAATAAATAGTCATGAAATTACAAAAATAATTTGCAATAATTTATTAATAATACTGATTTTCATCTAAATTTTAGCGTCATAAATACACGTCTGGCTATGCATTTTAAAAATATAAAATTTACAACAATAAGCGTTTTCAAGGTTTATGCTGCTAATAGAAAACCCTATATTTATTAGCGGAAGTATTTTGTGCAACTTTAATGAGAACAAATCAATATTTTCGATTTTTCGTTTAACTTTAAGTCCATTTAGCAAAAGCTTAGTTTAAACTCGCAAGCATAAACTCTTTTCCACCACGAGTTAAGGCGTCTACTCGGGTAGATTGTATACATTTTCTCTACATACAGTGTGTCCCAAAAATAACTGAACTTTTTGGATATAAAATAAAATACACATTATATTATCTTTGAAAGTTATTATTTATTCAAAATAGGTTCCATTTGACTCAACACAACGTTTGGAACGATCGACCAGCGCATGCATAGATTTTTTTATGTCGGTTACGGCAACTTGAATGGCTGGGATATCATCATAAAATGCTCCCTTCGTCTTGGTTTTCAGTTTTGGAAATAAAAAAATAGTCACATGGTGATAGATCACGCGAATACGTAGGATGGTAGATGAGAGAAATCCCTTTTTTCATTAAAAATTTGGGCGATATTTTGGTCGTCATTTAATTCATGTGGAAAAAATCGCGCACAGATCTTTCTTTTCCCAAAATCTTCAGTTGAGATTCTCCAAATAGTGCTTTTACTCGTATTCAATTCCTCAGTCAACATTTTCGTAGTAAAATTTGTACCGATACCGATGATTTCACGGACTTTTCCCACCAGTTCAGCACGAATACTAGTTTCTGTGCGTCCTGCTCTAGGGTCGTCATTAAAATCCTCACGACCATTTTTAAATCGTGTAAACCACGTATAAACTTGCGTACGACTCATACAATCATCACAATAAACTGTTTTCATTAATTTTTTTTTCAAGTTTGACACAAAATTTTATATTTGCTCTTTGTTCCATTTAATTTTTGAACCATTAGCACACTTTTGGTTCTATTGAAATGGCTGTCACTTTTACATCTGTCATCCGACTTACATGAAGTTAGGTGCGTTTGATAGAGGATGAATGTATATTTTTAATGTTGTAAATTTTCAATAGATGGCGCTGTATGTTATATGATTTAAATATTATATAAAGTTCGGTTATTTTTAGGACACACGTATGTAGAAGCGTTCGATACCTAACCTAATTGATACAGAGTTTCCGTGTTGCTAACTTTTTGCCAAAAATAGAATTGTGTTTATAAAATTTTACTAAATTTTTGCAAAGTTTAACATTTGGTATTTATGCATGTAGGCTTAACCCGAGCAGAACAAACCTAGAAATGAAACATAAACTCTTCTAGTATCTCTTTCCATCATATTTCAGAAAATACCTTTTTTGTTTTTGAATTTTTGTCGAATACTTTCCAATTTTCTTTGTTTCTTGTTTGCATTGAACGATTCGCAATTTTTGTGAAATTATTCTTTAATTTTAGAAAATTGAAAATTCATTTATAAATAAATGAAATTAAAAGCAAAACAAAAAGTAAAAGTCAATCTTTTTATGTCTTATAATTAATATTTTTGAAAGAAAAAAATTTCTGAAACTACTCTGTTTTTTGCATCATAATGATGAATAGAAAATAATTTTTTTTTTCGTTTTCTCGACGGAAAAACTAATTTAGAATATGCAAAGATAGATCATATTTTGAATTGTATTTTCTATAAATGAATTTGTTAGAGCATTTTTGCATTAAAGTTCAGAAAAGCGTCTTACATTTAATATTCATATTTCCTAATTCTCGAATCTTCCGATAATTTTGGTATCGCAGAATCAAGTATATTAGATTTTTAGTTTTTCACTAATTTTCGTTAAGAATTTATGAAAGAAATCGTCTAGGTTGTGATTATTATAAATCAATTGCGTAACCTATTGCTTGAGATACTTTGCTAGACTGCGCTTTCGTTAGATGAGCTTCCGTATCTTAAGGGATCCCACATTTCATTATATTGCGCATAGAAGTAGCTTCCTGAGTGATGGACTGCTCTTCGAACAGTAAGTCGTTAAGTGCTTAACACCTATCTCCACAAATGCCAAGAGTTAATATTTCTGAAAAGCATACGGTCCTTCATACTTGCAAATCGAAACAAAGTGCTTTCAATAGATATCCAGAAAAACCTGTAACCGCCCCAATTGAATACTAATCAGCCTGTTTCACCAGATCAGTGTATCACCTCTGCGGGTTAGGGGTTTAAGAATTTACCCGCAGTAAGGCATGCCTGTCGTAAGAGACGACTAAAATCCAATAGTTCCCGCGACAGTCGGGTCTTTATACCGGAACGACCCGGATTTTTTTCCGGTCAAGGATTGTCACTCCCGCAACATTCTCCAGAAAGTACTTTCGGGAATATTTTTGCGGTTACAATAACAACAACCACCAGATCAGTATTAATCGCTGGGAGAACTGAGTAAATATAGACCGCTTCCTCAGAGCCCAACCTCCGAAGTAGTGAGTCCACCGCTTTCGCAATAGCAACATCTTTTCTCTAGAAAGTGCGATTCTGGAAGCCTAAATACTGTATTCATGAATGTATACATAAATAATTGGCACTTTGTAACCAGTGAAACGATTTTCGGCCAAATTTCTCATTCAATTTTCGCGTCTTGATGTTTTTTCAACAAATTTATGAATCTTCTGTTTATTCTAAGCCGCCTGGGAATGGCCTTCATTAGGAGCTTTTATTTTAGATCGAAAACATGCGGAGAGCTTGGAATGCTCTGCCGATGGGCTGCCGCAAATACAAAATTGAAATTAAGTTTTTATTTAAATTAATTTTCTATAACATTTTTTTTTTGCTTGGTTTGTTCATGACACAAAAACTTGTCTTTCGAATGTAAGTACGCACTACTAACCGCTCGGCTTTTACGTGACCACGAAAAGTTCGTGACGAAAACATTCGACTCATCCTGGAAAATATTTTAGAACTCAGTTCCTTAAGTTCATCTATCCACTCCACCCCACCCTCGAAACATGTATTCTAGAGAAGCAGCCAGCTCTGAGATACAGTGAGTTGAGTGCAGTTAAGGATAAGTCTTTAGTACTCGACGAAAGAGAGAAAGAAGTAGGAAAATGAGTGAGTGTCCTATACACAAGCAGACCAAGAATCCAGTCTCCGTATCTAACCTCGATTTTGCTATTGTAGATCTGTGAGCAACGTTTCCTGCTACATGCTTTACCAGGTTTTCAACTCCAAGGCAGAGTTTATTTGTAATATCTTAAAGATTCCACGAAGAGCCGGGCGTTGTATGATTTTCAGTTGCAACATAAGACAGGACAGACTTAACTGTAATCATGCTGATGATGGAAATTTTTTTTGAATTTTTTTTTTCTTAGAGTTTATGTGACTGTTGCAGCTGTTGATTTCTGTGAATTATTCTTGAAATCTTTATTAGAATTTATTCGAATTTTTTATTTGAACTCTTCAATAATTTTTTTTAACTCTCTCTCTACCTCCCATTTTCCAACAGGTGCTTTACTTTCATATGTTATCTGTTTATTTCTCTTCGTGGTGCCCATCATTGTAATCCAGTCATTTGTTGGTCAATTCTCCAGCAGTGGTTTCATATCGGTATTCCGCATATCTCCAATTTTCAAGGGTTGGTATTTTAATTAATTACAAATTTCATTAAATTTCATGGAAGGAAATGCCTAAGCTCATTCTTTTCATTCATTAAAGGTTTGGGCTACATAAGCTTGGGCGTCAATTTGGCTGTGCTCACTTATTACAGCATGTTCGCGGCCGTGCCTTTTCTCTATCTGTTCCATTCGATGCGGCCGACGTTGCCCTGGAGTTGCGAGGGCATGGAAAATTGGTTTATCAACCGCACCGATGTGGAAGTTGAGCATGTATGTATATGTATATGTACAGCAGCTGAAATAAGTTTTGCATTTTTTGTAATTTTTTTTTGTTAATTCTTTTCACTACATCAAACTACAATAGTCCTGCAAGCTAAAGGATATGGTGGAAATAAATGCCAGCATAGCGAACAGCAACGATACATATAAATATATTGGTTACGAAGTGCCATCTGTGCTTTTCTTTAAGTAAGTGCGAAATATTTTATTTACTAATTTGAGCTTTTCCATTAATAATTTCAAAATAAACAGTTCAATATTCGGTGGCGATGATCTGATGGCTAACTATGAGTATGATAGTCCTTTTATGTTTTCGTGGGAGCTCTTGCTTTGTACACTGCTCACCTGGGGCATTGTAGCTGGTGTCTTTTATCGCTTCTACAATACAGAGTTGGTTCGTATAAATTTATTTTAAATAATATAATTTTTAATTTTCTATTATTTCATTTACCCACAGATGAGTAAATTCTTGCGTTACACCATTTGGACATCACTGATTTTGCTGCTCACTTGTGTCATACGCTTTATGCTATTATCACTCGATTTCAAATACGTATTTAGCTTTTTTATAGCAAAACCAAGCGATATTGGCGAAGGCATACCGAATGCGATCGTGTTTATTGTATCAGCATTTGGTCCTGGCTGGGGTGCGATTGTGGCTTTGGCCAGCTTTAATCGTTTCAAAACAAATATCATGAGCTACAGTTGGATCATTTGTATTGGACAAATGGCTATTTTTATGGCTTATGGCATTCTCACGCATATCATACAGGGTTACTTTAAATGTGAGTTAATTCGAATAGGAAAAAATAATGCAAAAAAATATTAAAAAAATAAAATAAAATTAAAATTAAAGTAAAAATAAAAATAAAACAAAGACAGAAATTTAAAATTTTTTTTTTTTTAAATTATTTCTAATTATTTTTACTTTATTACTATTTATATTACTTTATGTATTTACTTTTTCCAGCTATTATTGATCACTATGATGATGTCGATAATTTATATGTGTATGTGAACCACCACTGGGCATTGTATTTGTCCAGCGGCAGTGTATTGGCCACCATGAGCTGGCCTAATCTTTGGTCAATCATCTTCTTCTCAATGCTTGCAATGATGGCGTTGATTACAATGGTAATAAGTGCCTTATACAATTTACAGGGAAAACTATTTCAGCTCTAATTCATTTCTTTCAGATTACTTCCTTATTTTCTGTCTTCCAAAGCATATTTGATGAATTTGAATTGTTGCGTTCGCGGAGAAGTGAAATTACTTTTGGTATCATTGGCGTTTTAGCGATTATATCACTCTATACCTCTTCTAATGTAAGTAATTGTATATGTTTTTGTTATTTACTTGAGATATATCCCGTAAATGTTAAGAATATCATATAATGTGATGTAACTCACTGTAATGTTATATTGTGTTATGATTACGTGATTGCCCTGGTTTGAGTTTTATGTGATGTGATAATGAAAGATGTGTTGATGCATGACGATACCACTTATGCTTTGTAACTAAGTTATTTATCTAGTTTTCGGTCTTGTGATGTGATATCATCTGATGTATTGTATGGTATGACTTGTGGATGTGTCAGGATTTGTGAGCTGTAACTCTGGTATCTCATCTTTGCTAGTGTGTTTTTATATGAGGTGATATCATCTGATGTATTGTATGGTATGACTTGTGGATGTGTTATGATTTGTGTTTTGTAATCGATAACGAGATCCTCTGTCACCTAATTTTGATACGATATTGCGTGTTGCGATGTTATGATATAACATGTGTCTTGTAACTGGTATGTTGTCTCTTGTTTTTTAGTTACAAATATTAAGTGTTATGATTTTATTAGTGACGTTACCCGACATCTGATGATATATCGTGTGAAGTATACATGATGTGATGTTTTCCGACATCAGATGATATATTGTGTGTTGTATACATAACGTGATGTTATCCGACATTTGATGATATATCGTGTGATGTATACATAACATGATGTTATCCGACATTTGATGATATATCGTGTGATGTATACATGGTGTGATGTTTTCCGACATCTGATGATATATCGTGTGCTGTATACATAACGTGATGTTATCCGTATATATCGTGTTATGTGTACGTGATGCGGTGTTATCCGACATCTGCTGATATATAGTGTGTTGTATACATGATGAAATTATCCGACATATAATGTCACATGATGTGATATTTTATCATGTGACAATAGGTGTAACTATATGATATGTAATGTGTATAAACACGTATATATGATATGAATATGTATTTGCATGTATATAATTATTATTTGGTTTCAAAGATGTGATGTTAGGATATCATTTGTATCCTAAAATTAATATGATATGTGAGTTGTAATGTTATGTGCTGTTATATGATGTGTTATGTTATGAAATGATTTATGTTCTGTAAATGATATGTTATGCGAATCACTGCTGTGTAATATTACATGCACTGATGATATAAAACGTGTTGTCATGATGTCATGTGATGTCTTGCTGTTAGTGAGATGCCTATTTCATGAAGCTGTTTTTTTTATTTTGTCTCATACGAGATACGTTTTTAAAATATTTACCTCCGAGATTTTATACAATGTGGCTTATATCTACTAACTCGAATTTCGTATAGGAGTACTTTACTGTATATTATGTAATTTTTTAACACTTTAACATACATATATTATATAATACAATATTATATCAATTAATACTGTGGTTTCTGGTGGTGAGCTATCGTAACATTAAATTTTCTCTCTTGTACCATTACAGCATGGCGTAGTTTTCTTCAGTGCCATGTCAACGGATTCCCTATTCACACAAACATCACTAAATCTCCTATTGCTCTTAGTAGTTCTGTGGGTATATGGACGTGTGCGCTTTCAGCGTGATATTGAATTTATGTTAAGCCAACGATTTGCCACATGGAAAGTGAATATGTTGCGGTTTGTGGCACCAATATGTCTATGCATTTTGCTGGTGAGTAAATTCATCACTAGATTTCAAGTTCAATTTGTTTACATTACATAAATATACTTATTTACATTTATTTGTTTACATGCATTTACAGTTAATTTCAGTAGTTGCTGCTTTCTTCGAACACAGTGTCGCCTCAATCGTTATTCATATTACTGCGGTCTTACTCATTATCCTACCTTGGCTCTACTTGCCCGGTTACATGATCTACGTGCTCTTACAGACATCGGGCTCATTTAAGATGCGTTTTCGACGTTCCTGTCGTCCAATGGATTGGTATCCGGTGGAATTGGAAGAGCGACAGCGTTATGAAGAGGCGATGGGTAATATGGACATTACACATCAGTTGAGTCAAATGGAAGATGAAGTTGTGCCATAAACAATTATCTGTTGCTGATTCTATGATTTTTAGTGATTCTTGTAGCTAACGAATTTATGTACACGTATGTTGAAGAAACTGTATTGTGATGAATTGTTATATTAGTGTTTATATTAATATGGCACTATTAATACATGTACGAGTATGTATGTATAAATATGAACATAGCTTTTTTATGAATAAATAACAAACACATAGTTTTTATTTTTCCTTAAAAAAATAAAATATTATTTCTTCAATTTCTTTGAATAATACATTTTTCCTAATATCTATGTATATAGAGGCACTCTTGTGGTTTGGAATATATTTTACTATGAATATAAACTATGGAAAAAATTACAAAAACTTCCTAAATATAGAATTTAGGACGTCACAATCTCTCGCTTTTCATTGTTTCCACTGTTATGGCTTTCAATTCACTTGTCAATTTACGTGAACGTTGATATTCCTCATACTCGAGTCGATGCTCCTCATTTGCCGGCGTCCAATCGACAGCTTGTAATTGTTTACGCAGTGTCTCCATTAGCGAGCCCTTACCACGCATTAGAGTGTAGAGCATGTGACTGGGAATGCATGCGATTGAGATGCAACAACTCAGCCAGCCCAGCGCTATGGCCCAACCGGGATAACGGATGCCATTATAGGTAATATCACGATTAAATATGATCGTGGTGAAAAACATGCCCTAGTGTGGTAAGATAGAGAGAGTGAGAGAAGGATATTCAGAGAAAAAGTTCAAAATTTTTGTACAAACAATCAATATAACTGGGGTTATGTACACCCAACATGACCGCCAAACGATTCCAGGCCTTTTGCCGATCATAAAATAAATGTCTGCTATGAAATTATCTACACCATAAATCCAAGCTACCATCACTACTTCCAGCACACAAATGAGTATCACAGAAATGGATGCCGAATACCAATCGAAAAGTTGAAGAATGAACATGCCAGCCTGCAATGAAAGCCAGAAATATTAATTAATTGAAGCGAGCCACGAAAAAAGCTTTCTTTTTATAATTTCCATCTTATGCCTTATGTCTTTTTAAGACCACTTAGAAATAATGACTCGTATTATGACCTGATCTCGATCCTCGGCTGTGCTTGAATATGACGTTCGAAAAAATTTTCTTTTGGTATTATAACGGCCGAAAGGCTTCAACGATTTCAAAGCGGTTCCAAAGCGCGAGTAACGACTATTCTGTATAACGTAAGAACATTTTAGAAATTTCCAGAGCTGAGTACAAGCGATCGATAAGATAATATAAGATAGTGGGCAACACAGCAGGCAACACAAAATAAACTCGTTAGTGAAAACATCGGTACATAGCCGTTGGTTGACATGACCTGCCAGTGTAAAAGCTGTCTCTTACTAAGCCATATCAATATCTCTGAGTACATCGTTTAATACACATACACGCTTCCAACTTCTCGATTGGTCAACTTTTCTCACTTTATGGCCACTTGAACCTTTACAAACTGCTGAACCATCGGAAGCACACAGTTGTATATCTCATAATACGAGCTTGAGAGTCCGTCAGTTCATAATAAGAGTATACTAATTAATATTTTCTTACCCTTGTCACCATGATTATTGACATTAAACACATAATTATGACCGAACACAATGTCACCAGAGCTTTATGTTTACGTAACTTCGGAATTTCATCGATGACGGACGAAATAATGGCTTCGATCTGGACGAACTGTAAATATTAGACTATTTTTAAATAAATCATACATCAATACAAGTATTATAATTTTTTTTTTGGTAATAAGCATTTTTCAACTGAATTCGATTACAACACAGCTCACATAACGTAAAATTTAACAAAATACTCACCACACTATCCAAACCCAACAAGAAAAGCATGAAGAAAAAAAGCGCCGCCCACAAGTGTGGCACCGGCAGCATAGCAATCGCCTGCGGGTATGTTACAAATGCTAAGCCAGGACCAGATGTAGCGACAGTGGCTACCGGTATGCCTGATTGATCTATTTACATATAAAAAAATAAGCAATAATATGAATATAAATACTTTTGTAAGCTTTAAAACTCACGCGACAAAAAACCCAACACGGAGAACACTACAAATCCCGCAAATATGCTCGTCGCACAATTCACAATCGGTATAACAAAGGAATCACCTCTGGCATTATTGCGAAAATTATTATAGCTTGCCATGTTCACAATACCGCCCCAGCCGGGTCCCAATGAAAAGAATATCTGTATTGCCGCATCAGCCCAAACCTTCAAATCAAGCAGGCGCGACCACTCCGGCTTAATATAGAATAAAATGCCTTTCATTGCACCGGGTAAAGTAATGCCGCGTATGAAAAGCACAAAGAGTATGAAAAATGGAAAGACCGCAGTGAAGTAGACCACTTTTCCCACCTGAAATTTGGGGGTTTAAGGAAGCGAAATTTTTAAATACATGTAGAAATTTCGACTTACTGTTTTTATGCCACGTATAATACACACATACACTGAAAGCCATACAAATATGAGACACCAAAATAATGGCCACACTATGCCGCCCAAATCCTCGATGCTCTCAGAAATCTTTAATATCTCAAAACTGTAGGAAAATATTAAACTATTTAATTATTTGCAATGCATATTTACTATAATAAACACTCACTGAAAGAATTCATCGGCTGGCGTACGAAATCCGGTGTGGTGAGTAAAATTACGTTTTCCTAGCTGCAATAGAGGAAGTAAGAATATTTAGATAAATCATAATAAAACGCGAAAATAAGCATGAAATACTAATAATATTAAAAATTTAATAAAAACAATATAGTAATAGTAAAAAAAGATATAATGAATTCAAAGGAACATTACAAAAAAAAAATATTGATATGAAAAGAAATAGTAGACAACACAGTTAAGTTAAAATAAAATTATATTATTATTAATTATCTAAAAAAAATAAACTTAACGAAATTGAAATAACATAAAATAAAATAAAATAAAATAAAACAATATAAAATAAAATAAAATAAAATAAAATAAAATAAAATAAAATAAAATAAAATAAAATAAAATAAAATAAAATAAAATAAAATAAAATAAAATAAAATAAAATAAAATAAAATAAAATAAAATAAAATAAAATAAAATAAAATTTAATTAAATAAAATTAAATTTAATTAAAAATTCACAATAAAATAACATAAAATGAAATAAAATATATAAATAAATAATACTAAATTAAATTAAAAAAATAAAAAAGAAAATGTAACAAAATGAAAGAGCCTGTAATAAGATATTAATACAAAAGTTAAATAAAAAAAAATTAAATAATAAAACTTAAAAAAAATAAAGACATATTGATTAAATTGAAGAAAAATAAAATAAAATACAATAAAATTATATTAAACACAAAAATAAAATAAAACTAAATAAATTGATTTAAATCTTAATAATATTAAATAAAATTCACATAAACATTTGTGTCGCTAGAAGCTTACATCCAAAACCTCCACACAGTATTCGGTATTCCACTTATTCTGGCAATCAATCCAGGGCAATTTGTTTGAAAGCAATTTACTCAGAAACATAATTGGATAAGAAATAATCACAGAGTAGTAACAGGTGAAAATCAAATTCACAATGACAATGGCGAAACCGGCACCTGGAACATATGTACAAATATTATAGTTGTTTAGAATTATAAAAAACATATAAATATAACTAACCCTTAAATAAAGGGGCCAAACGAAATACTCCAATGCAGCCAACACTGGAGAATTGACCCATAGTAATTTCCATGAAAAATAAAGGAATGCCGCATAAGAATAACATCAGTAGATATGGTACCAAAAATGCGCCTAGAAGTATGTGACAGAAGTTAAAAGAACAAATTTTTTAGAGCAAAATGTTTATGGGACTGTATACTTACAAGTAAATATATTATATATACTTATCTATAATTAATATTTTTTCATTCCCAAAACTTCTATGCATTAACAGAATTTTGGTGAGCAAATCCACACATACTTTTAACGTTTCAAATTGACAGTTTAAAATATGCTAATAAGAAATTATTATATTTAAATATACATTATAAAATTAAAAATATTAAAAAAAAAGAAATAATGAATTCTCCTTCGAGCCGGATTTGAACCAGCGACCTATGGATATCAACTGATTATGATTGCAGTAGAAAATGACAATGCAAAGCGTTTATCTTAGGCCAACGGTATATGTTCTTCATTGGCGGTCGAATACTCCGCAGCACTGACACTCTATTTAACAATCGCGCTTCTACAGTCCACCGCTCTACCAACTGAGCTATCGAAGGCGTCATGTGCCGGCTGGTAAATGCCACACTTGTATATTAAGTCACGTATTCTTCTCGGATGAGGCGCGACAACAATCATTGTGCGCGCGCATCAATGGTACCAAAGAACGTATATGAATACGTTCTTTGTTATTCATATACGTATATGAATACGTTCTTTGTTATTCATATATGTATATGAATACGTTCTTTGTTATTCATATACGTAAATGAATACGTTCTTTGTTATTCATATACGTTCTTTGATATTACGCACATATATAGGAGAACACTCATCTGCATAAGAATTAAACACATCCACCCACAATAGGTATATGCATGTATGAGCGTTTGTCAGTGGCACAATCCGTCGCACAAATGTCTGCGAAAGCCAATTTATATACAATTATACATACATATATACATTTCTCAATAAATGCATATATTTTTTGCAAATCTATTTATGTATAATCTAAATTTAACTCACATTGCGAATTTGGCGAAAGCAACATACAAAAAATTGAACACTCATACGCACCCATACTCAGATATAAGCACAAAGAAAAAGCACAAACAGCAGAAAAATATATAAATTCATAACTTAACTTATGTAAATTGCAGCAATTATAGCGCGATGCAAATTTGTATTCTTGTGGCGTCGGTATGACAATTGTTATGCAGCTGAGTATATATTCTCATACAACGGTTATTGTGTGCGTCTGTTAAGAAGCTAAATTACCGAATAATTGAAGTAATTTGAAGGAAATCCATAATAAGTTGTAATGTAGATGAATCAGAGTTAAAAATTATATATGAGAGTCAAATCATATAACCTAACCTAAAATAAATTTTATTAAAATAAAAAAATTAAATATATATAAACAATGTAGAATAAAATTAAATAAAACAAAATAATAAATTATAATAAAAAATATAAACAAATTAAATATAATGAGACTAAATAAAAAAAAGGTCAAATAATATAATATCAAATAAAATATACTAAAAAAATATGGAAATAAAATAAAATAGAATAAAATAAGTAAATTAAATGAAATTAAAAAAAATTAATTGAATAAAGCAAATCTAAATAAAATAAAACAAAATGAAATAAAAAATTAACACCAAATGAAATAAAATGAAAATTTTAAATAAAATAATAAAATAAAATAAAATATATTCAGCAAACTAAAATAATTTAAATTAATTTATTTCAAATCAATGGAATTAAACACGGCAAAATATAAAAATAAAAGTTTAAAAAGTATAAAACACAACGAAATAAAAAGAAATACGACGAAATAAAATTATATTAAAAAAATAGCATAAACTAAGTAAAATGAAATAAAAACAAAAAATGTAAAATAAATTGAAGTGAATTAAAATTAAATAAAAAAATGAAATGATATAAAATTAAGTAGGGTTAAATAAAAAATAAAAAAATATAGAATAAGATGAAGCAAAACAAAATAAAATAAAATGAGACTAAATAAAATAAAGTAAAACTATAAAAAAAAATAATATATAAACACAAAAAATAAAATAATAAAACAAAATTTATATAAAAAGATAAATAAAATGCAATAAAAATAAAACAAAATTAAATGATATAAAACAAGATAAAGCTTGATAAAGTAAAACGGAATAGGACGTACTAAAATTGAAAATAAAAAATATTTAGTCAAATAGAATAAATTAAGAAAATAAAATTAAAATAATAAAAAATTTAATAAAACAAGATGAAATAAAATATAATAAAATATGTAAATTATAATGAAGCAAAATTAAAAAAAAAAAAAAAAATAAAATGAAATAAAAATAAAATAATATATCGAAGTCAAATAAAATAATAAGTAAATATAAATAAATTACGTAATCTAAAATAAATTAAATTAAATAAACAGAATTAAGCTAAATCAATGAAATTAAATACGATATATCAAAAAAAAAAAAAAAATTTAAACAGTATAAAATACAACGAAATACAATGAAATGGGACAAAATAAAATTATAATAAAAAAAATTAAATAAAATATGTAAAATGAAATAAAAACAAAAAATGTAAATAAATTGAAGTGAAATAAAATTAAATAGCAAAATAAAATGATATAAAACTAAGTAGGGTAAGATAAAAAATATAAAATATATTTAATGAAATGTTACTAAATAAAATCAAATCAAATAAAACAAGGATTATAAAAAGTTAAATAAAATGAGAATAAATAAAATAAAGTAAAATAGTAAAAATAAAACAAAATAAAAAATACTAAAATAAAACATAAAAAAATGAAATAATTTTTTAATAAAAAAATATATAAAAAAAAAATTAAATTATAACAAAAGTGATATAAAATAAAATAATATAAATTCAGATAAAATAAAACAGAATTAAACTTAAAACTAAACAAATATTTTCAAGACAGCATATATTAAAAAACATAATTGTATTAAATTAAATATAAAAAGAAATAAAATAAGATAAAATAAATTAAAAGTAAAAAAATTAATAAAAACATATAAAATAAAATAAAAGAATTGAGTTAAATCAAATAAATAAGTACAAATAAAAAGTTAGAAGAAAATAAATCCACTAAATTAGATAATATTAAAATAAATTAAATTAAATAAGTTGAATTAAAATGAATTAAATAAAATAAAATTGTGCAAAATAGAACGAAATAAATATAATACAACAAACTAAAATAAAATGAAATCAATAATAAAACTTTAGAATTAAATGAAAAAAAAATAGAACAAAAAATTAATTAAATTAAAATAAATAAGCAATAAATTAAAATAATATATACATATGATATTTTCTTTAATATATAAATTATTTCTGGTATAAGTTGGTGTGCGAAAGACCCATCTGCTTCTATAAAATGAGCATCGTGAAAAATTTACTCAAATTTCATGTGACAAGATAAGCAGTGAGCCTATATTGTCTTATAATCTGTTCTTGTAATATTCAATTTATTATTAAGTGCACTAAATATTCTCCTATCTAATTTTCTTTTATTTTTTATTCAAACTATTTTACATAAATTTTACAAAATGAAATTACTTTCTGTTTTTTTTAACTTTTTTTTACATATTTTTACAGTTAATTTTAATGCTCTCACCTCCCCCACTCCGGTAGCACAGATAAGGAAAGCGCCACACATTACCAATGCCGACAGCGTAGCCTATGCAGGATAACATAAATTCTGTTTTCGAAGCCCATTGACCGCGGTTAGCATCACGGCTCGTTGTTTGAGCGCCAGCAGCGGAAGACTCAGCTACGGCTGGCTTTGTATTTGTGTACACCTGAGTGTATGCATCATCAACTGTGCCATTATCAGGATGAGAATTATTGCGACTGAACATTTAACTTGTTATATGTATGTATGTGTGTTTCTTTAGTAGCAGATATTAGATTTTAAAAACAAAAAAAAAAAGGATTTAGCTTATGGGTTTAGTTATCCTCAATGGCAGTATTATCTTTATTTTTGTGGAGTTTTGCGGCTGTGATTTATAAAATCATAGAACAATTATTTTTATCATCACCTCGCTCTTTTCATTGCACAACTGCGTACCTGCGTATGAGCGATTTTTTTTTTATGCAGGTTTGTCTGTACAAACAATACATACATACAATTTACGAAAAATTGAAAAACTTGTTTCTTTGAATTATTTTCCTTTTTATCCTTTTTGACACTTGTAAGAGGATAAACAAATATAATTTATGTCACAAAAACCACTTTTTCTATCACTCGCACTATAAAGTTCTTCTTATCACTTATAACCTTTTGAGTTCATTACACGTTCGCCGCCCAACGGTAACTGAGGCAGAACCACTTTGGGCGTGCAATTTTTAGTCAAAGTCAACTAAATCACCATTAAATTTACGTATTTTTTTTCAAACGCTTGCCCAATTGTCTGTCCGTTTGTCCGTCTGCGTGTGTGTGGTGATTTTACTTTTTATTTTTTAACAACTAATTTTCTAAACACTTATCAACATCATGACATTTGCATTAGTCCCACAACAATGAGTGAATCTTTGCGCGGATTTAATAGTACATATACATACATATGCATGTATGCGTTACATGTGCATGCATATACGTATGAATGAGTGTGTTACATTTTTATTTCTAACTTACAAAAAAATAAACTTTACTACTTGATGAGCAACATAATGATGACGTCGCAACAGCGTGTACACACATACATACATATTACTATTAATTTAAAAAAAAAAATTCATTTTCCTTCCTATACGTATTGCTTGTATACTAGACTTGCACGATTATGTATGAACGTAAATATGTAAATATTCAAATTAGTTAAGTGATGTTTAGCGGTGATTACGTCGAGACGAGAGATTTAACACCTAATAACCTAAATTGAGACAATTTAGAATGCAAATGCAATGAGCTGAGAGTATTCCAACACTAAATAAAACAAATGTGCATATGTGTATGTATGTTGATAAATGCATGTGCGAACACACGTTTTATTTTTTTTTTAAATTCATTGATATTTTCGCTTTTAGTTTGGCCAAAATGATTTATATCTTCAAATCTATATTAGCATTGATTGCTTTGACCTTTTAAATAAAGAAATTAATTACAGTAGCACTAAAAAGAAGTTTGAGTAACGCTTTTTTAACTTTTTTATTTTCCTAGTACGTATGTTTATATATATATATAAACCATTAACAAAAGAGTTAAATGAAAAATGTCGAAAAATTATTAATTTTAATTGTTATTACAAACAAACAAAATATAATAAAAAAGTCAAAATTTATTTTAAAAATTCCTGCGTCATCACGTTCTTCCCCTGTACGGCCATCTTGTTCATAATGATATTATTTCAAATAAACAACCTAAGAGTACAATTCTAATGTTCTTTATGAATAGTGATATTAGCAGAGAATGTTAATACAATTGTTGAATTCCATAAAGTCAATTTCTCAGTTCATCTTCTCATTATTATAAGTTCTTTGTTTGAGGCCTTAAAAATGTAAATTGTCCCAATTAAATTTAAGTTATTAATAAAAAATGTCAACTGGTGTCACCCTGTATTGTCCTAAAATATTTTTGTACCATTTTCATTTGAATTTTGACAGCTTGGCGCAAATTTCTTTATTTCAATTGGATTTTCAATTGTTGATTTGATACCATATACTTTGTGTCTCAATTTGTATTTCTCCATTGGATTTTTTAAATAAATACGTAAAAAGTACTAAAGAACATTCGATGGCTCCCACCAAACAATCGAATGGCAGTTTAACTGTCGCTGCCTTATCAACACTTGGTGAATCTGCAAACGATTCGGCTGCGCAACAAGCACTCAGCTATGTACGTGATTTTTGTATGCATGCAACAAATTATCGCAATCAACAAACTATAGAATCACTGGCCTTATTAAACCGCAGTGCTTCATTGCTCAGTACAACCGTACAACCGCAGCTGTTTAATCCAGCACAGTTGGAAACATCCAAACTTTTCATAGATTTACATGCAGTAATGGGCAATTTGACCGCTGATTCGGATGCACTTTGGGCTTGCGTATCATTGTTGCAACATTTAGGCCGTAATTTGTCTGCCAGACGCGCATTGGTTCAAGATTTTCGTTTTGTACCACTTTTAGCATTTGTTCTCAAACGCACGCATGGACAAGAGAAGATACAAAAATTACTAACGCTTTTACAAGATTTAACATATGGCATACAAATAAGCTGGGAAGAGCCATATTTGATAGTGTTATTGGAGCAACTTGTAAATATTATATACCAAGCTGCGGAGGAGAGTGAAGATAATCTGGCGCAGTTAGCACTCTCCGTGCTAATAAATTTGTGTTATAAGAATTTTGTTGTAATGTTTCTATTTTTACGTTCGGTAAACATTTCGAATTTTACAAAACGTATACAAAGTTATGGTATGCTAGCTAGTAAAATTTTAATAATTCTAAGCGAAGACACGCATACGCCAAATCAAAAAGATTTGGATTTGTTTATACGTTCAACATTCGCAACAGTTGAGGAGTGTGTCAAGAGTTGGAACGTGCCATATTTACAACATATAATCGAATTTCTTTTGGACTCTAAGTCTCATACGTGCCTACACCGTTCAATGCTAAGTTACACGCACTATTGTGAAGATGTGGAGCGCTTGCTTAATGTGTGTATTTATATTTATTACGAAAAAACATGCATACCCTTTACAAATATTTTAATTTTTTTTTATAGCAACTGGAGGCTAGCGGTGTCAATGAAGAAACGGAGGAACAAATTACCAAACAACAACACACCTGTCTGAGCTTAATTTTTCGACTGATACGTTATATTTTACAATTGAGCACCATGCCAAGTGTAGATGATAAGGAAAATGTTATAAGCTTAGACTCCAATGTGCCTAGAATATTCGAGTTGCTTGGCAAGTGGCTGGAATCCGAAGTTTGTGGCGTTGACGCGGTCGATTTGCTGAATGGCTTAATAACACTTGGTATAAAGTTATATATAAAATTTTTTACATAACATAAATTATAAATTGCTTTATTTATAGTGCCCAAGGAATCAATACCAGCGCGTATAGCACGTGATCCCTCGTACATTGTACAATTGATTGGCATATCAGAGAAACCCGAGACAAGTGCACGCCATATATCTGTAATCCTGCAGCTGCTGTCGTCGCTACTGCATCAATCCAAGACTGAAAAACTAATTTTATCACGCATTACAGAATCATATTTCGATAAAATATTTGCGCCACTTATCAGCAGCGGCCGCATAGATATGCCGTTAAATGCAATCACGCCAGAAGAAATTGAAAAATACACCTATTGCCTGCTGCTGCTGATAAACTTTGCTGGCATTGCAAAGAAAGCATATTTCGAAAAATGTTGTACGCTACTGCAATTTCCAACCATACAAAATGCCTTGGCACGTGCTATGGTTGGTGGCAGCGAGTCAGTGTGTAGTGCAGTTTTTCAAATTTCACAATTTGAACGTTTCCCGCAAGCTCAAGTGGCAAATGTGAGTGTGCAAATATTTTACTTATTTAATTAACAGTATTTTAATATTTATTTCACTCTGATTCGTGCGCTCACGCTTTGTTTTTTTTTTAGCATATCTCGAAACTAACGCCTTATAAAATCAGTGCAGGCGTCGGTTCGAGCTCGCAGGTAGATAACGATCAATGGCAAAAGTTGAATATTATAATGAAAAGTCACAAAACATTTGTGGGCAAAGAAATGGAAGAACGTCTCAACGCGCTGATTGAGTTGATAAGTAACGCGCATCGTAATAATCAGCTACAGAATGTAGCTATGTCGCAGATCATTGAGTTGTTCAATTATAAAAGCGAAATATTTAGCTGTTCGGAGAATTGCATGCAAAGGCGTTTGGAAATAGCAAGTGAGGAGGTGTGTAATTTCACTCAAATTTATAATTTTCCAATTCCACTAATTTAATTATATTATTTTCAGATAACAAATCTAACACAGCGTATTAATTTGCAAAATGCTGAGCTACAAAAATATGAAATGATGAATTTTGAGCTGCATGTCAATCAGGAAGGGTTAGAGATATTTTAAATAAAACACACCTTACATTATATATATATATTTTTTTTTATTAATAAAATTATGTTATATTACAGTTTACAAACACAATGCCAAGATTTACGGCAGCAAAAGGATAATCTTAAGCATAATTTGGCGAGTTTGATGAAAAAACTGTCTGAACAATCGGAGTCATTGCAAATAAGCGAAAAGCGTTTGGCTGTTAAAGTGTCTGAAGTTATAGGTAATAGCAGTAAAACGAAATTGCAATATTACAATGTGTAGTAAAAAAAAAAATGCTTCTTATTCTCTCTTCTAGTATTGCAAAAGGAAAATGGTGAGCTAAAGGAGGAGCTGATTATAAAAACGAAGGAACTGGAAAAGTTGCAAGCCAACAGCAGGGAGAATGTAACTATTTTTTTTTTTATTTCCTTTTTGTTCTTTTCGTTTCTTTCGTTTAACATCTTAAAATTCAATAAAATGTCATTCATTTTCTCAGACTGCGCGCATAGAAAAGCTGAAAGTGTCCATCGCTGCCTTCGAGCTTGATATAAAAGAAAAATCACGTATCATTGAAGAGCGTGAACGGGAGTTGAGCAAAACGCAAAAGCTGTACGAAGAACAAAAAGAAGCTAAAAAGAAATCAGACGATGTTATAACCGTATTGGAGGCGCAAATACAGGATAAAAATGAGCAAATACGTAATTACGAGTTGGAACTCAGCGAAACGGAGGAGTTACGCAAAACTATTATGAGCCTAATGGAAAGTAAAAAGCCCAAGCGGAAAACATAAAACAGCGTGCGTACTTAATAAAGCAGATGTGTGTTGAGAAAATCAGTAAAATTTATTAAGTTTTAGTATTATTAGAAATTTTTATTAATGTATTTCATAAGACGGTGCGTAAAGGAGTATAGTAAGCAATTTTCGGCATTTTTTAAATTATTTTTACAATAGTAGATTTTAGCGCTTATATAACTAAGTACATATTTAGTCAACAATTTATATATTTTTACGCACATTCGTACACACATCAATTACATTATGCATATACGAACTGCTCATTAAATGTAATAATGAACATATTTCATTTCCATCTTTCTTTTTTATACAAATTTGTCAAAATAAATTTTAACAACAATTATATAACATACATACAAACAAGTACTAGCTATACAATAGATTTGTAATATGTTTTTAGGTGTACAGCACCGCACACATTTAATTATTATATAAAGGAATACTACTAAAAAAAAATTGCTTGTACATATCTATGAAACGCGACACACGTTCATCTGTCTTTACTGTTTAGTATCACTCGTTGTTACATTGAATTTGTTAAAGCTCTGTTTCGTATTTTTTTTTCTTATAAAATTAGTAAATGTTACCAGTTAATTTTGAAATTTATGCAAAATTTGCTACCAAAGCAGTCAGAAGCAGTAGCACATATGCCCACGCTATATCCTTTGCGCACGTACCGCCCGATCTGCTTTCTAGCTCACCAATTTCGTTGCCTCCAAAGGGACGCGATTCACGCTTTTCAGCTTTCTCGCACAGCGTGCCACAGTTGGCGTGTTCGCATATATCGCAGACAACTGATTTCGGCGCACGATAGAATTGACGCGCACGTCGAGCTAAAAGCGGAATATTTTTTATAATTTAGTGAAAAAATACAAATTTATGTATTTTGTTTTAACTCACCATTATCGTAGTAATCATACATGATAACCGGCACCAGTTGGTGACCAGTTACTTTTACGATCTTATAAGCATGCAGCGTTGGGCACACCTCTCGCCTGTCTAAGTAGTCAAAGTAAATGACAACAACAGTGTTACGGCGTTTTGTTTCCACACGCTGAGTGTGATTGAGAGATACAGAGGAAAAAAATACATTAGAGCATTTAAAGGGCACGGCTCTGTTTATTTCAAGTATATAATACCTTAATTCTCTCGCTGGACTCTAGAGTGGGCAAGGTTTCAGTGTCTACAACAAAACCGCTGGGTAAATATATTTCCATAACTGCCATATTCGAACGACTTGCATCGCCTTCCACTGAGACGAAACTGGCATTAAAAAAAAAAATTATGTAAGAAAAGTTTAAAATAAATTTGCACCTACACTCACCTGGCACACGCCGATAAGTGCAAATAATCCGAATGCGAATTACGATTCACTGTCGGATCGAGCACGAATCTTGGCCACGCACTCGTCACATTCGTATTATAACTGTAACTTAATTGCGCAAAAGCTATACCACGGCCTGTTGCTGATATCGTAAAATTTTTGATCGTATTTGGCAACTGTTCAAAATACACAATTATTGTCGTTAAATAATAAATATTTCTGCGACTCTGCGCACTCACCTCATAACTCTGCAAAGCCAACGAGTTCTGTCCATTCACATTGAGCGTCGTCTCAGCGCCCTGACCATACTGCACGCTGATCTGTACATTATTCGCTTGACTGGAAAACCGTTCGGCGAAGGCCAACAGCGCTTGTATGCCCACAACGGTATCCTGTGTGGATACAAAACCACCAAAAGCATTGCGTTGATCCGCAAGCCACTTAAGCACGGGCAAGGCATCGCCAATTAGATTGTTTTCGAGCAGCGCCAACGCGCCATAGGAGGAGATCTCTATATTCACGGAGCGTGTGCGGTTGTACCAAGGTGAGGGGCCTTCGGCCACAGGCGCTGTTTTATTCCACCATTTTTTGCCATCTAAAAATGATTTTTTTTTTTTTCGAATTTTAGGTTTTTTGAAGAAAAAAAAAATACAGAACTTAAATGAAAGCTGTACAAACCTTCATTGACCGCCATTGCATCGAGGCGATGTAGGAAAGCGCTCTTTGTGTTGTGATTCGCACGGGAAAGCACATAAGTGCCAATTGCCATCGCATGCAGATCGTTTGAGTTGTCTAAGCCGCGTGTGATGAAGTCCAAAGCTTTGTTGATGTGGTTGGTGTATTCTGGATATGATTTCTGTAAGTGGAATTCAAATTATTAAATTAATTATTTTTTATTTATTTATTTTTTAATTGTAGCCAATCTTTTGAATTGTTTAAATTTATTTATTCTATTTTTTTTTTATTTATTTTAAACTGCTTTAATTAGCTTGGTTGTTTAATTCCAATATTCTTTTTTAATTTCTTCCTTTTATTTTAGTTTTTAAATTTATTTTTTTTTGTATATTTTTTGGTATATTTTTTTTGTTTTTTGCAATATTTTAAATTTTACCCTTTATAATTTTTTTATATTATTTTATTTTTGTTTAAAATTTGTACCTAATTTTTAATCTTCACCTACAATTTTTCAAAATAAGTTTTTATTTTTTAATTTTTTAATTATTTAATTATTTAATTCTTTCTTTCTTTCTTGATTTGTTCAATTTTTCTCAATTATTGACTTATTTTTTCTCAACGTCTCTTTATTATATTTTTTCCCCATTCATTTTGTTTTGTTTTTGTTTCTTCAGTAATTTCTCTCACCGTATTTTCCATAAACGTCAGCGTCACAAATGCCGTCAAGCTCAGACCGCCATCAGTGAAGGCCTCGAAAACATCGCCTCTCTCATCGAAACCGCCATCGCTATTTTGCATACCAGCTAAATATTCTAAAGCACGCTTTACAATCATCTCATCGATGTAAATGTATGGTGAGGCCTGCCGAAAAGCACGCGCGACATAAGCGGTCAACCAAGTAGAGCCACTCTTCTGCTCCAAACCAAATGCGCTAAAAGCACCATTCTCATGGCTATAGTAGAGCAAATGCTGATAGCCCACTTCCAGATTGCTTCTGATGCGCATTTCAATCGAGGGCGTCAATTGGCTGATACGCTATGGTAGGAAATTGAAATAAAAAATAATTATTTAATGAGGAAAGCTCTTGCCATATTTCTGTTCTCTTTTTTACCTCCAGGTAACGCAGTACCAATAAATTTGGCATAAAATGCACCATAGTCTGTTCGCCACAACCCGTTGGCAACGTGATCAAATGCTCTATATTGCCTAATAAACTACCTATAACGTCACCCACTGCAGTCACTTCTATTTTAGTTGAACCGGCAATGGCATTCCGCGGCACATTCACAGTTAGATTAGTTTTAGTTTGTGGACCCGTACTAAGCTCGAAGAGAAAACCATGATTAACGGTTTCGGTGGCACCAGGATACTCCACAAGTAGCGTCGTCTCGACGGTGTCAGCTGCGAGCTGGGAATTGGCTACGGCTTTAACATTAATGGGTCCCACACGTTTGGGTTTTACAATAAAGGCGATGGGTTTGGCCGTTTTGGCGAGTACGCGCACGGTGCGGCGACTAAATAATTCAATTTCTGCGAATAAGAAGGAAAAAGTTTACAAAAGCACGGGCAGGTATATCAGAAAAGTGCTAGATGTGCTAAATAATTACTCGGTGTGGGATTGCCTTTGCTGTCGAGTGGCGGAAATTCAAACTCCTGTGCTGTATTATAAAATGTTACCTCCACATCCAAATCAGAGTCCTTATTGTTGGTTATAACGAAAGGCAGTGCGATAGTCTCTCCTACAAATCAAATTTAAATTCATTATTATAGACTGAAGGTTGTTCATTAAACATAATAATAAGTAGATTTTTTTGTATTATGCCCCAAAATTATATAATAATCCTCTCACCTTTCCTTACAGAATATGGCACCTCGGTTGTGATGAAAAACTCCTTATACGACTGCATAGTTTTTATTGGTCGCGTCAAACCCAAACCGGTTATGGGATCCAAAGAGAACGCGGATAGCACCCATGATGTCATAGAGCTCGGTATGCGGCGGTGTAACGTTGTACGTCCCTCATTACTCGCCGAAATGTTAAGGAAAAGCCAAGTATCAGCCGGTTCGTGCATTAAATGTATACGTGGATTATGCCAATACGGCTTGGGTGTATACGAAAAGGCATAACGACCTTTACCCGGTGCCAAAGTATTTACCTCGATGTGATGTGCAGGCCCAATGTCGGTCTTACGTATTGTTGTCAATTTATTGTCGTCATCATCATCGTCATCGTAGTCACGCAGCAAATTCGGTGTGGTTTCCGGTTCTGCAAGGAGATCGAAAAAGGTGGAGAGTCTATGTTAATATGGTTAGCTGTAAATTTGAAATATTGAAATTACCTTTTTCTATTATAAAATCAGCATTCGTCATTGTTATAACGCCCGACTCTTTGCCCGGCGAACCACGTTGTGTATTGATATCGCGTAGTTCGTATGCATGTAAGGCATCCATGATTCTGTCATAACTAAGATCATTACCTTTTCTTATATTCGCCGCATTTTGATCGACTAACATTAGACCCACATATGAATATGGTTTTGTTGTAATTGTTATGTCGATATCTTGGCCTGGTGGGGCCTTTAGAGGTGCTTCGATTTGCACCTAGAAATTTAATGGGAACGGATTAAAGGGAGTTAATTTGTGTAGTGGTTTAATTTAAATTAATCTATTTTAGTATTTTATTTTATTTTACTTTTAGCCATCAATTTTCTTGTATTTTCTCCTTACTTAACATTGCATATTTTTTTTTTTTTTATTTTATATTATTTTTTTCTTTATAGTTTTTAAATTTATCTTACTTTATTTCATTTTATTTTATATTTTTTCATAATATTTTTGCTTTATATAATTTTTTTTACATTTAATTTGTTTTATTTTATTTTATTTCGTTATATTTTATTCTGCCTTTCTTCCCGTAATTTTATTTCCCTTTGCATTACTCTACAGTATTAAAATTTGTTTCCTTTTTTAATTCATTTTTTATTTAAACTCGGACTCCTTTTTTATTTTATTATCCTATTCTATTTATTTTATATTATTATTATTTTATATTATTTTTTTTTTCTGGAATTTTTAATTTATTTTAATTATTTTTTTTTTACTTTTATTTTACTTTAACTAGAACTTATTTATTTTTAAATTATTTTCTTTATTTATTTTGTATTTTTTAACTTTATTTTATATGATTTAATTTAATTTAATTTAATTTAATTTTATGTTAATCAAATTATTTAATTTAAAAAACAAAATTTATACACTTGTTATTTTATTTAAATTTATTTTATTTTGTTAAGTATTTTATAAATTAACTTAATTTAAATCATATAATTTGATTAAATTAAATTTATTTTTTTTATTTATTTGTGTTTTTATTTTCTTTTAGGATTCCCTTTAGGTTATTTTATTTTATCTTCTGTTTATTATATTTATTTTATTTCAGATAACTTTGTTTTAATTTTTTATTTATTTTTAATAAATCTATTTTTTTTTATATTATTTTATTTAATTTTAACTTACTGCATTTAAAATTTTTATTTTTTTTAGATTCAAATTATTTTCTTTCATTTAAATTTATGTTATTTTATTTTATTTGTGTGGTATTCTAATTTTATTTATTTTATTTTACAAAATATTATTTTTTATTTTATGTTATTTCATTGCTATTTTTATTTCATTTTATTTAGAATTTTCTTTCATTCAATTCATTTTTTTTATTTTTATACATGTTGTTTTAGTTTATTTTATTTTGGCATTTATTATAATTTTTAATTTATTGAAAAATATTTTTTTTTCTTTTATGTGATATGATTTATTGTATATAGTTTTATATATTGTTAAAGTAATATTATATTTCATTTTGTTTTTTAGTTTTTATTTTATTTAAAAATATTTTTTTTGTATTATGTGATATGATTTAATATAGTTTTATATATTGTTATTGTAATTTTTTTTTTGATTTAATTTTTTTTTTGGGCTATTTAGCTTTGACTTACATACTGATTACTGTTACTTATTATTGTTTATAATTTTAATTTAGTTTTATCAGGGTTTTTTATTAATTTTATTTTATTTGTTTTACTTAATATTATTTATTTTATTTATTTCAACTAATTTTTAGCTGATTTTTGAATAATTAATTACTCACATTATTTATTAAAGTATGCTCAAACTCAATCACTTGCTCATCGTACACAAATTCACCATTAACAACCATATAGAGCAGCAACTTCGCTCGCGGCATCATAGCAAAAGTGGCCAAAAACTTAAAGGTATGATAATTATTGCTATCCACCTATAAATAGTAGTTAATTAAAAGCACGCACTTAACTCCAGTTTAAAGGTCCAAGAGGTTCTTACCTGCACAGCATATGTTGTTATAATATCGCCCCGCCCTACAATCTGATATACAAAATATTTCATCGGTTCATTGGATCGTACAGCGACAGCGACATCTTGATTTATCATTGGCCTGGATTAATATTAAAAAGAAAGAGTGATAGTTATGGAAGATTCTGAGACTATATGAATAGTTAAAAAAAAGTGCTGGAATCTTTTATTCGACTCATAAAATAAATTTTTTAAGTATTTTTTCTTCAATTCCATACTTACTTATCGGTCAATATTTTTGCAGTTATATAATTTTTACTATGTAAATGTTTTCGCGGTATTTTACCGACATCCGTTATAATACCAATATAATTTACCTATAGAAGAGATAAAAGAAATATAATAATACCGTTATAATTAATTATAAAATAATATTTAAAATTAATTTCTGTAAAATAATAATTGTATTAGTATTTTTCATTTATAATAAGTAATAAATAATCTTATAATTTTAATCAACAATTTTGCTATTATTAAAAAATAAAATTATTTATTTTCTATTTCGCTAAAACTTACAATAACAGAATGATATTCATCTCTGTCACCCTCTGGCACTGTGAATTTCATTTTAAATTCTCCATTTGTATTGATACCATAAGCAGTTTTATTATACATTTCGCTGCTGCCATATACATTTGTCAAATAGGCTGTGGCCTCGGGTGGGAAGTCTTTCAGCTGAGCACCATCATTGCGCACTATTTTAGCCTATAAATATTGTTTAAATAAATGTAGTACTAAAATAAAAAATTCAAAATAATAATATTTTTTTTTTGTTTATTTTTTTTTGCAACGAAGTCAGCGCATAATATTTTGCGCAACTCTGAAAAACCGCTATTGCTCATACTCACCGTCACTTCGAACGGCACACCCGGTATATAATAGCTCGGTATGCGCACTGTCTCAACGCGATACGCATCTAAATGCACTGTTATCACAGTAGAGAAGTTCTGCACCGAACCAGTAGACTTCTCCTCGACCAGCGCGTCCAACAAATATTCACGTTCATAATCCTCCTTTAGCCTCAGCTCATCTCGTACATCGAATTCGAAATAGGCATTGCCATTAATGGGCACCACTTTTCTGGTGATCAAATCATTAACGAAAGGCTGCAGTGAACCGAAGAATGTTGGGTATATTGATAGTGTAGCTTCGCCCTTGATGGGTTCACCATAGGCGTAACTGTGTAAAATAAAATTCCGTTATTTATATATAATAATTTAACTCAATCACAAAGCACTTACTTTGCTTTGACCGTTGCACGGATTTTGCCATCTTTATAGATAGCATGTTTTGCGGTGTCTATTTCCACGACAAATTTGGGTAAAATATATTCGACCACCTCGAAGGTGCTACGTTGTGTCTCTTCCATCACTTCAACATTCACCGACCATTCACCCATTTTCGGATAGTCCGATAACTGCAAATGATTGCTATAGACGGCATTGGTTAGACGTATATCTCGATAGTCTTTGATGATATTATTGCCAGCATCTCGTATCGTTAGGTGTACACGTCCGAAGTTCCGTGCTGGTTTCAAATTGGCATCCAACAATAAGACGCGGTAATGCACCAAGTCGCCCGGTCGATAAATAGCCTTGTCTGTCTGCACCAATGCGGTGAATTGTTTTGACTCGAAATTGAGTTGAGTTTCGTTGGTGAAGATAATGCCATTGAGTCCCTCAGCGGTTAAGTTGTAGCGATCGCGCTTTAAGGCTGGTATCTGGGATTTTTATAAATTCTCATTATATGTAAATTCCTCGTTAGAATAAATGTACAATTAGATTTACCTCAAAATGCACCAGTTCGGTGGAGTATGGTCGCACCTCCGCTATTTTGAAATCTGTATAACTGCTGCCGATTATGCCCACCTTCACTTTGATGGGTTCTGGTGATTTATGCACCGTTACAGCTACATGATACTGTGAGTTGGGTCGCAGTGTGTTGGGCGCGATTATGGAATAAATACTAGATGGAATTAAATTAAAATATGTTAGCATGCTTATATTCAAAGGTGTTCCATAGCATATTACAGATCAGTGCATTCAAAATTTATTTTACAAAAATAACAGCAACATACAAAAATAAAGATTTTATTTTTGTTTTTATCAAGTCAAAGAAAGGGTATATAATTCTAAAAACTGCCGAATTCTTTTATTTTTACAGGCGCAGGCCCAGCTGACACGATCATAACCGAAATAATAACATCGCACCAGTCGTTCTTTCTATTTGCCTACCGACGCCAATCGGGGACACACAAGTGAAGCTTCTTGATCTAGTATTTCCAATAGAATGTAGACTTTCCTTCAACTATCGCAAACTGCATCAACAACTATCAAAACTGAAATGCTCTAACCCAGCGAACCCACTCTCTCGTTTCATTGTCTGCGCAATACAACTATGCCAATGTTCAATGGTCCATAAATCATTCGCGAAACCTTTTTTCCGCTAACTCCTAGCGCCGACTGTCAACTTAAACGCAGAACGGAAATGATGAGCGATTTATAGAGTTTGGTTTTTGGTAGTCACAAGAGGACTTTATTTTTTGATAATGTGCTTAGCCCAAAGTATAACCTGTTGGAAATTCAAAGTTGGTTTTGAGACTAGTTCCTATATAGAGGATATTATATACGACTTTAATGTTGTGACTGTCAACCATTACGTAGGCGCCCAGACAAGAATGCGGGGCTTGTTGCTCTTCTATTGCTTGGTCAGGCTCCTATCCGACCAAATTTTGCCTAGAAGCTGACGTTTTGTGTAAGTTTCATAGCCATCGATTGCCGATTCGGATTGGACATTTGTTGCTATTGTGACTATCACTGCAATTCAGTCTTTCATAAGTCAATGAACCTCAGCCCATTTGCTCACATCGTAATGCATCAGAAAATGTTCTTAGGTGCAGAAAAGCGATGGATAAGACGACTGAAGTATGGGCAATTAAATAATTTATGATAAGTGGTATTTATTTGGCGATTGAGTCGGAACAAGAATTATTAAAAATACCAGTGGGGGCTATCAAAAGCTCGGTAAGTTGACCAGAAAAAAAAACAATTATTATTGTATTTATACGTAATCTTCGCCCTTTTTTATCTTCTCTACATAATCGTCATGGATTTCAATGCATTTCTTAAGCCATATAGCCACTTCTGAGAACAGTCTTCAAAGTCTTGCTTTTTAAGTTTTTTAAGTTAAGCATTAACAGCATTAAATATCTCCTCGTTGCTGATAAATTTTTTTTCTTAATTCTGGAAATAACCAGAAATCACAAGGGGAATATGGTGCTTTACGTATTTCTTCACTCTGGGATTGGCAATGAAATTTCTCGTTATTTCAGGGATGGCGCGTTGTCATGATGTAAAATATAGCTCAGCAAATCCTTTTTATTCCAGTTTTCCAATACATTTTTGAAATCTTTTTTATGCAATTTGGCATTTACTGAATATTTTTACTGTCTGCCAATTACGCCGAAACCCGAAGAGAGTAACATGGCGATTTTCTGTTTGCGTTGGTGGTGGAATTTCCTCTTACCCATACTCAGCTGTCTTGCGTTTTCTCTACGCCATTTTAGTCAATCATTCTACAATTGGAGGGAAGACTGATGTGGTAATTGCAAAAGATTTGGTATTTTTTGATTTAACAAAAACAAATTAAAAATCACCAGCTGACGGGACTTTTTCATTCCCCTCGTATGAGGAGTTTTATGAAAGAGCGGGAGATGAATCAAGGCGGGAGCAAAGATAATTCAGGATTAATGTAGGCCTAATGACATTCAAAAACCTTTGAAGATTTATATTATATGACGACTAGCTCAACACGATTTAGATAGAACCACCAACGCGCCAGCAGTGATTTTCAAGCACAAAAAATACTTTTTGTCCCGTGCGAATACCAATTTTTTACTTGTAATTACAGATGGTTGTAAAAGAAAAGGTCTGAAAAATTAGCGTAAGCAGCAATTGAAGGATTAATATTAGTGACGCTTTTCGCTTAATAAGAAGCATTTAAAATGTTTTTTTTTTTTTCTGGTGACCAGGTCATCCCTAACCTAGCTCTTAGCCTGAAAAAAGTTGAGGACGACAACTTAGGCTTAGATATTATACAGTTAAGTACATTATCTATGTGAGTAATTATATGAGCATACAAATATATTGCGGCAAGCGTCAGATGAAAAACCGACCAGCATGCAAATGTATGTGCGAATATGTTCGTTACATGGTAGGATATTATGCAAGAGGAAGTAACTGATTATTCGCTTAAAGCCAGATATACACGTATATGTTAAAATTAATGTATATTCCTTGGGAAGTGTGTGCAAAAAATCGCACATTGTTTTTTGAAAATTTTAAAGAAATGAAATAAATAAAAAAAGTAAACAAAATTATCTGTGTGAAAAAATCTTTAAGTAGTCATCTTTACGATTAGTCATTGCTAGAAAAACAAACATACGAACAAAATTGCGAAGTTGTCAACATGACTCTCTGAAGTTAACACATTTTATTAACGATAGCTTATACGCCGTATATATGTATCTATGAAAAACTATAAGGAATTTCGGTATACCTCTTTCTCCTTAATATGCACCTCTTTTTTTCTATAACAAACTCGTGTGGGGCCTTGAGTCACGGCTAAAAGAGAGGAAGCTTCAGTGGAACCACTCCAACGAATGCAGTTCAACGGTTTAGGGGTTAAGGCTTCAAAAAGCTGCAATCACACAGTCAGCCGAACGATTTTCCACTCGACTTGCACTCCTCTTCTCCGAGAACAATACAGTATAAGGGAACTTGGGACGGCATTTTAAGCTCATTACCACTGTGGAGAGCAAATAAGCTGCCTACCTCCCAACGTTGCGATCAAACAAAACACGATATCGACAATTCAAGAGGGAGGAGAGATGCACGTGCGGACAAAAAAAAAAATACCGCGATTCGTAAGTATGAAGAGCTTGAGTGAGAGGCTGGCCGACAGGAGTAATGTTCGTCAATTCTGCATAAAGATGCGGCGACTTACAGAAGGTTTCAAGATCGGAGCAAACTCCTGTTAGATCCAGCGAAGTGAACTTGCGATTGATGCCTAGAGCTTACTGATTTTATGAATGAAACACTACTCCAGCCTGCTGAATAGCAGTGCAAATGGAACACCAGGATATGGTGAATCCGATTTCCCAATTGATGACGTTGGAACAGATGTTTCGTTGCCCGACTATGAAGAAGTTAAAATAGCAATTACTTATTTGAAAAATAACAAAGCGGTGTGGCCCAAAGAAATGACAGGGGCATGCATTAGCTTCTCTGTTGAATATGGTCGGATGAAAGCGTGCTATAAAAGAAAAGATCCCACAGTCTGTACTGGATAAACTATCTGCAATATCGCATTTGAGCTTCTATGGAGCGTTTTGAGTGGAAAACTAAAACCCAACCCCATCAAACTGATTGGATCTTATCAGTGCGGCTTTAGGTCTGCTAAGTCCAACATTGACCAAATATTCATCAGGTGCCAAGTCTTAGAAAAGACCTGTGAAACCACTCAAATACCACTTCTACATTGATTTGGAAGCGGTCTTTGATAGCATGACCTCAATGTGAACCGGCGTTAAGCAGCATTTCCTCGAAATCGGGAAGGACCTTTCCAAGTCGTGCGATATGAAAGTAGGTTTCACACAAGGTGAATCCTTAACGTGTAATTTTTTTATTATATATATATATATATATATATATATATATATATATGAGATCCTCCTCCAATTTGTGGTTTTGCTTCTTGAAGTTTTTCCATCAAATGAAGGAACCTAAAGTTTATACTAAGCCGCCTCCGAACGGCTGATGGTTTTTTATGAGGAGCTTTATTTCATGTCAGAAAAACACTCGGAGGGGTTGACTTTTCCTGCCGATGGGCGACCGCAATTATATAATTTAATTTAATTTTTTATTTGAATTAATATTCTATAACTTTTGGATGTTGGTCGTACCATGATTTGTACCCGGGCATTGACACCCCAGCACATTTTTCATTTGGATTGATTAGGCAATTAAAAAGTAAAGTTCACTCTCGACGAACAAAGACAACGGATGAAGAACCGGACTAAGCTTGGTATTTCCAAATGGCGTCAAGCAGCGAAAAAAAAGGACGGAATGCCACATAATCGCCTAAACGGGGTCTACGCCAGTAAAGAAAAAGAAAAATTTAAACGAGTATAGAAATCATTCCACCCTAATACATTTATCATAAATGACATATTCAGTTTTATTCAGTGCTTAAGTGCATTTTCATTCAAAATTTTCCCACAGAAAATGAATTTATTTATTTTGAGTTTGTTTTTTTCTTTTTGCTCTAAATTCCGGTGTGTTGCGCCAAATTCGTACATACATACATACGTATGTATGATATTTTTTTCCGGTTACTTATGCTGTGTCTTAATGTCTGTATTTCTCTATTTTGTTATTTTCCTTTGTTGTTTTTTGGCGGTCTTCTAACTGGACCTATGTACGAGTATGACTCGTCAACATTTTTGGTCAGATTACTTTGCCACTCGAGTTATAAACAGCTGCTATGGGTATGTACATACGTGTATGTATAAAAGCGTACATAAGTACATACTTATTTCGAGACTTAGTCAGTGGGAAGCAGTTGGCTGCGAAATAAAATATAAATGGAAAATCGACGTGTGGGACTGAAAATAGAAATAAAATCAAGTCATAGAAATAAATAACTCCATCTTTTGCAGAACTTATATTTACCGTTTATAAATATACCTACATACATGTATGTATATACATATATGTGTATAAATGTACATTTCTGTCTCGCTGATGGTCAAATAAGGCCTTAAACTCGTATTTAAAAGTATTTAAAAAGTAAAAAAAAAATCCTTATATTAACAATTAGGTCAAAGACGAGGAATGTTTCAGATTATAATTTTTTTTTTATGAAATAAACCGTTGCAAAAATATTTTCCTAATATTCTTTAATGATATATTAAAAAAAAATTAGTACAAAGAAATAAATTTTTTATGTCTTATTAATTTTTATTTTTTTTTTTAAACAGACTACAAACCATTTTTGGCAGACTTACCAACGCGCAGTCTCCACCTCGCATTCCTTAAGTGCTTGTGTAATCATTATGCGATAAATTAAAGACTAGTTTTCTCTCAAATTGGTAAGACAACTACCAAAACCTTTGATTATGAAATTTTTGTTGAGCAAAAAGAAAAAAAAGCGAATGTATTGTTCCGACAAAAAAAAGGCATAAATCAATTTAATTGGTTTTGGTTAGAAAATGAACACAGTTTTAAATAAAAATATGCATGCACATGGTAACTGTTAAAAATATATGCTTGCACGTGGGTTGCCTTTTGTATTTCGGGATTAGAGAACGAAAACAATTATTATTCATTGAAAATCGCTTTATTTTTTTTTTAAATGTGCTCCTTTATTTTCACTCTGATTCAGATATTTCCAAAACAATCACTCTGAACATATCAGGTGTCGAAAAATATTGACCATTCAGTTTATATTTTTTTTTTACGTATGGGAATGAAAAGAAGTCATTCGGTACCAAGTTAATACTAAACGGTGGAGGACTCATCAAATGGATGTTTTGAGTTGTTTCAGTCGATGTGTGAGAACTTGAATTGACGTGGGTGAAAGTGATGCCCTTTCGGTGGTTGGTTTCCGAAATTGCTTGAAAAACAACGGAAAAATAAAAGGTGGTCTATATTTAATATTTTAATAATATTCTGCGTATTTCTGGTGGTACGAATGCGACAGTCAAGTTTTTCCAAGAAAAGAACAAAAACAGGCAATCATTTGCTTAGAAGCGCTTCGGGCGCGTACAATATATTTTTTGTTTACTTTCGGGCTCATACGCGTAATTCCACGATTCATCACCTTGTTTCGAAGCATCGCTGTTCATTTCGTTTAACATTTCTCTCTACCAATCGGCACGGCGCCGTTGTTTTGGACGTTTTACTGGTACCATTAATGCCTATAGATGTCTCAACCTCACGCAGCATTATTGTAATTGTTTCCAGAACCAAAGCTGATTTTCGATGACCTTCACGGAATTCATCTTGGAGTGATCTACGATCTCGATTGAATCCACCTTGACCTTGACAAATAATGGTCTATGCTGGAACTTTATTGCCAAAAATTCGGTTCATCATTGCTGCTGCTGCTGAGTTAATTCACGTAGAAATTTTTGAAAAATATACTCACTAAAAAATTGTCTCGATTTAGTTCTATTTTTTGGCCGAGATGAATAGTTTAAGTTACGAATATCGCTCGTATGTCAAAACGTTCTGAGTTGGCTACTTTTGTATATAAGTAGTTGACTATTTATATGTTACCGGAGGGTTCTGAGCGTGCTCTTTGTTGACAAAAAGAGCCAAAGTAGAATTAATTTTTGATAAATTTATTGAAATATTTTTTATTTTTTCCATGCATAAGTTCTTGTTGTATTTTCAATTATTAAACGGAATATAAACTTTTATGGATATTAAGGAAAAATTTTATAAAAACAGAAATACGATATTTAACTCAATTTTAAGAAATCTAACGCCTTTAAAAATAGTTTTAATATTATTTTTGAAAAACTTAATTTTTTTGAATTTTGAAAAGTAGTACATAATTTTTTTTAATAATTATTTTTAAAAATTTTAAATTGTTTTGAATTTTTTTCCCGATAAATTTAATTTTTATATATTAAACAGTTTCAATTAAATTTTTGCAAAGTTAATTTATTATTGAAAAGTTAATTTTTTTTGAAAAATTAAATTATTTTCAAATAACAACAGAAATATTTACAGTTTTAAATTCATTTTGGAAAGAGTACAACGCACACAATTTCATGTTAAGTTTATTTTAGAAAAGCTAAATTTTGTTAAGTTTTGAAAAGTAACATTTTTAAAATTTTTTAAGAAAATTTTTTTTTTTGAAAATTTTACTTTTTGATGAGAATTTTAATTCATTACTCTAATTAATTTTAATTTAATTTTTGAAAAGTTAAAATTTTTTTTGAAAATTTAATTTTTTTTTAAGTTTAATTATTTTATAATAACAACAGAAATACAATTTTAAATTCAATTTGAAGAAATCTGGCGGATTTAAAAACGAGCTTGTCTAGACAATTTTTTTAGGCTCATTTTTAGTTTTGATAAATTTAATTTTTTTTTAACTTTTAAAAGTACAGCTTTTTTACTATTTTTGAGAAATTTTATTATTTTTGAAAATTGTTTGCCATTTTTTTTTGTTGGGAAATTTAATTTTTTTTTTGAAAATAAAATTTCGAAAAGTTGAAATATTTTTGAAATGTTAAATTATTTAGAACAATTTAATTACGTTGTAAAAACAACACAAGTAGAATTCTAAATGCAATTTGAAGAAATTTTGATTTTCGAAAAAAATTTTTTTATTTTTTTAATTTTTAAAAGTTTATTTTTCAAGTTATTTTTGAAAAGTTTGTTTATTTTATAACAGCAACACAAGTACAATTTTAAATTCAATTTGAAGAAATGTAGCGCATCTAGAAATTTATTTTTACTGTTCAAAATTTTTTTTTTAAATTGAAAAGTTAATTTTTTTAAATTTTTTTTTTGGAAAAATTTTACTTTTTGTTAAGAAATCTAATTTCATTTGAAAAATTGTATTATTTTGAAAATTTTTTTTATTTATACAACGTTTTGAACAACTTTTAAAATTTTAAAATAAAACAAAACCACAAACAAAAAAAAAAAAAAAAAAGTTTGAACAGTAAAAATAAATTTCTCGTTTAGGAACGAGAAAATGTAGAAATTAAAATAACAGTGTGGTATGTATGAGTATACTTTAAATATAATATAATACATTTTTATAAACACTTTTATATATGTGAATGAGCTTATTTTTTACGAGTCCACCAATTAAAATAAATAACAGAAAATAATTTTTTGCAAAACAATAACAAGACCAACAAGTTTTTACACAGAAAAACCTACAAACATTGCATTGATGATATTGACATAAGAACGCCTTTATAATATACTCACATGTCTACTTATCTTTACTCGTACATATGTAGAAATATACTTGCAGACACTAAGTACATACCATTCCCAATTAAGTTTCAATGACTTTTCGAGTGGATTTTGCTATTGAATATTTCTTTTAATTACTATGTAGGCGTATGTATATAGCATTTAGGTAAAAAAAAATTTCATAATCTTACGAGAACAAAAAAAAAACATGTTTTTAAATTATGCCTACAAGTTAATGCTAAGTCCTGGAAAATAAGTGGCTTGGACTGAAATTTTGTATACCTCAGAGAGTTGGTTGGTTGAGTTTTGGCCAAAGTTTCAAGTAAACGGAACCTTAAATAAAATATTTTGGGGTAGATCGGTCTCAGGTTCACTTGACGGAAAAGAAAATATTTCCTATGTTTATTTCGGTAAAACACGATCCACTAGGTGGCGTCCTTTTGTTCGCAAAACGGATGTTAACGCAACTGACCAAAACCTTATTTCTAAACAATTGTGTAATTTTTTCATATGTCCTTGCCTTAGAATGTTTTTTGACGCGTTTGCAACCCATTTGATCGGGGGTATATGTATATGTTATAGTGGTTTCGGTAAATGATATTTTATATATATCAGTGCATCTGTGTACCAAGTTTGGTTGTAATACCTCAATTCCTCTGATCCCTCAGTTTCGTTCGCGCTCAAACAGACGGACCGATGGCCATGGCTAAAGTAACATAAATCATCGTTCTGATCCGATCGGTTTACCTTTTAATGGCTCTATCTCTTCTCCATTACCGCTAACGTCTTCCACTCCGCTTTTCTAAAACTTAAGTTGCATTCAGTTAATTTTAGTTAAATTTTTTGTATATATGTTTTTTGTCTTCGAATATTTCGTCTTTGCTCAGTTTGTCGCTTAAGTCTTTTGTTTCGTCTCATAAAGCAAGCCGCAAAAGCCCGAACGACCGTAGCTTGCGTTTCATCGCGCTGCGTATGAGATCATTTCATGACCAAAAAAGAGCAAAAGCCAATGAATGAGATAGGAAAAAACAGATGATAATTGTTGGCAAAAATTTCAGAATGACTCAATGCAAAGCATATGGAAGAAGAAGACAATTTCAAGAATGTACAATGAAAATGACAAATTTCGTACGGACATATGACAACTAAAACGTCACTCTTGATGAACTAAGTGAATAAATATTTTTAGTTGTAAACGAAAAACAGCACCAGCTGTTGTTAGTTCCAATATTCATGTGATTTCAACACCTACACACTCACTCATTGGTGTACAGTATAGATGTGTACACTCATCACACAGCACATTCCCGCACTCATTCATTCATTCATGCACTTGTTTTTGTTTTTATTATTTACTCAGTAGTATGTATGTAATATAAATTGTTGTTTACTAACCCTTGGCCAGCGGTCAACTGCAGCAACGTCACGAAGATGAGGCATGAAATAGTGGTCAAGCATTTGACTGGCGATTTGCATGGATAAAATGACATCTTTTTGGTTAATTGCACGCTTGTGCTAGTTTATTCAAGTGTGTGAGTGAATTTTTATTTGTTTCTTCTGCATTTAAATCTTGTTTTGCAATTTTGGCGAGTTTTTATTTTTATTTATTTTATTTTTAAAGAAATATTCACATTTTTTGCTTTGAATTCATGTTCGCTAATTTTGAGCGAGATTATTTATTACCTGTTGTTACAAACAAACCGATTTTATTTGCCTCTATCTCTTTACTCCTTCATTAAGCTACGAATATATTCACCATTCACAAGTTGCTATTTACTATTGGTCAATCTCATTACCTTTTTTATTATGCAAATACATTTGTTACTTCATTATATACATATACATGCATGTGTATGTATTGGTGTTTTGCAATCACTATATACATATATGCATATTTTTTTAATGTAATATTATGCACATTCACTATTTACTACTCCAATTGCTCACTCATATAAATGCACTCAATAATTTGCTCGCTCGCGCTCTTTCGCTTGGTTTGTGTGTGCGCCAGCGCGTTTGCGAAAATCAGCGTTGTTTACTTGTTGCGTTCCGTTTCGATACTGATTTTGACCATGTTAAGTGTTGGAGCATCGAAACTGGCTGAAATGCTGGCAAGCTGGAAGCTTTTTCATAGCTTGTGTTCTCAAGCTTTAAAGCTCGAATTAAGTTTAATAAGCGCTTTCATGGTTTGACGCCACGATCGGCATTATTGTCTTAATTGTAAAACTTTCTTCTATGTAAAACATTGAGAGCTGTCTATAGAAACTCTAAAGTCTTTAAAAATTAAAAAGAAATCTAAATAACTGTTGTTGAGGGCTTTATTTGCGTTATCGGTGCTCTGAAAAGCAGCAAGCGAGTGCATGAGAGAGTAAAATGCTTTTTTATATTATATAAATAAAAATAAAGAACTGATCATTATAATTTTAGCATAATATTTCTATCCGACTAACCTGCAAATACTTCAAAACCATTAAATTTGGCACCATAGTAAACATATTTTGTTCCCCACATCCATAGGGAGTGTGTATGAGATTATCGAGATTCTCACCACTATTGATCAAATTCAACATTGAACCCATTATAAAGTCCATAACGGAAATTTCAATATGCTCAGAGCCCAAAACAATATTTAGCGGTATACTTAATCTGTAAATTTTGCTCTCCTCGCCACTTATAAAGAAGTCCTCATTATTCCACACAGTGGTGCCTTCGTAAACGACTTTCAGTTTTTTGATAATCACATCACTGGCTAAGAAACTTACGGCAGATATTTTCAGATCTATGGCGCCAACTTGAGTTGGTCGTATTTTAAATCTTACTGTTCTGCTTCTCTCTCTTTGTATAAACGCGCTCACTGTTTGTTTGTTATTACCATAATTCGGAAGGAATTCAAATTGTCCCTTTTCGCTTTCCATTGAAATGGAAGCATTCACATTTGAGCGTAAATAATTAAAAGCTGTTACTTCTAATCTATGATTTCGCCTAAAATAATTTATAAAAGCAAAATAATGTAATAAAAAAATGAAATGAAGTAAAAAAACAACAACATTAAAATAAAATTAAAAATAAAATATAACAAAAAATTATTTCATTTTCTTCTTCTTTCCTTCCTTTTTTTTAATTACACTTACCCAATTTCACGATTGTGGAAGTTTAACGGTAACGAAGAATTTCGAAAAAGTCTTAATTTGCGTTGGAGCTGTTGTTAGTGCAAATCCAGTTTTTGGATTAATTGAAAAGCCTGTAACCACCCACGTCGTAATTGTGTTAGGTATTTTTTCTTGTATCGTATTTTGGCCATCATCACTGGAATTAAAAATATTTGAAGGTGAATTTTTTGCAGAGCATAACAATAAAATCAAAGATATATGTATGTATTCATGATTTGATATAATTAAAATGGAACAAGCATAATTATATACTCACAAACTTATTTCAACAACCTTGTTGGAAAGCGATTTTATTAAAATAACGTAGCGGAGACACATAATTCGTAAAGGAAAGTTTTGTCCGGAGAAGCTACAGTTCAAGGACTTAGGAAACCAGGGGACGGCATGAAATTACTGGAAATACTATTTAATGTATATTTCTCATCGCTCACGTAAGGAAGAGAATTCGTAGTGTGTTGAGAACAGCCAGTGCGGAGTATACGCAAGTATACGCAAGAGACCTTCTCGGTTTATAAATCATCGCGCTAAGAAGAAATTTTCTGGGCTGCGCTACGAAGAACCATAGACAGGTTTATTAAATTTCTACTCAAACGCTTTGTTTTATGGCGAACAGCGAAAGTAACATTTCTACCTACAAGTGCAAAGCTTATCAAAACAAAATTCTATGCTAATTTCTATATTACTGCTAAAATAATAATAAATCAAAGAATTTTTGGAAATTAGACGAAATTATACATAATAATTTATTTTGTAGATAATTATATATATGTGTACCTAAGTACGCTTAGAAGAAGAAAATATCAGTTTAAGTCATCGAGGTCATTAACGGGAGGTCCAGCAAACGAGCTGTTTCGACGGGGGTTGGGTTAGTTGGTTTAATGGCCATTAATTGCATGCGAAACAAACGTTGAGTAAGACGAGGGCAAGTCTGGATAAATAAGAATTTAGTCGACTCCAGTATTCAATTCTTAATTGTCCCAGTATTGCGCGATACCTTCGAGAAAGCTCAAACTCTTCATCTGTCATAGGTGGTGGCTTGACTCTGAGAACGCCGTTCATTGGAAAAGAGTTCAAATGGTGTTAATGGCCTCTCGATGAATGGCGTTTGAAGCCTGTCGGTAAGCCGTCCCGTCCGGCGGTGCTGAATGCAATCCTTGTAGCCAAATTGTGCCTAGGTGGAAGCTCAACTTTAAGTCTGTTGAGGGGCTCCCTACGGTAACATCTCATCAGATATTGCTTGCACAGTATAGCATTATGCTCCTTAACTCGTGTATAGATTTTTCGTTGTGCTAGAATGCTTCCTGTTAAGGTCTTGAGGAGAATTCTTGTCACTGTCGTGTGGTCGGTATTTCGACAGGCTTGTAGCTTCCTCATCTGGGATTGGCGGCGGTGTTGCGGTTGTTGGCGGTGGTAGGCTCTTACAGAGTATGCTACTACCTAGAATGGGAGTCATACTGCGGGGAGCTTCGAAAGACCGTGAAAGTCTGGAGCGGTTACTCGGGGTGGATAAGAGTGCAGAAGGCACTGCCATGAAGGCTTGCAGCGCAGTTTGCGCGATTGCAGTATGGGTCTACTGCCTATGTATATTAAGGCCTGAGCAAGACTTAAGATAACCCCAACCAACCCTCTGCATCGCTGCATCTAACTGAAATGGAAAAATGGTAGAGTCGTTTATGGCACACGCAGTAGAAGCGGAAGTAATTTGTCGGACCAGGACTCGATTTGACACCAGCTCTGATGAAAAGGATTTGGAACAAACCAGCTACGAAAAGTTGATCCGTTAATGAGCTTAGACTAATGCTACCGCCGAGAGGGCGCCAAAAGGGTGACAACCCTCGACCGGATGAAATTTACTTTGGTGTAAATTGATATTCAGTCTGTAAAAAAAAGATCATAAAAGTATCGAAAATTTAGGTGTTGAACTAATGATCCTTCGCATGGTAACGGTTCAGTGGGATATCTTCGGACTGCTATAACTCTTTCACTTTTAGCGGCTGAAAATAAGTAATAATAGACAAAGTGGTCAGCAAGAAATCAGCTACAGACAGCTTGTTTCTTATATATGCACATTAATGCTAGTTATCTTTCCTTAATCTTTTCTTAAAATCTCGGTTTTCTGTAATCTACAATAATTTGGCTTTATACCCGTCACGACTTAAAAGTGGTTTCATTGCCAATTTATTTGTGTTATATCTTTTTAAGACATTCATGGCTTAAGACCAAGCAAATAAACATTTAACCTGTGGCTCAGAATTATCTTGCTTTTTGAGAGGGTTGTGAGCTTCGTGAGAACATTAAGAATTTTTGATTTTGTTCTGATGAATTTAATTTCAATTCTATATAAATTTTTATTTTATTTGGAAAGTTATCACACAGTAAGATTGGAGTATTTAATTTGAAAACTGTAGAAGTAAGAAGTTAAAGCAGTAAAATCTATAATTTATTTGGTTTAAAGTACCATATTGAAACACATGCCAATCAACCTATGAAGTTATTGAGACATTATAAGGCCTCACCAACGGATTTAGATGTCATTGACGAATTGAAAGAAAAACAAGTTTTTAAATAAGTTGTATTATTTTATTAAAACTATTTCGAACATGTTTCTTTTTAATTTTAAAAACACCCATGTTGACAACTACTTTTCAACGCGCATCTTTTTAACGCATACCGCGCTAGCGATAGGATTCTTCGCCGTCACTTTTACTTTCACCAAACCACTCACATTTGGGTGGATGCGAAAGTATAAAGTTTTAGACTTCCCAGGACGAATAACATCCGTACGTATTGTGTACTTACTATTCCCACTTCCTTTGATAAACTCAAATTCCCCATTCTCTGATTCCATGCTCACGTTGATTTTCGTATCAGCATTTAAATAATTGGAAACCACAACTTGCAACTTAGTCAAGCTTTCTATGAATTAATATAAGAAAAAACTAAGCATTAACTTATTCTACACAATATATTTTAGTGAGTTCACTCACTTCTTTTTACATAATATGGCAATTCAATATCGACATGCAGTCCTTTCAGGGTTCTAATCACCTTCGGACGTGCCAAAGTAAACCCAGTTTTTGGGCTAATCGCGAAACCTGTTATCGCCCATGATTTATATGAATAGGGTATTTTTGCCATCATTTCCTCATGACCGTCAACACTACGAGTAAACCAAAATATAAAAAATAAAATAGAAATAAACAAATAAAATGAAACAAAACAAAACGAGACAAAATAAATAAAAAAAAATTATATTATATTTAATTAAATTAAAACATAATAAAATAAAATAAAACAAAATGAAATAAATTACAATAAAATAAAATAAATTACAATAATGTAAAAAATTAAGTAAAATTATATAAAATAAACTAAAGTAAAAAAAGGAGGTAAAATAAAAATGTTAAAAAATAAATATAAAATGAAGTAAAAAAAAATAAAATAAAACAAATTAAAATAATATAAAAAATTAAGTAAATTATATAAAATAAACTAAAGTAAAAAAGGAAGTAAAATAAAAATGTGAAAATATAAAAAAATAAGATATCTAAAAAGAAAATGAAATAAAATTAAATAAAATAAAAACATAATAAATTAGACTAATAAAATAATATAAAACAATTTAAAATAAATAAAGTAAATTTAAATAAAAACATGAAAAAATACATAAAAAAATAAATCAACTAAAAATAAATAAGATTATTAAAAATAAAAAAAAAAAAACAAATATATTATAAAAATATGAAATAAAATAAAATAAGAAAAATGAAGTAAAATATATAGAAGAAAAACAAATAAAATACAACGAAATAAAATATAATAAAATAAACTTAAATTAAATAAAACAAATAAAATAAGTAATAGGATAAAATAACAAAAAAGTGAAATAAAATGAAATAAAAAATAAATAAAAAATTTATTAATATATAATAAAATGAAATAAAAAAAATTACAATAAAATAAAACAAATTAAAATAATGGAAAAAATTAAGTAAACCAAAGTAAAAAAAGAAAGTAAATCAAAAATGTTAAAAAAAAAATAAAATTAAAATAATTAAAAATAAAATAAAATGAAGTAAAACAAAATAAAATAAAATAAATCACAATAAAATAAAATAAATTAAAATAATGTAAAAAATTAAGTAAAATTATATAAAATAAACTAAAGTAAAAAAAGGAAGTAAACTAAAAATGTGAAAAAAATAAAAAAAATAATTAAAAAGAAAATGAAATAAAATTAAATATATAAAAAATAGTAATATAAAACAAAATTAAATAAAATAAAAACATAATAAATTAGACTAATAAAATGAAATAAAAAAATAGAATAAAGTAAAATAAATTACAATAAAATAAAATAAATTAAAATAATGTAAAAAATTAAGTAATATTATATAAAATAAACTAAAGTAAAAAAAGGAAATAAAATAAAAATGTGAAAAATATAAAAAACATAAAATAACTGAAAAGAAAATGAAATAAAATTAAATATATAAAAAATAATAATACAAAACAAAATTAAATAAAACAAAAACATAATAAATTAGACTAATAAAATGAAATAAAAAATATAAAATAAAACAAAATAATTTAAAATAAAATAAAGTAAATTTAAATAAAAACATGAAAAAATACATAAACAAATAAATCAACTAAAAATAAATTAAATTATTAAAAATCAAATAAAATAAAAACATAAAATAAAACAAATATATTGTAAAAATACGAAATAAAATAAAATTGGAAAAATAAAATAAAATATAATAAAATAAACTTAAATGAAAAAAAAACAAATAAAATAAGTAATAGGATAAAATAACAAAACAGTGAAATAAAATGAAATAAAAAATAAATAAAAAAATTTTTAAAATAAAATAAAATAAAAAAAAAGAAAATAAAAAAATGGAATAAAATAAAATAAATTAAAAACATGAAATAAAATCAATAAATAATAGAAAAAAAAATAAAAACATACAAAATAAAAAAAATATAATAAAATGAAATAAGTAAAATTCAATGAAATAAAATAAAATTTTATAAAATAAAGTAAAATAAAAAAAAAACAAATAAAATAAGATAAAATAGGATAAAATATAAAAAAGAAAATAAATAAAATAAAATCTAATAAAATAAAGTAAATAAAATAAAACAAATAAAATGAGACAAAATAACCAAAAAAATAAAAGCAAATAAAATAAATAAAGCATAATAGCAAATAAATTAAAATAAATTATATAGAATGAAATTATATAAAACGTGAACAAAAGGAGTCAAATATATTGATTATAAGCAAAAGTAGAATAAAATAATTAAATAAATCAGCATGCTAACCTCACTATATCGGCAAACACCAAGTTTTCAAAGTAAGTATGAGGCAGCAGTGGCTTGGAACTTAAACGCTTCTCCTTTGCAATTGCTTTGAATCCTATGAATTACGGAGAGGAAAATGAAATAGAATGTAAAAATCATCTCCATAATAAACTATGTCACCTGAAATATAGTCTGCATTAGTCATTGTTACAAGACCAGCGTTTTCGCCTGGATAAGGGGTCTTTGGGTTGATGTAAGCGGCTGGGGTGCGCGATTTTGCATTCAATAAACCATCAAAGATTTCGATGGCCTCCAAATCATTTTGTGGTTTCAGCATAAAGGCATCTAGTTCCATACCCAATAGACCAATAAAAGAGTTTGCTTCGGTATCGACATTTAAAGAAACAAATGTGCCCGGTTTAATGTTGACTGGCGATTCGATAGTAATCTGAGATGCAAAAAATTATATTATTCCAGATAACTTAAAAAATTAATTATTGTACTGACCGTATTTCGAAATTGGTTTTCCACTTTAATTGTGCTTTCGTAATATATCAATTTGCCATTTTTAAAGAAATAAACGAAGATGTGCGCTTCCGGCAACATTTCATATGTTGGTATTATAGAGAAGGTATGGGCCTTGACTCCGCCACCATTCGGTATGCTAACCATGTTGTTATACACAATATTACCGCGTCCGACAATCACGCAGGCGAAGCTCGTAAAGTATTGGGTCGATATTAGACGCATATCCATCGAGTCGCCTACCTTCGGACTGAGTATACAAAAATAGATAGAATGTATATTTTGGTTTCTCCAAATATTTTTACTAAAGGTTTCTTTTATTATCTTACTTTTTCGTAGTAACGTACAATCCTTCCTTCCCAATATCGCTCCACTGCTTAAAACTAATTACGCCAACACTTTTCATGCCTTCATATCGAATAGTAAGATTTATAGCATTGAGGTTAGAGCAATTAATATGCAAATTGACATAACCATTGTCATCGACATTTGTAACGTTTTTCCAGGCATTAAAAGTGGTTTCAAAGTGTACAATGACATCGTCGTCAACATCAATGGGATCGCCATTAAAATTGTGTATATGTGCACTGTATAAGAATACGTCATTTGGCTGAAAACACTCGTAGGTTATCGATGGAGTTTCGATTACATAAAGATTTGGCACAATCTGCACTGTTTTGGAAACACTATATGAGATCGGGTTAAAATAATCTTCAATTCTGGCGTGTATTAAAACACTTTTTACATTTCTGCCTAGTCTTCTTATAGGAATTGTTATCTCTTTAATGCCATTCGTCAAAGATTCATTCCTCCGTTGTGGTTGTCGCCCTTGTGGAGTTATGGTGATTAAACAACGTCCAGTTATTGGCTGTTTATGGGAGTAACTGAAATGAAAATACTTTTTAAGCATATTTACAAAGCTCGAGAGACTTAAGTGCTACTAATAACACTTATCCGAATTCATGAATCTCTGCCATGGAGAACGAAAAATATGGAAACTTACCGCGCGCGCACGGTTACAACTAATTCTATGTCTCGAAAACACACAAAACGCGGCACGTCCAAGTCCATATCAAATGGTGGTGGGCTCGTATCTATCACATTGATAACCTTGTTCTTCAAAACATCGTTTCCCAAACAAACTTCAATAGACCATTCACCCGTGCTGACGTAGTTAGGTATTCTTGAACTTGCCTTGAATACACCGACATCCAAAGTAACATCATCGAAACGTTCACTTATAAAATTTTGCGGGTTCTACAAAAGCAAAAATTTGGAAATATATAACAAATCACCAAAAATAAAATATATGCCTCAAAACCAAATAAAACTTAAACAAAATAAGCAACGAAATAAAACAAATAAAATAAAATAAAATAAATTCAAATGAAATTAAACAAAAAAAAGAAATAAAATAAAAAAGAGAAGAGAAAAAAAAAATAAAATAAAATAAAATAAAAATAGAACAAAAAAATAGCTAAAATAAAAACATGTGAAGTAAGATAAATGCAAAAAAAAAAAATGAATTAAAATTAAACAAAATTAAATGAAATAAAATTATATTAAATAAAATTAGATAAAATTTTTTAACTAAAATAAAATAACATAAAATAAAATAAAATGTAAACAAATAAAATAATAATCATCAAATAAATTAACTAAAATAAAATAACATAAAATAAAACAAATTCAAATAAAATTAAACTAAACAAAATAAAATCGAACAAAACAAAATGAAATAAAATAAAATAAACAATAAAAATTAAAACAAGATTAAACAAAAAAAAAATAAATTAAATAAAATCATGAAGAGTAAAATAAACCAAAAAAAGCAAAATAAATTTAAATTTAATGAAATGAACAAAATAAAACAAAATGAAATCAAATAAAATTATATAAGAGAAAATCAGATAAAATATAATATAAAAAAAATAAAATAAATTATTTCATAATAATATAAATAGCATATAATAATATATTTCAAAGTAAAATAAAATAGCATAAAAGAAAATAAAACAAAATAAATTAAAATGAAATAAACTAAAATAATTTTTTAATAAATTATAATAAAGTAACAAAAAAAAAAATAAAAAAAATCAAATAAAATTAAAAAAGTAGAAAAATAGAATAAAATAAAATAAAATAAAATAGCATAAAATAGCATAAAATAGCATAAATAAAACAAAATAGCATAAACAAAATAAAATAAAACAATATAAAATAAAATAAAATAAAATAAAATAAAATAAAATAAAATAAAATAAAATAAAATAAAATAAAATAAAATAAATTCAAATGAAATTAAACAAAAAAAAATAAAATAAAATTAAAAAGAAATAAAAAATAAAATAAAATAAAATAAAAATAGAACAAAATTAAACAAAAAAATAGCTAAAATAAAATCATATGAAGTAAGATAGATGCAAAAAAAAAAAATTAATTAAAATTAAACAAAGTTAAATGAAATAAAATTATATTAAATAAAATTACATAATATATTATATTAAATAAATTAGATAAAATAACATAAAATAAAATAAATTCAAATAAAATTAAATTAAACAAAATAAAATCGAACAAAACAAAGTGAAATAAAATATAATAAAAAATAAAAATAAAAACAAGATAAAACAAAAAAAATAAATTAAATAAAATCATGAAAAGTAAAATAAACCAAAAAAAGCAAAACTAATTTAAATTTAATTAAATGAACAAAATAAAACAAAATGAAATGAAATAAAATTATATAAGATAAAATCAGATAAAATAAAATAATATAAAAAAGCAAAATAATTTATTTCATAATAATATAAATAGCATATAATAATATATTTCAAAGTAAAATAAAATAGCATAAACAAAAATAAAATAAATTCAAATAAAATTAAATTAAACAAAACAAAGTGAAATAAAATAAATTAAAAATTAAAGAAAAAATAAAAAGAAAAACAACACAAAACAAAAAAAAAATTAAATTAAGTGATATCATGAAAAGTAAAATTAACCAAAAAAGCAAAATTAATTAAAATTGAATTAAATTAACAGAATTAAACAAAATGAAATGAAATCAAATTATATAATATAGAATCCGATAAAATAAATTAATATAAAATAAAAAAAAATAAAACAAAAATAAAATTAAATAAAATAAGATAAAATAAAATAATATAAAAAAAGGAAAATAAATTTATTCATAATAAAATAAATAGAATATACATATAAATATAATTATTATAAATTTATATTTTAAAGTAAAATAAAATTGCATAAAAGACAATAAAACAAAATAAAATAAAATGAAATAATATAAAATGTAATAAATTGAAATGAAGTAAACTAAAATAAATGTTTAATAAATTATAATAAATAACAAAATAAAAATAAATGAAATAAATGAAATTAAATAAGTAGAAAAATAAAATAGCATAACATGTACAAGTTTATATAACTATAAATACATACTTTTATGAGAACAGAAATCGGTTGGTTGACCTTTACTGGCAACAAATACTGATCCAAGAATATTGCACGAAATTGTATGGTATCTCCTTGTCTGTAGGTGGCTTTATCAGTTTGTATATATACCGCTGGTGGATTGTCGGCAAACTCAAGATTTACGTAATTTTCAAAAATTATACCAGACAATCCTTGAACTTGCAGTGAATATGCAACCCTGGGAATATCTCTTATTTCAAATGTGACATTTTGTCCTGAATTAGGTGGTATTATAAGCTCAGTATACTTCTGATATTTTGGTCCTTGAAGGGAGAGAACAATTTGCGCATCAACGGAAATATCTGATACACTCACATACACACTATATTTTGCATTGGGTCTTATAGTGCCCGGTGCAGTTACGGTATAATATCCTTCTGCCTGTGCTTGTGCCGCAATTGAAATTATTAAACCCAGAATAGGCAGCCACACCGCTAGCTTGAACATTCTGCTCGATTAGTGATCGTGTACTAAATTGACTTGCTCAAGATACTCTTCGTTAATTCGACCAAAATTCAGTTTTTCATACTTACAAATGCATATACATATACATATGTAAATATAAATGTGTACATACATATCTTCATACATATTTTCATGTTATGTGTACAGATTAAATTGCAATGCATGCGCCTATTTTTTCTTGGCTTTTTTTTTTAAATGCTATCATGAAAGAAAATTTTTTATAAGGAATATATTATCGACCATAAAATACCCAGAAATACCGTAATAAATTAACTTCAAATGAAATCGGAAGGAGGTTATTCATTTTTTCAGCAACACGATCACTTGTCACACGAAAGTAAGTAAGTAAATATAAAGAATTTTACGATTCTTCTAGAATAAAATATCTAATAATAATACGTATCGTCGCAATAAATTTTTAAATATAGAGAAAGTGTGAGACTGACTTTTAATATACTCGGAAAATCATTTTACTTTTATTTATTGCTGCTGATAACCAAGCTCGTACATATATACACTTACATACATACACTAAAGCTTATAAGAAGAAGCTATTATCTAGGGGAAATTCCTGATTCACTTTCAGCTTGGATGAGTTACTTTTTCGTAAATAAAATAAACGATTAAGCCAAGTGCCTGGTGTCCTAAAATATGTAAAACTTTAGATGAGATTATCAAGAGTTGCTAAGCGATTTATTGAGAAAAAACTATACTTTCGAGGGCCATACCAAAATACTTCAGACTTTTATTGAAAAAATAATATCGTCCCAGGGCCGTGTATCTTCCTTAATCCTACTTCATCCAAACTTTGTCGTGCTCGGGTGCTTTGGCGAAAGTTTTATTACCATTGACTAAAGTTTCAGCTTCACGAATTGCCAAAAAAGAGAAATAAAAACAAGAAAAACCCCTCTAGACCACTTTTTGGTTGCAGTTTTTATGCTCTTCAACATATAAACTTTGACTGCTTTTATTGCATTCAAACTGGGAAAAATCAAATTCCTTTATTTTTGTGTTTAAGAAATCATATTTTCATCCCTCCGCTGAGGTATATACATATACATACAAACAATTTACTGAAATTTAGCGCTCTCGCCTTATGTTATCACTAGTTCTGTCACAGCTACTGCTGAAGCTCACGGCGCCATTACAACCTGCTTCAGAGCTACTGACATCACTCCATTCGGCTACACCAAAAAATTCGTTGCATCTTGGTCGAAAGCCGAGGAAAAGTGCCGTCCTTATTCAAGAAAAATCAATAAAGCAAGTATTCAACCAGCTCATAAAGCGAGCAAAAAAAATGGAAGAAATATTTTCGAAAAAATAAAAACCGCGAGCTAATTAAGATTATTTGATTCTAAGCTAAATAGAATAGTTCTGAATATATGTATTTATCTGATTCCAAAAATATGTTGTATTGAATGAAGTTACTCCAAAATTTTTCGAAAAATGCAATGCAAATTTTTTCTATAAAATATTAATACTTGAGCACTGTATTCGAATTCGAATCTTTTTTTCGACAATGGGGCACCTATCAAGTGTAACCAATTCAATTGCTCTAATTTCAATGGCAATAGTCGTTTTCATATTCTCTTTCAGATTTATTAGAAAAAAAAAACATTGTATTCTCAATCACAAAGCTTTGGATTCACTTGAAGCTCAGAGACGGGGTATTTTGAATCGTTGCTTACGAGTCGAAACCCTTTTTTTCAGTATTCAAACATAGTGATAAAATGAAACTCATTACTAAGGGATTTCAGAGGTCACCATTTGGTTTCCATCTGGACTTAATGCTTTTATAGAAGGTGGTAGCTGTACCTTCTCGATTGGTGCAATTGGTTTGTTTTCCGATCTAACTTCATCACGTAGGTGCCAGTTTCTTTCATATAAAACGCCGAATATTTCGAAAATGGGAGCTAAGTTTATAAAACGGCTGATGCCATTGAATCAGTGACGAATTACGAAATTTAGTCTCCGGAACTTGCACATGTAGCATAAGCAATTTCAGATAACATGAATTTAAATCACTGGAAATTCGCTTCTTTCACAATAATTCAACAAAAATCATCTTTGACAATACTCAAATCTTTTGACAGCAATTTCAAGAGAACTAAAAATTGCTAGTGCAGCACAAGTAATTGGAAATTTAATTTCCGAATTCACACTTCATATAAGTGAGTGCAATCACACAATGCAATATTTATTTTCGGAATTCTTTGAAGTTTAATAGTCAAAGTTTTTTACAACAATGCGCGCCACCTTAAAGTTTTTCGTTTTGGCTACTTAGTAACCTGACTGTTTCCTCTCGCTACAGTGTGAACCAAACCTTAGCACATGCAAAATAAATAAATAAAAGTTAGCAGTTGATAAATTTGCCGGCAAGTGAGCAATGTTAAAAAAAATTTAAAAATAGTTACTGTCACTTTCTTTTTGCATATACATATAAGCACATACATACATACATATGAATGTATTTACTTATTAATACCAAGTGCTAGATGTATGCATGTAAACATAGAATAAAACAAATCAAACAAAATCAATACAAATGATGAAAAACGAAAAACGAAAAACATAAACAAAACAACATTTACCCTACATACATAAATATATACAAACATAAATACACACATACGCAACAAATGAAAACATAGGTCATACACGCACATATATAAGTGCAAAAAAAATTGTTTCGTGGAAGACTCTTTAAAGAGAATGCAATAAAAAATCAAAATAAAAACAAAAAACAATTAAAACAACAAAGCAGAATAAAATCAAATGAAACACAATATAAACAGAAAGCCCATATCCCTGCTCACACTCAAGCCACTGGCCATTCGTAATGCAACTGTTGACGCGCACGCTTGCTCGACTCGCCGCGTTAGCTCGAACTTGAATTGGGGAAAACAAGTGTTTGTGGAGATTTGAGCAAACCTAAAACACAAATTTGATTTGCATATTCAAAGTGAAATTTTTATTTATTTAATCAATTAGCAAAATCGATTTGTGCTTGTGGATTTGTGTTTGTGTGCTGCCAAAAAAATTTAAATCTGGAATTGTTTTTGGAATCTTTTTGAATGTAATTTCGTACGAGCAGCTGATTAATATTGTGCGGGAAACGAGAGAGTGATAGCGCTAAGAACTTTAAATACATACATACATACCTCTTCTAGTGTAAATATGTAAAGAGTTTTACAATTTGCTTTAATTTTTTTAAGTGGCGTTTTTATGTAATTTTCTAATTGTTTAATAAATCACGAGACGGGCATGCTTCATTAGGTCATTGTCATTTATTGCTTTATTTGACAAAATATATTTGAAAATATTAAATTTTATCTAATATTTTTAACATTTACGAGCATAACATATGATTTTTTTTTTAATTACGAATATAAATTATGGCTTAACGAAATATATAGAATGTTGCCAATTATTAATTCCAAAAATCGCCAAATTTTTCTCAGCATTTAATAAAAAAATAAATAAATTCCTTTGTCAAACATAACTAATCATATATAACTCCTAAATTATATTATTATATGGCCGGAAATAATTTATTGTTGAACATTAAATTTGTTTACATAATAAATTCTCCTAAATAAGAGTTACTATTCAAAAATGTACTCATTACAAAACATTTCTTAACAAATAATAAAAAAAAAATTGCTTTGTGTTAGATAATAAATGATGAGACATAAATGATTGCTAAACATAATATATGGCCGGACATAAATTATTGCTGAGCGTTCAATTTTTTTTTAAGAATAAAATCTGGTAAATAAGACATGTGATTTTGTTTTAAAATTAACAAATATACAGTAGGCTGTATATAGAAATTAGCTTAATATTTCAAAACAAAAATTTTTGTAGACATAAAGTGTTCATAGACAAAAAATTTTGGTCATTACAAAAAAAATTTTGTTTCCCGCCGTATGGGACCGAACATAATATATAGCCAGACATAAATCATTTCTAAACATAATGCATATATAGCCAGACATAAACCATTTCTAAACATAATATATAGCCAGACATATATAATTACAAAATTTAATACATGGCCAGCCATAAATAAATGCTGTACATAATATACGGTTCATTAGCGAATTTCACTCAACATAAATTGCTAAACATAAAAAATAGCTTACCATAATTTTTTTTTTTAATATATGTACATATTCTGAAATCAATGCTCAGTGAAAAAAATAACGTCTTTAAGACTTACATACACATACCCAGTGTAAAGCAGGCACAAATCCAATTACTGTTCACCCACAAGTATAAATCGCATTTTACCGATAATATTTACATTTATTTATTATTTGTAAACGATTAGACCGGATTTCAGTTGTACATACACAAGCATACAAGCAAATAAATAAGAGAAAAGAAAGAAGTATTTAATTTAAAATAAAAACAAACAAACGCAGCAAGACGATAGCAGGATGTCGCGACCGCTGGTCATTGCGGCGTTTACATTTTTACAGATCTTTGCTTTGGTGCGCGCAACTGGGTGAGTAGTCATCTATACATACACTTATATATGTATGTAAATATATATTTTTTGCGGGTGATAATACAATTTATATTATTTTTAACTAAACCAGTTCCGATAAACAGGGCATTGTGGGCTCTTTAATGGTTTTGGTGATATGGGAAATACTTCATTTTGCTGTAAAAAATCTATTATCCCTGTGGAGCTCCCATGATTTATAACATTTATTCGACTTATTTACGTACGTCCGAGTTCTCCCTAAAAACAATCGCTTATTAAGAATTTTTATATATTTTGCTGAGCGTGTAAATAAGTTAAGTGTGAAATTCTTTACTTTCTGGCGCTTTCAACTACGCCTATGGCAAGAACTAAGAAATAATTACAAATTATGACATTAGCCTTGCCTTGTTCATTAGAAATTTTAGATTCTTCATAATTTACACGATTTGCACGTTAGTGACGTCATTCAATGACAATTATTACAAAAAAAAAAAAACAAATCTTGGAATAAATAATTGTTATGTTTTGTGCGCTGGGAATTCCCTCTCATTATCGCCAACCGCACACGTAGTACAAAACTATTTATTAACAAGTGAACATGAAACCGTATATGCTTTAATTGTATGTACGTATGCCAGATTTAGACACAAATATTTGCGGTTTATTATGGAGATATTTGTTAGCGCCCTGCTGGAAAAATGAGCTTCTGTTTACAGTAATTAAGTAATAAACTAAGTTAAAGTCTTAGATTTCAGATTAAGCATATAATTGAAGTCTCTTATTTACCGAGACTAATTTTGAAAAAAATATACGCATATTTTGTTTTAAATCTCCACAAAGTAATAAAAATGAGATTTTGCAAGAAAAATTTAATTTTTATTTTCTATTTTAAAAACCATTTGGAAATGCACATTCTTGCATGATGCTTTATAATGACATGATTTGTTAAATAAACTACAATAAATCAATAAAGATATTTTAATTTTTTTCTCATTGGGTCCTTCTGCTATAATTATCAGTTGCTGCTTCTGCTGGTTTTGTGTTTGTTACCCATGCTCGAGCAGCATCTGCCTTACGTATAAAATTATATTTAATTCAAATTTCATTACTCGTTTGTTTGTTTATTAGCTAATTCACCGAAAAAGGGAACTAAATAAAATATAAATTAAGAAGTTAGAAAAATTAATGTAATAATTACAAATATATGTTACTTTACTACAATAATTAGTAATTTATTAATTAACAATAATCTTAATATGACAGTAATTACTTTTGCAACTAATGGACAGTTGCTGATAAAGCAATTATATAATATATAATTTTAGAAATTCACTGTTTCTTGAATATAATAAAAATTCAAGTTCAATTAAATAATATGAAAATATTGTAATTTTTACAAAAAAAATAAATTATAACGATAATGGAGTTACTGTGAATGCAATAAAATTATTATCTGCCTTAAGTTCATATAATTGTGTTGTAACAATTTCATTTTTAAATTTACATTATGTTTATATATTGTATATTATATTATTGTATTTTTATATTTTGTTAAGATAACGTTTTTTTTTGTTATATTTTCTTTAAAGTTTTATTTAATTTATTCAGTTTTATTTTATTTTCCTAATTGATTTTTTTTAAGTTTTATTATTTTATATTTTTAAATTACATTCTTTGATTTTCATTTTTTTGTTTCATTTGTTTTTATTTAATTTTTAAAGTTTAAGATTATAAGGTATTAATATTATTTCATATTATTAAAATCTAATTCTTTTAGTTCAATTTATTCTAATTTTATTTTTTATGTTATGTTGTGTTATATAGTTTAAATTAATTTTATTTCATTCTCTTTATTTTTCTTTATTTTATTTTTTTTATTTATGTTTTTTTATTTTTTTATTTCTTTTTATTTGATTTGGTTTTGATTTAATTTAAATTAATTTAATTAAGTTTAATTTTTATTTATTTATCTTACCTTATTTTATTCTGCTTTTGATATTATTTTCATTTTGCTTGTATTATTTTTTTAATATGTTATTATATTTTATTTTAATTAGCTTATGTTGTTTTTTATATTTGTTTATTTTATTTTATTCAGTTTATTTTAATTTGCTTTTATTTTTGTATTTTTAATTATAATTTTTTTTATATTTTTAAATTACGTTATTTAATTTATTTTATTTTATTTTTTTGTTTTATTTTATTTAGTTAAATTTCATTAAAATTAACTTAAGTTTATTTAATTTTTATTTATATAATATTATTTTTTTTAACTTTATTTTATTTTATTTTAGTTTATCTTATATTTTTTCACATAAATTTGTTTTTTAATCTTAAAATTTATTTGATTATATTTTATTTTAGCAAAAATTTTTTGTATTTTATTACATTTTACTATGATGTTTTATTTTTTGATATTCTTCCTACCAAAAATGAAAAAAAACGCTCTAAAATAATTGAATATTAAAACGAGTTAATGATATAAAACAATTTAATAAAAGAAATGGTAATCAAGCATGAGCTGAGTTCGGGTTCGTTTCGAACAAACATAGGAATATATTTATATGTAGCTTCGACAAAACCTATTTCGTATGAGTAAAGGCGATTATTTATAAACTTTCTTTTTAATTATTCTTTAGTTTCCATTAATTTTTTACGCTGTTTTTCTATGCCTAAGAGCCAACTTAATCTGTTTGTTTCGAACAAAAATGCAAAATACTTATTTACATACATATATATGCATATTTGTATGTATATGAGAATTATATATGGATGTTATCAAATTCTGGTTTTGACCTATTAGCTTATTTAATTCTGGGAACTTTATTAAAAAATTAAATAAAAATGATCACAAACATCGATCTTCAACAGAAAGGTGAACAAGGGTTATTTTAAATGAGAATACATATATATGTACATATGTATATAAAACAAAAACAGAATTTATTGTATTGATTGACATTGACAAATTTGTTAGACATTTATTTCTAATACTTATTGTCAAATGATTTTATAAGATAAATAATGACAAAGCTAGGGACAACCGAAATAACAAAATAATTTGCAGAGATTAAATTTTCTTATATTTCTGTATAATATATTTATAATATTTTATTTTCTCCAAACAGTCATTATTCTGTAATTGGACCCGGTACAATTCGCTCCAACTTCAAATACAATGCCGTTGTATCGGTACACAAAGCCGAGGGGCCTTGCAAAATTGAAGTGGGCATTACGGGACCATCCTTTAATGAAACCAAAACAGTAGAGCTNTTGTGATTTAATTAATTTGTAATAAATCTTAATTTTACTTAAAAAGTTATTCATCATTTATTTATGTTATTTTCATTAAATATTAATATTTAACCTTACTCATTAGGATGGCGCACAAAATCGCATCAAACAGCTCGAAAATGTCCAGTTGACCAAAGGTGTTTACAGCGGCGAATTCCAACTCTCCGAGCAGCCTGTGCTCGGCAACTGGAACATCGACGTCAATGTGGAAGGTCAGCAGGCAGAAACGAAGTCATTTGAGGTAGCCAAATATGTGTTGCCCAAGTTCGAGGTGACCATTGAGACGGCCAAAGATGTAGCCATACCGGATGGATTGATTAAGGTGACCGTGCGTTCCAAATACACCTACGGTAAATCGGTGAAGGGCAAGGCATCGGTATCGATTAAGCCGATCTATCATTATTATGGCATGTCCACTGACCCAGAAGCGAATAAAACAATTGATGTTGATGGCAAAGGACATGTAGAGTTTGATTTGGGCACAGATCTGGGTATAAGTAGTGAACGCACCTATGTACCACCATTGAAAGTGTTGGCCATTATGGAGGAAGAACTGACGGGTAATACCTACAATGCAACAGCCACGGTGAACTTACACGCTGAACGTTATCGCATAGAAGGTGTCAACGTACCAAACAATTATCATCCCGGCAAACCGACACAAATCACTGTTGTGGTGAAGAATGTAGATGGTTCACCGGTGCGTGATAACAAAAACAAGGCAACATTATTTGTTTTCCCACCACGAGACTATATATATTCCATGGATGATAGCCGGCGAAATGATACACAAAAGTCTGATATGGAATTCGAATCAAATTTGGATGAGCACGGCATGGCCACATTTGAGTTTACACTGCCCGATGCTGACCGTTATTACACCATCAAATGCAATTTCTTAGATACAACAACATACCTAAGTTCTCTATCGAAATTTATACCTGCCATCGATGGGCCTGAATTGTTGAAATTGTCGGTGAAGCCAGAGAAGTGAGTATATCCGGGTTTGCTGTGGCATGAAATTATAAAAAATATTTTTAATTTTTTTTTCTTTAGACCACGTCTTGGCAAGCCCGTTACCGTTGAGGTTAAGTCCAGCGAAGCTCTACCATATTTTGTCTACGCCATCGTTGCGCGTGGCAACATAGTGAAAGCTGAATATGTTGATGTGCCTGAGGGCCGCAAATCCCAGTCGATTAAATTCATACCCACTTTCGAAATGGTGCCACAGGCCAAGTTGTATGTGCATTATGTTTTTGATAACAATTTGCGTTTTGAAGAGAAGACCATTGATTTCGAAAAGGAGTTCGAAAATACGGTAAGATGTAACTCAGTGTTCTTGTGCGACTTTTACTTCAGAGACAACCACGCGAATGCCACCGTATATCTCGTATAGCTTGTCATTCCCTTGTGTCCGGTACTCCGCAGTTGCCAATGTGCAAGAAACCATAAATCTTCCGCATAACCTTTCAAACCTCTCTGAGGTGAGTCACCATTTCGGACACTTAGTTTAGAACCAAACGGATCGAGGGGCTTCAGCATTATTCACTGCACTTCTGGTACAATAAGACGTTAGAGAAAAGATTTTGCGTATCGACTCTTTCTCCGGAGTATTTTTCATCTATCGCAACATGACCGCGGTTTTTTACACGATTTTCATGCAGCTTAATGAGTTTTAACGAAATCTCGTGATGCAGACACCTACATATATTTCGGCCCTCGACGAAGCCGGCAAGCCTCAGCCCGATTGCTTGGCTTGCTTTTGACATCCATCGTAGTGGGGGCAATGCTCTTCGCCGTTGCGATGACGAACTACCATGTGCACACTTTCATATTGTGGTCTCTAAAGCCTCTCTCATCCCAGGCTTATTGTTGAATTTTTCACTTCGTGTGAACTCCTGTACACTTTTTCCTGCGACAATGTGCAATTTAGAAGGAATTTATTTTTATTACTTATGCTAAACGATAATTTTTCATTCTCGACTTTCTTTCGTAGATCGATATCAGCGCTCAACCGCAAGCGAAACCCGGCGAAGAGGTACAGCTACAGATCAAAACAGATCCCGATTCATTCGTCGGCTTACTTGGTGTCGATCAGAGCGTAATTTTGCTGAAACCAGGCAACGACATTACCAAGGATCAAGTATTCAATAGTTTAAGCAATTACGAGGCCAGTACACCATGGATGCGGGGATATGGCCGCTATCCCGGTCAACAAGCCGGAGTGGTAACAATGACCAATGCCAATTATCCCTACAATGATGGTAAGTGAAATAATATAGAAATTAAAAAGCTCCTTAAGAAACTTACATACATACTATGTGCCAAACATTGAGCTTTAGGAGTATAAAATGATAACCGTCTTATGACATACATAAATATTTATGAACCCAAGAGTTATACCCATCGCCACTTGAACTCGCCGACGTTCTGCAAGATGATGAATATTCCGAAATGGTACTCAACGATGAACCTATGCATCGTGATGTTGCCGATAGAACATTAGATCCCTCAGCATATGGCATTTTACCGATACGAAAAATGTTTCTTGAAACTTGGGTTTGGACTCTACGTTATAGGTTCGTTCACACTCTGTTGCATATTCGTATGGCTTGCATAAGAACTTTTGTAGAGAGAGAAAGGAAGCTACTTGGTAAAGGGTATAACTGATAAAGCAGCTGACAACTATGGGCTTACAAATAATTCTAAATATATCGCATGCCGAAGGTGCGAAGTGAATTATTAATACTGAAAATTAATAATAATAAATAAATAGCAAATAACATCTAATATGCAGATAAACATAATCGTGTTTTGCGCGGTGACGGTCAGTTAATATTTTTCAGATATGATAGATATTTTTAGATATTTTTTGGTATATAATTCCAAAACCGTAATGTTTTCCAATTTCCATTTTTCTTCTAAATTATTTTACATTTTTAATTATAGAAATTATTTATATGCTCCAAAGAGATGAATTAGAACAAGGAATTTTGTTCGAATCCGAAGATGAAACCGATTTTAGTCCCGAATCTGAGGGAGATAGTGTCTCAGTAGATTCTTCTGAAGCCTTGCCAAGAATACGTAAAAATTTTAACGAAGTCTGGATTTATAATGTCACCAAACGGTTGGTTCCGGACAAATGTTTTCACTTTCACTTATTCATTAATGTTTGTAAATGTGTGCACACCGCATATTTGAAAAAATAATGAGGCCTAAATTAGATTTGAAAAAAAATTGACGGAAATAATTATGCACGCTTTTGAATATATGTAGCCCTTCTTGATCTACTTCTGTACTCTCCCCGAGTTGTCTTTTCCTTATATTTTTCTTAGCAAAAAATGCACTGCTGCTAAACTAAAAGGGTGGTTTTTAAGAAATGTGGTTTTTAAGAAGATCAATACGCATATAGTTTGATGATAAATACGTCATGGAATTTAGATTTGTTTTAAACAATTAAGCAAAGATTTTGCCAAATATATTTTCTGAATGATTTCGGGCAAGTGACCGCCGCGATCAGTTTATCTGCCTAGACCAGCGACTTCATATAACCCCGCAAAAATTTGAGCAGCAATGTTAGGTTAGGTTATGTTATGCTGGCTCACCACATAAACACCCTCCAATTTATGGACCAATGTTTCCCTTTGACCATTGAGCACACCGAGCAGTGAATTTTAGAGATTGCAATCCTCACTCCAGATTCGAATATTACAAACTAATTTCAAAGTGGGCTTCAACGTTGAACAATCTTTTCTTTTAAGTGGTGAATTGGTCCATGGTGTAAAACTGATCCGGACAATGTTGGGCAGTTATGTCGACCAAATGTTGGGCGCAGTGCGTAGCTCGTTGTTCGAACCGAACTATTATTTCGGTAATGAATTTGCACGATTAGCAAAAGTAAGTCTGTTCGTTATGAAACGGCAAGTCAAACTGAGTATAAAATCAGGTAAAATATTACAAACCGACGACAACTCGGAGGAAGTATTGGCTAATTGAAATTCGCACGTCTAAAATATACACCCTTTATATGCCTTACTGTGGTGAAAATGGTAAGCAGTTGGTGAAACTACTTTTTTTTCGAATTTATCCAAAATTTTTCGACATAATTTTTCATCTGTTTCAAAGCATTAAGTGATTGGATCAAAAGCTCTGGGGAACTGTACATAAATACAAAATATAGTCCAATAATGCCTGCACTCACTCCTGTTCCCTCCTGCAACCTGTTGCTTGAATGTTTTTTAATTTTGTTTGATCGAAAAACGGACTATGCAACTTGCATGTGCAATTATAAAAGATTTTCCAAAAATTACTGCAATAAAAAAATTAATTGTAAATAAACAAATTGATGCCCTATTTGTATGTATGTATGTAAGTGTGTTTCATTTACTTGTAGAACATTACTACAGTTTCTTGTCAGCCCGCTCTGGTGATATACCAATGTACGCGATAGCTCGAGCTCAACCATTAGCATCAGTCATGATTGGGTTTTCACCACGATTTCCAGCACCAGCAAAGCCTGTTGTGAAAATACGTGAAAATTTTGCTGAAGTTTGGATTTTCGATAGTTTTTCAAATGGTGAAAACGAAAAGTTAGTAGGAAAAGAGTAGTCTAATAGAGATATGTGATAAGAAACAGAAATTTGGAGTAAGACAAAAATATAAAAATTTCAAACTAATTTGCGGAATTCTATGCAAATCATCAGGTTTTTAAGAGTTTCTTCTTATAATAAAAAAAAACCTTCTCTTCTCTTTAATATTAAATAAAAAAAAGAAAATATATATTTTTTTAAATTCTTAAAAAACAGATTCCAACATATGTTTTGCATAGAAAAAATTCACCACGAAAATCCTTACTCCTATTTCTGCGTAATTTTGTTGTCACTTATATAACTTTAACCATTGAAAAAGTAGTCTTGAAACGGAACATTTCATGAAACGATTTTAATTTTTCCGTACATTTGATTTATTAATTAGATACATAATATCTCCACTTATGTACGAGTATATATGTATATGGCGCTCTTGACGTTCACATGTAGATAGATCATTGATGACCCTTCATCGCAATAATCACATTTTAACAACAAAATCTTAGAAAATACAAAGTGACTTCAGTCGAATAATTAGGATGGTTAGATTGATCAGTCGAATACGCAAATCGATTATTAATAATTTTTTGATCGACTATACCGCTCCCACTTTTCTGCTTTGGGTTGACGCGAGACTTGTTCATTGCTCAAAAGCACAGATCTCAAAAATCACTACTCTCTAAAACTTAGAGCTCTCGCGGGAATGTGCAAAATGTTTCTCTTCTAGACTCGCTCCTACCGTGCGTTCACATTTTCAGTCGTCGGGGATAATGTTTCACATGATTAATCAATTTGCTTTGAATTTATTAATGAAAAAAATTAAGTACAGATTTTATTTTTTGATATTCAATATTTTCTTCGCAGTCAAATTTCACTCCTATTTCGCTAGTGGTTGGGGACAAGTTGCTGCTTTTTCCGCTTTGCCTGCGCCTGCTCCTCCAGGTGTTGCTTATGACGTCGCTATGAGGCCTACCTCCTTGGCCGAGCCGCAACCCCTCGTTCCACTAAGGGCTGCAGCACCGACTTTGAGAAAGAATTTTATTGAAAATTGGATTTTTATGAATCAAGAAAAGTAAATATATTAATCGGTTTTTTCCTCAATGGAGGGCGTATTATAAGTGAAATTCATTAACGTTCAGGGTACTGGTTTTATAAGTACAGACGTCGTTTGTGTAATTGTTAGTAAAAATTTGTTGGTGTTTTTTGCGAATTTTTATGTGAAAACTGGTCATTTGAGCACTCCATTCGTTGAAGGGATTCAAAACATTCTTGCACTTGCATAACATTTTTAATTTCATAATATTATTTTATTAAATTTGGGGAATATGACGAAATCCTCTTTAGCGTTTTTGAAACAAGGCATGACATACAGTTTCCATATCTACGATATTTTCAATAAATTCTCACCAACTTATTTGAAATTTTTATGTAGGCTTTTCCAAAAAAAAAAAAACAAAAAAAAAAATATTAGTTCCGAATATAAATTTTAAGCTTCTTTATGTTAATTAATATTTCGATCATTGAAATTCTTCTAGAGCCACTTACAATGTATTATCTTGAGAGCGACTTTTTCGAAGAGGATCAAGCTTTTGCCTTAGCAATTTCAGAGTCTATAGAGCCAATCGAAATTCCTCAAGTGCGACAAGATTTTGCTGAAGTATGGATATTTGACGACAGCCAAAAGTATTTAAAAACTCCAAATTCATTTCCGAAATCATAATTATATAAGTTTACTAACAAAACACATTTATTTTGGTGGTGACTACAGAACAAGAGTTTGTACATAATTCATGAAAAAACTGCCCTTCATCTGTACATACTCGTAAACATATTTGTATAAAGTGAAATTATTTGTTTCCTTGTATCATAATGAGATCTACTAGCAAGTGGACTGCACATTTTTTTTTTGGGATTTTATTGTAGTTTTGAACAAATTTTGGCAGGCGCAACTTTAAAGAGGAGATAAACTTGGTGGTCCTCTATTAGCTATGCTTGTTCTTTTGTCGAAAGACTAAATGTTCAGTAAAAATGTAGATACGCAAAACTCAAGTAGCTCTTCTACGTTTAACTGAGCTTTTAAAGTAATTTTTTTCTCATAAAATCGTTATTCCAGTAAAATCATCTTGCGTCACTTGCCAATTAGAAGCTTTTGAATTTCTGCCGAAATATTTTTAGTAATTAATGCTTTTTATTAATATTTATGTTTGAATAATTGTTGATAAGCCTTCCACTAGCTTACCTTAATATTGTTTACAGGGTTATCCATTTTGCGGTTTCGAAAATAAATGAATTAAAATACATTTAAAATAATTAATTTAATGAATTCCCCTTTTTACTACAAAGTTCAAATCTTGACATTATAAGCGAAACACTAGAACTTTCAAATGACTGCCTTGGGAATTTTCGGAATATTCAATACGTTTAGGGTAATTTTCGACGACATGGACCAAAAAGTTGTTGGCTCCGGTCTCAGACATAACTTGACGAATGTTAGTTTTCACGTGCTCAAGAGTTGAAGGTTTATCTACATAAACACAGTCTTTCGCTAAGCCCCACAAAAATGAATCCAACAGATCAAATGGCATGATGCCGGTCGAGACAAAATATTACGTTGCCGGGATTTTTCTTTCGCAATAAACGATCTTGTTGAACACTCATCATGTCCAATTTGTTCTGAGTTGACATTGGCAGTCTCGCCATTATCCTTTTCAAAGGAGTTAAGTCCAGTCATACTTCTGGACCAAAGAGTGCACCTGACTATTATCTGAGTAATCTTGGAGCCTCCAAATGTAACAATATTCGTGTCTGAAAAAAATATTCACTGTCACAGCCTTTCGTTTAAGCAGCTAATCGATTTATATATGGCGTTGTGAACGATCAGGTGATGGCAGTTGTGGCAGTGTAACGGTAAAAAGTCCCAGCTCTTGAGTACGTCGGGACACCTTCGGCGATTCGGCTACGCTTTCACTTATTTTAACGATATTTGATATTGAACAAGCAAACCGATTCAGGAAAGGCGTCAATATCTGTAACAATATATACGGTTACGCGCAACAAAGTCACCTACAATATTAAAGCACAATTTTTGTCTAGCTTAACGCGTTGTGCGGTTGTTAAGCGATCTCTTCTCATGAATGCCTGACTTTTAACTAAGCCAAAATGTATTTGTATTAACAGTTAAGTTTGACAGATGTCAAAATATAGCCTTGTTTGAAACCACGAAACCTCCATACATACATATATATACATATAATATATTCTGTCAGCTAAAAAATACGACTTAAGTGACGACGATCTAGAATTCGAAGCTCTACCCTTACAATCAGCGGAATTCATAGATGATGATAATGATGGAGAGTGCGTCAATATGGACATTATTTCAATAACGGAGTTACGCACCAATTTCGAAGAAGTTTGGATTTTTGGCAAAAATTCTTGGTAGTTCAAAAACATTGCCCACATTTAAGTAGTGATTTCCTTAGCTTATTCTCCAGCGTATTGGGATTGTTTAGATAGTTGAAAGTAGTTTTTGTAGAAGACTTTTTTAAAATGCATGTTGTAGCGGTATGTCAGTATGTAGTGTGTATATTAGTTCTAACAATTATTTGCTGCCTGCTTTTGGACTTTATAAAATCTATAAAACAACATTTTAATTTTCTTAAATCTTACTACCAACTAAGATTGTAGATTTTGTAAAACTCAAAGTATTCTTACTCTAAACTAGAAATTAGACGGTGTTTTTAAGATATATGGTTTCCGAGGTGAAACAAAACGTCTACTTTTCTTACTTATAAAGAAAAAATTAAAGGGTTGGTTATTATGTTTTAAAAACAGTTTCGAGCAAGTGAGCGCTGCGGCTGGCACGACTAAATATACAAGCAATAGAGCGCCGAATATTCTCTTCCACGGCGACAGTCGTATTTGGCTCATCTGCTTAGACAATCGACTTTACATAACCTCACGGTGTAATACTGTCGTGGAGACCACGCCACCGGCCCACGCGTGAGATCATGCGTTCAGCAAAAGTTGCCTTCAATAAATTAATTGGATCGTTGAATCTATGGCATATGGCGCCATGTTGTTAGAACCAAAAGACGTCCATGTAAACACGCTACAATTCAGGCATGAAAAAGTCATTCATCATGGCACTATAGCGCGCTTCATTGATTGTGGCGTTATGGCCAGTTTCATTTTTGAAGTAATGTTCACCAAGGAATCCTTCTGCCTATGGAGCACACCAAGCCGTGACGATTTTAGAATACTACGGCATCTCAATAATAGTTTGTGGATTATCATCATTACAAGTTTGTGCATTAACGTACCCATATTCAATCAAAAGTAAGCTGTCATATGTATTATACGTTGTAATTCGTATAGTCGTGACGCCTGAAAAATGTTTGATTTCTAAATTATAATTTTCGAAACTAATAAAATCTTTTAGTAGTGACAGAATACTTAAAGCCTTGTTCTCAACTCTCGCTCCCTCTCATTCCCACCCTCGCTGATTATCTATTTCGTTTGAATTGGTTTTTAAAGAAGCAGAACTAATTTATTGGACTATATCGCCGATACCCGAAGAAGAGTTGCTCTTTCACGATCTTGATCTAATTGCTGCAGCTGCGCACTTGAGAGAGGAAACCATAGATGAAATTGAATATTTTGCCAAATATTTACATGCGAGGCCAACTAAACCCCCGATACGTACATACACTGAGCACTCGTGGACATGTTCAAATGTTGAAAGTACAATTTTTCTCAAGTAATTCTTTTATAAGAAGTAGAAATAACAAAGAATGTTTGCTGCTTAGCGCGCTCGTCTATTTTGCAGTTTTTCATAACTTTTTATGCTCTACCATCGTTCTCTGCTTTAAATATTCTATCTACGTATGTTCCAGGAGTTCATATTTTATTGCAAAATTTTAGGTTTCCTTTATCTTTGCTATTCTGCTCTCACGCAATCGCAGTTGCCATACTATCTCGCTTTGTCATTATCATACATCGTATATTTATACTTTCTTCGACTTTCACAGGCAGCAGTGTTATGTTTTATCCGAGAAGTGGTGTATTCTACACCTTAAAAAGACCTACATATACAAAGAGATTAATGGCTCCGATTGAGATTTTTCGCCAAGAATCTATCGGCCAACCAATAATGCCACCAACCGTACGCATAAGCTTTATCGAATGTTGGATATTCGAAAACCATGAGTAATAATCTTTCCCTGAGCAACGGTGTTTTATTTGTTCGTAATTCGTCTATGCTTTTTATCGCACGTTATATATACATATGTACATATGTATGTATGTGTATTCATAACCACATTTCATTAAACAAAAAAAATTTATATCATAAAATTTATTTTAGTTACTAAGAGCACATTTTTAGAGTAAATTTCCTTTAGAATAGAAAGGAAAAATGTATGTATGTATGTATATGCGCAACAAGAAATTGAATTAAAGTATAGAGAAAAAATTCTGCAAGTTATTGGCGTGGCAAAACGGAGAAATTAATAAATTTAATTAATTTTCGCTTTTCGGAAACATTTCAAAGGTCCTTTTAAACAAATGAACAGGGGTTAGTCTGGCGAGATTGTGAGATAGCATTTTCCTCCAGTTTCCTCTTTGAGCTCTTGATGATGAGATTTTGGATCAGCCATAAGCCCTCTAATAGTAGGTCCATTAATTTTTATTTGAGGCGATTTTCACCACCTAATGGATTGATTTGTACGGCCGTAACTGTCCCATAGACCTAAAAAGCAAGAGAATTTTTTAAACCCACGTTGTTGTTTAAGCAAAAGGCTCAAGATCAAGATTTCCAATGAACCTCGTTTTTATAAATATCGCTGAGGTGTACAAAGTGATCGACAGAATGAAAGGTCGTGTTGAGTTACATGAGAAGTGAAATGTGTCAGACTTTCAATAAGTGTATAATGAACCAATGCTAAGTGAAATACTTCTCAACTTGTCTAAGCCAGGAGGAAGACAATCCAAGGCAAGAAGTTAGTTACTGCACCCGAGCCTTGATCCAAATAACTCCGAAGCTTACTGTGCATACAAAACTTGATTTGTCATCGAATTCAGGCAGAGCAGTTTATTTGCCAGAACATGAACCATCTTCCAAGATAGCAGGTGTAACTTGCAGGTTCTTCGGTTCCATGAGGACTAGCTGCATCAGATTGGGTTACTGAATTGACTATTTAATGACCCACGAGGGTGAGTCTTTGTATTTGAGGGCTGAGGATCGAACTTCGGCTGGAAATGTCCATGAAAATCAAATCTTCTCATAAAAATCATTCGACCGTTCGGAGATGGCTTAAAAAAAACTGCAAGCTCCTCAATTTATTGAAAAAACATCAATATGCCTATCGCAAATTGAGGAAGGAGCTCGCCCGAAAGCCGTTTCAGCGGTTACAATTTCCGTATTTTATTTTCGATACAAACATTTTGAAAATCCTGCACGATCCTTTTGTGGCAAGACTAATGTTTACGCCTTTGGCTGTTCTCCACATTCGATGGATACTGTCTTGCAGGTGAATACAGTGAAAAGTATTTTTTGTTATTTCCACTCTTTTCCCCCCATTCTGCGAACCTAAAACGATTTCTAACACCATATGGGTTTTTTCAATTCCTCAAACTCTTCTGTCACGCCAGTAGCATCGAGAAGAAATTACTTAGAAATTTATTTGATTTCGGTCAGCATGGAATCAGGCAATACTGACTACGCGAAAAATTAGAATAAGTGAAAGTAAAATGTATTTAATAGTTTCAAGCGCATGTGTTAAATATTAAAAATTAAAAAAAAAAACTATATTGATATCAATGGTATTTTTTTCTATTTATGTATTCATTAATATTATTATTTATATTACAATATTATAATTTTAATTTGACCGCATTGCCTATATTTAATGCCGCTCAAATAGGTCATAGAAAGAAACGACCGTCAGCGAGCGGTTCCAGTGGTGGCAGAGTACCTATAAGTGGTGCCTCTGGTCAGCGCCGCGAAACTACAACCGAAATGTGGCTGTCAACAAGCACCGCCACCGCAGGTCCAACAATGAACAATGATCTGGGTTTTGATAATGAGATTACAGCAAAATTACGTGCGCGTCAAAATTTTTATGAAATTTGGCTTTTCGCGAAAACTGACTTGGAAAAATCGTATGAAACAATTATTTCCCCAAATTTTGTTGTAAATAACTTTCGTACGCTAATCTTTTCGTTTTTAGTTTTTTATCCGAAATAATAAATTTTGTTTACTGTTATATGTTTTGAGCCACCATTTTTAGTCGTTTCTTTCATTTAATTTTTTATTTCTGTTATATTTATTTATTATCTTGACTATTTTTGCTTTAATTTTATCGTACATTACTTCATATTTCAATATTTCACTCCGCTCTAAAATTTGTTTAAAATAATTTTCAGCACTGCCTGAGCTTAGCTTTACAATACCGCCTATGCCTTTGGGTGGTTTTGATCTCGTTTACACTACAACTGAGCCAGTTCACGCACCAAATGCAATTAACGGGGTTATAAGGCCAAGAACTCGTAAAGATTTTTCAGAAACATGGATGCTTGATAACAATGCAATGTAGGCTTTTTTAAAATAATTTTTCATTGTTACCATAGTAATGGCTTTTGGGTGGCATCCACTGTGCACCTTCTCATCATTTGGGTGTAAGGTATTTCCCCACATCTCTTGAAAGACTCTCGCACCTAAAATACTAAGCCAATCCAAACAAATTCTTCATTTAAAGTACTGCTTCTTGCAAGAGGGGGTTCATGATAAAGTCCAAAAGTTATAAACTTACTAAGGTCTAGTAAAATGTAATTCAATATTTTTGCTCTAGATAGGTTTACTGATCTCACGTTCTATAAGTGCGATTGGATTACGCTAGATGATATTAGAAAGGCGATAATTCATACTAAAGAAGATAATGGGAGAAGTCTTGATCACTAAATTCAGTAGTGTTCGATCGCATGTCGCAGAAGGACACTAGTAAAGTGCGAATATGCTATATTCTAAAATTCTTCGAAAAAAGTAGCAAGGAGAAAGCATGGATTTTCGAAAATAATGAAATATATGATATGTCTATATTAAGAAACCGAAAGCGGAAAAGCACAGTAGGAAACAATTATATTACGCGACGCGTATCGTCTTTTTGTAATTTATATTTCAAAAGCTTCTCTTTTATTTTCTGATGTAATCCATTTCTTGTATAAATCTTTCAGTTATTCATTATCATGTTGTTAGACCACTAGCTTTAGGCGGCGCAAGGCCACAAGCAGCTTTTGGTGGTTCCTTAACTATAATACCGCCAGTCTTCCATTTGACAACTGTATCAAATAAAATAAAAGATGATTTACAGCAGAATGTTCGTAAGGATTTTGCGGAAAGCTGGATTTTTGAAAATAGTGAATTGTAGGTCTCTAACTATTTCTAAAATATTTCAACTAAAAACAAACTTCCCTTCGTTCTTTACATTAGCAAATCACAAATGGGCATACTTTGGTGAATGGGCAGACTAAGTTTATTAAAAATGTTTAAAAAGTGTCAGACACAATACATTTTTCTTCTTTCTTCCAAACCTATAATCTCTTTCACTCAAACTATACCTTTTTATAATATTGTATCATATTTAATACTCTACGACGGAATTTCAAAAAAAATTTTGCTCAATTTAGTTTTTTGTTATAATTTTCAGATTTACATATCTTTTTATTTAATACTTTTTTGAAATTATCTGTTTTTAAATTTTTTAATTAAGTTTTAAATTTTACCTTTACTTTTTAAATCTTTTTTACAAATCTAAATACTTAGTATTTTCTCATATTTTTTTTCTTATTTAGAAATGTCGTAGCATTTTTTTTTTTTTGTTTTGACTTAGACCGATATCCGAGGGTTTGTGAATGTTTCATATAGTAAATATCTGGAAATTTGCGGAAACATCGCAGCAAGTTCATCCTTAGTCAATCTGCGATCGTCACGGAGATTTTGGACTTTTTTAGACATACGTAAGTCACAATTGAAGGTGCTCGGCGCCGCAGCGTCTTTTCAGATGATTTTCAATCAGGGTTAATGTCGGCCAGTTGTTCAAGCTCTTCATACTTTATCTCTCTCTTGCAGCGAACCTTTGTTGAATGTGTTAAACAATTAATTAATTTGGATTCCTGATATCCCTTTGTAATCTTCTATATGTAAATATAGCTTAAGGTGTTCATATCTCGTGGTTAAAGAAAATATCTCTCGTATATATCGTTGCACAGTAAAATTGTAAGACCAAACGAAGATGGAAATATTATAGTAGAGTACAAATTAAGAAGAGAGGTTTAGGTAACACCGAGTCTTTCGAAATTTTGGAAACAAAACAGACCTGCAGTGCTGTTACTGCTTTTCTATTGACGTTCCATACACATTTAATATGGGGTATACACACATGTAAATTCATAAGCACAAAAAAAAAACATTTAAAATAATTTATTTCATGAAATCTTTATTATATTTGAAATACATCTTTCAAATGGCCGTCTCGGGTTTTGGCAAACTTCCATTCGCTTGAGGCGGTTTCCGACTACATTTTGGTCCGTATTGGGACAGATCTCAGACATAACTTTGCGAATGTTGGTTTTCAAGTGCTCTATAGTTGAAGGTTTATCCACATAAACACAGTCTCTCAAAAAGCGCTCCGTAAAAATTGTAAAGTGTCGAATCACACGATCTTCGCGACCAATTATCATCGCCAAGGAAAGAGATTACACTGCTGGGCAAATTTTAACGCCATAAATACATATTTGCTCATGTTGTGTGATATGTGACACAAAGTTGTTGAAATCACAAATTGTCTGTGGGGTGTTCCTTAATTGCAGGCCAAAAAAATCGGATTTCACACGACCAAAATGTACCGAATTGACAGTGATGGCGACGTCGCTGTCGATTTTAAAAAAGTAAGGTCCAATCGCACCTCTGAACCAAAGAGCGCATCAGACTGTAAGCTTATTTTTGAGTGTAATGGTTCTTCTTTGATTATCTGAGCATCATCGGGCACCAAATGTGACAATTTTGCTTATTCATGTATCCCCGGAGTGAGAAATGTGTCTCGTCGCTGAAAAAACTTTTGTTCGAAAATCACTGTCCGTTGTTTGTTGTTCTAGCTCTCAGTCGACGTATGTACGGCGTTGTTTTTAACTCAACCAATTTTTTGACCAGTTGGACTATTACGAGCACCATAATCTCCTCTTAAAGCACGAAAGGTAGCCTCGTTTGAGTCAACGTTTTTGTGGTATGTCCGAACAATTTTAACGCGATGTGCGGTTTTTAATCGATCAACATTCGTGAACAACTGACGTTTAATTAAAACAAAAAAGGTTTAGTTTGACAGTTAAGCCTGACAGATGTCAAAACGCAGCACTGTGCTCTTGAAACTACGAAATGGCTAACTCATTTCTACTATCTTTTTTGCCCTGGAAATATTTTGTCAACTAACACATTTGCACTTATTTTTATATACAGACATATATACATATCTACATACATATTGAAGCTCTTAGTTCAGTTCTTCTTTAGTGTTTTCTGTAAATAAATTAATTTAAATATATTTTATTATTTTCACTACTAACATTTTTGAAATCATCGTAATCACACCTTACACACATAAATCACACCAACAATGCAACAATTCTAAAATGCATGAATGTGTCTCGTTTCAATTTGCATGTAATGTACGTGTATGTACACTCGCTACCGCTTATTTGCTTGTTGCTTTACGCTTCTCTACTTTGCTTAGCTGGAACTGAAATTCTCAACTGACTAATATTTTTACATTCAATCTTTATTCCATCTTTACCAAAACCAGCACGGAAGGCAATAACTTCACGCTGACAAAGAAGATACCCGATACCATCACCTCTTGGGTTGTGACCGGCTTTTCATTGAATCCGAAAACCGGCATTGCGTTAACTGCAGATCCCACAAAGATACAAGTCTTCCAGCCATTCTTCGTCTCCACAAATTTGCCTTATTCCGTGAAGCGCGGTAAGTTAACACAGCAAACATTCTATTGTAAATGAACCGTATGAGTGTTTTTATTCTCTCTCTTTAAACTGTTTCCATATGTAGGAGAGGTTATTGCCGTACCTGTTATCATCTTCAATTATATGGACAAGGCGTTGGACGCCGAAGTTGTTATGGATAATACAGATAAGGAGTATGACTTCACCGAAGCCACCAATGAGATTGAGGAGAATCCTGTGGATGAAATTAAACGCGTGAAACGTGTTTCGATTCCCTCAAATACTGGTCGCAGTGTCTCCTTTATGATACGTCCCAAAAAAGTTGGACAAACCACATTGAAAATTACCGCCACAACGCCGTTGGCCGGTGATGCTATACACCAGATGCTCAAAGTTGAGCCGGAGGGTGTAACGCAGTATGAAAACCACGCTGTTTTCATAAATCTCAAAGACAAACCGGAATATAGCGAGAAATTGAGCGTTGACGTGCCAGCCGAAGCTGTACCTGATTCGGAGTATATTGAATTTTCAGTTGTCGGTGATTTGCTGGGACCCACGTTGAAGAATCTCGATAAACTGGTGCGCATGCCTTATGGTTGTGGTGAACAAAATATGGTCAATTTTGTGCCGAATATTTTAGTTCTGCGTTATTTGGAGGCCACTTCAAACGATGCACCAACTGTCGTGGAGAAAGCAAAGAAATATCTCGAAATTGGTTACCAACGTGAATTGACGTACAAACACGATGATGGTTCTTACAGTGCATTCGGCAAATCCGACAGATCGGGCAGTACTTGGCTCACTGCTTACGTGATGCGTTCTTTCCACCAAGCAGCGAAATATACCGATATTGATCCGAAAGTTATTGTCGAAGGTTTGGACTTTTTGGCATCGAAACAAGCGCCAAATGGCAGTTTCCCCGAATATGGCAAACTCTTCGACTCGGCGCATCAAAATGAAATGGGTCTGACAGCGTTCACATTGCTGGCATTCCTCGAGAACGTGGTAAGTACTACGAAATATCTCCGAAACCTGCTCTGGGTTGGCAAGAGTCACATAAAATTATATATAGTGATCAACATGAGACGTGTGGACGATACTAGAGCTTCTCGTCGGATACTTATTGTATGATTTATATTATTTTTTTACTCTCCACAGGAGCATGCAGCAAAGTACCAAGTGCAAATCGACAATGGCCTGAAATATTTGCTAGAAAATATCGATCAAACAGATGATCAGTATTCACTCTCAATAGCCGTACTAGCTCTTCAACTAGCCAAGAATCCTCAGGGAGCTGCCGACAAACTCCTAGCGAAGCTGCAAGCACTTGCTAAAGAAGAGAACAATCGCAAGTGGTGGTCCAAATCGAATGAAACAACTCAAACTGATGACATCTGGCGTTGGCGTCCACGAAGCAACGATGTAGAGATCACTTCATATATACTGCTGGCGATACTCGATAAAGAAGGTGCCGAAAATGCTTTGCCCATCATCAAGTGGCTAATCGCGCAACGAAACAGCAATGGTGGATTTTCCTCAACACAAGACACAGTGGTAGGCTTGCAAGCGCTCATAAGTTTTGCTGAGAAAACCGGTTCGGGCAGTGGTGAGATGGATATTGAATTCGTATCAAGTGGTGGCGAGGATAATAAGGGTAGCATCAAGGTGAATCCAGGAAACTCCTTGGTGTTGCAAACACATGTCGTAAGTTGCTGGCTTCATAATTGATTTGAAGTGTTTTCAAACGAAATTTGTTCTAAAACACATTTTTTTTTCCAACAACAGCTACCAAAAACAACACGCCAAGTCGATTTCACCGCCAAGGGTACCGGCTTCTCTATGGTGCAATTGTCTTATCGTTACAATTTGGCGAACAAAGATAAGAAGCCAAGTTTCCAGGTGAAAACAAACATCAAGAGTGATAAGCCCACTTTGGTTCTCGAAGTGTGCGCCGAATTTGTGCCAGTCGAAGCTGATGAGGAGAAGAAAGAATCCAATATGGCTGTGATGGAGGTAGCACTACCATCAGGATATATAGCCGACGACGATAGTTTTGGAGATATTGAAGCGGTGGACCGTGTTAAGCGCACCGAAACGAAGAATTCTGATTCGACTGTGATTGTCTACTTCGATGGCCTGGTACCCGGCGATGCCAAATGCATACCCGTTAAGGCCTCCAAAGCACATGCGGTGGCCAAGCAAAAGCCCGTGCCTGTGACTGTCTATGATTACTATGATACTAACCAACGTGCCACCGAATATTACCAAGTGCAGACGTCACTCTGTGATATTTGTGAGGGTGATGATTGCGGTGCGTCATGTCAAAAAATGAAGGAAACTCAAAACCAAGCATAATCTTCATACTCGTATTGAATTCTTATTGTAAATAATTATAGATTGGTTTGCATATTCATAGTTTGGATATTTCTATACATTTGTATGTGCTGAAAAGAGATTTTATATAAATAAATTTTGTAGGAAATTTCATCACAAAAGATGCTGTCTTTGAACTTTTTTTTGTAAAATAAACAACAACGAATTATTTAATTTTTTAACGTTTTCTTCACTTTTTTGCTATTCGGCATCAGTTGGGAACTCCAACTGAAGTCAGATCCTCATTCATCTACTCTTTTAAACGGTGTGGAGATCTGCCTCTTGGAATCTCTCGATTCACTGAACTATGGCCATGACGCCGTATTTTCGTTCGCTGATTGTTCCATGGTCTGAAATATCAACAGTTGCCAATGTTCGAAGGAATATAAACCTTTCGCAAAGTCTTCCACTGAAAACTCCCATTAGCCAAATCGTCAGATCTGGACATTATCTATGCCTCCGCCCATAACAGGACGAGAACGATGAGCGACTTGAGAGTTTGGTTCTTGTTCGTTGAGAGTGATCTTTACTTCTCAACTGTCTACTCAGGCCGAAGTAGCAAATGTTGGAAAAAGTGTTTATGCATTGGGTTACAGAAGACAGTACCTTCTCTATTCACTTTTTGTGAGTTGGGCAAATTACACTTAGTTTCTAATCCTCGCCTCCTTTGACCTCCACGCTTTGTTGGTTCTTGGTCGGGCAGTAAAACTTCTGTTTTATCCTTATCGTTCGGGTTTGTCATCAACTGGTGTTCCATTTTCATTGCTGTTGAGCAGGTTCCATAAATTCCTTACAATATGGGCTTATAAGAGCTTCCTCCTGCCTTGAGTCTCTCTATTAATTTGGCTTGTGATCAGTGAGCAGGCTTGCAAGTCAAGTAGAGAACCGTTCGTCTGTGTAGAGTGATTGAAGCTTTTCGACGTGGATCCTGCTGCCCTTATTGATGGGCGTTCTTTGCGACTCAAAGGCGAATGCAAATCTTTGTAGCTACAGGATAGTAAACAGAGTGGATATTTGATACTCTCGTAATGCATAACATGAGTGCAATACAGTACTACATACGACAGTATCTTGGAAATTGGTGAAGTCAATCGGCCTTCAACCATTCGGGAAGTTTCGTCGTGGAGCTTGAGTTTCATTAAAGGCATACTTAGCTACAACGTCCTCTCTTCCGTCGGTACGTAGTCGAAGTAAAATTAAATTATATTTCAATAGTTTTTGCTTTCGAAAACAGAGGTTCGCAGTTCAACTTTTAAAGAAATCAGCAAGGATCACCTGAGCTTATCTCAGGTTGAGCTGTGATGCTGCTACATTATTATACCCTGTATTTCTGGTGCGCCAAGCAATTTCCAATTCGGTTAAGATCGGGAGAATTGTCGTGCCAAGGTAAGACCAGTAAATTTAATAAGATAGGAGCAAATCTACTGTCTCTCTCTCTGTCTTAGAATACTCCCGACTATCCAAATACAGACAGTCTCAGTTTCCAAGACGCGTAACTTTCGGTACTGCTTCTAGATGGCGTGTAAATTCGAGACGGTAAGATTTTGAGGTCAGCTAAAAACCATATTAATTAGAATTTTACTTGTAGAGGATGACGGTGATATCAGTCCTGATTTTTACGCCAACACCAACCACCTATCAAAGAACGCACGACCACAAGGGACACAAGGGTCGAAGACCGTAAATTGTGAGCTGTTTGTATCTACACAGGGGGATGGCAGCCAAAAACTTTCCTCACTCTCATGTCGCAAGTAAAATTCTGTATTCTATTTTCGATTGGCGAAAGCCAGCAAAGATTGAAACTAATTTGGCGCTCATGAAATGGACAGTCAAGCACATCTTCTTCCCTTACGTAAACATAAATTAACTCACTTTCTCATTGAGAGGTTTTTTTTTGTAATTTTTTAAGTAACCACCAGACCGATTAGATTATGCACATATCAAGTAGCGCGCTGGTAATACCAATTTATTGCTCACTCAAAAAGTAATTAAAGACACTATGTTTAAATTTTCAGACGTGTTCCTGCCATATCAAAGCCAAATAAAAATACTTTCTGCGTTAGATAGTTGAAATCTTTTATTGCCCATTAAACAAATGTTGATAAGTTCGATCAACCGAAAGCGGTGGGTAATTTCTTAAGCGCACAGCTGCCTAAAGTGCAATTAGTTTAGTCTAAGCGGCAAAGCGGTTAGTCGAAATGAAGAATTTGCTTTGGGTTTTAGCCAGCCTAGCCGTCCTGCTGGCTATTGGGTGTGCAGAAAAGGTTCGTTACGACAACTTCAAAGTATTCAAAATTAAAACGAAAAACGTAGAACAACGAAAATGGCTAGAACAATTAGCGAGTGATTCCGAAAATGTGAGTTGATTTAGAAAAAGTTTGTTAGAAAATATCAAAATAATTTCTAAACTTTATAGTTTAATTTATGGCACAGCGGCAAAGAAGAAGTGCACATCATGGTCAATCCGCAAAAGCTAATAAATCTACAAAACTACACACGTTCCTACAGTTTGCCTATGGAGGTAATGGTTTCCAATGTTCAAAGGTAAGGCGTAGGCGATTAATGAAGTTCATACATTATAATTAAATTTGAATCGCTCCCTGTTTAAAAAAACAAGCCTTATTGATGGCGAGCAAAGTACGCGCTCAACTGACGATGACAGCTCTTTTGGTTGGACTCGCTATTATCCACTCTCCGCAATCGAGGCTTTCTTAGACGATATACATGCCAAATATCCCAGCGTTACTAGTGCCATAGATATTGGCACATCTTACGAAGGACGCAAGATTCGTGGCATTAAAATCTCCTACAAAGAAGGCAATCCCGGCATTTTCATTGAGTCCAACATACACGCACGCGAATGGATTACCTCGGCTACGGCGACTTGGTTAATCAATGAGCTGCTCACTTCTACGGATGAGAAAGTACGAAATTTGGCTGAGAACCATGATTGGTATATAGTGCCGGTCTTAAATGTGGACGGTTTTGCCTACACGCACACAACGGATCGCATGTGGCGCAAGACACGTCAGCCCGTAAATTTCTCATCCTGCATTGGTGCCGATCCGAATCGCAATTATGATTCGCACTGGATGGAAAATAATGGCGCCTCCGCTAATCCTTGCAGTGAGACATATGCTGGCACGAGCCCTTTCTCCGAACCCGAGATTAAAGCACTCGCCGATTATGTCGCCAGCATTAAGGATCGTCTAAATATTATGCTCGCTTTTCATTCGTACAGTCAGGTGTTGCTTTCCCCTTATGGTTGGACTGCAGATCTGCCAAGTAACTTCGACGATTTAATGGCTGTCGCTAAGGCCTATGCAGATGCTGTTGAAAGTTTGCCCTATGGGACGGTATACACTTATGGCACTTCATCCGGTGCAATGTGTAAGTAATTATGATGAGTATCGCTCCAAGCAATTACAAATTATTCAATATATCTTTAAAGATTTCGCTTCCGGCGCCACTAACGATTGGGCTTATAGCGAGCAGGATATTCTACTGTCCTTTACAATCGAGTTCCGTGACACAGGTCGTTATGGCTTCATCTTGCCTCCCATACAGATATTGCCGCACTGCGAAGAGACCATGGCCGGTTTGTTGGCTTTTGTGGAAAAGGCTGATGAATTGGGGTATTTGAATGTAAAATACACATTTTAAATGTATATTGGTCCTTGAATAAAATATTAACTTAAAGTTGTTCAGCCCCGTATTTTATTGATTTAATGAAATTTCCATTTGGTTCGTTGTTAACAGATTTTCAGTGGTTTTGTAAGGTAAGATAGTTACATAGATGATTAAAGTAAGGCGAAAAAACTCTTATCCTGTCGATATACTTTAAACTTTGTAGACTTAAGCTTTGTAGACAAATATCAAATAGACAGTGGAGCAAGAGGTGCAACAAAATAAATTCACTTCCCCAAGTTCACCGCACTACCCACTAGCCAAACTTGATCTCGGCTGAAAGAGCCATTCCATACTGCGCTGACCTGCCTGTGGCAAATTCTCCAAACTGATCATTAAATACCGGATTCTAGTGGAGAATTTGTCAAAAATTAGCGCGATACATCAAAAAAGGAAATTCTTCAATTCTCTAGGTAATACGAAAATATGAGGTGAGAAGGTAAGACCGATAACCAAAGATGTTCTAGTGCGCGGTATCGAATGTTTGTTATGGAGAACTATCCAATAGAATCTTCTAAAGATATGATTCAGTCAGTTGGGGAGCAATCAAAATCATCGCCAGAAAGCGGATACTGCTAATCAGTGCGCGCTAGATATTGGTTTGGTTGAAGTTGATTTCCGTCCACGTTTCTTCATGTGAGGGGATATATTGTAGATGCCTGCATAGCAGCACTCTTTACAGTTTTTTCTTGCAAAAACAAAAAGCAATGTTTTCAGTTAAAGTTAGCACGTCCCTTTGCATTGGCTTTCTTCCAAAATTCGGTAGCTTCTTTAGAGTACCAGCTGGCAGTTGACCGACTGCTTTCAAAAATGATAGCCAGCTCTTCAAAGATATTCTAGACTAAGAAGGTTCTCGATTGGTAAGCACAACTTTCTCACGCCCATCGCCTCTTCTAAGCGCACCGATTAACATTAGCCTCACACTCAGCTTCTAACTTGTCCGTAGATCCAATTAGCAAATATCATTGGATAAGGTTCACTTAGAATGCCTTGTGACGTCTACATCAGTGGCCACATGATGTTTGTGAGAAATTCATGAAATTGAAACTCTAGTCGATGTCGAAATATTTTAATGACACATCGCTCAGCTGGAGTTGACCTCATCTAAAGTTTTGAAATTTTTGTGAAAATCAGGCAGTGTAAATATTTATATTATTTTTAAAAAAGAGGTTCATCCAATTTTTGGATTTTTTATCATTTTATCTGAAAATTTATTAGGAAATCCCGAACGATAATTAGTTATTATTCCTCGAAAGATCCCTATAAGCTTAGTGTTGGCTCTCAGCAATTGTGAAAATGACTAAATTAATTTTCTAAGTATATTAAAAGTCAGTTTCGCACTTTCTGTTCATATATTTAAAAATTTGTAGCGATAATTATAATTATTATAAAATATTTGATTCTAAAAAAATCAATCAAAATTATTGTCTTTCTTAGTTTCCTGTAGCAAGGGAAAATATTGCTGAAATTATGAAGGACCTCTTAACCTTTTAGATTTCAGTTAATTTAACACAGTATTTCTACGTATTTCATGGTCGATGTTCCTAATAAAAAATTTACTTTCATGATAGCATATTTATAAGAAATTCGCAAAGAAAAAATGAGCACATTCCAATTAATTCTGTATGTATGGAATGAAATTACGTATATATATTTATTTGTAAACATCATTTTACAGATATGTATTTGTAAGTATGAAAATTGAATTTTGATCGAATTCATGAAGAGAATCTTGAGCGAGTCATTTTAGTACACGATCACTAATCGAGCAGAATGTACAAGCTAGCGGAGCGGTTGCCACTCCTGCGGCATAAGCACAGGCTGAAGGATATCATACCGTTACCGCACCGGGCAATATAAGACCCAATTCAAAATATAGTGTATATGTGAGTGTATCAGATATATCTCCCTTCCAGAACATAAATAAAAATAAAAATATATAATTCAGTACAAAATGTAACATTTGAAATAAGAGATATTACCAAGGTTACATATTCACTACAAGTTCAAGGATTGTCTGGTATAGTTTTTGTCGACAATCCACCAGCAGTCTATACATATACTGATAAAGCCATCTACAGACACGGGCATACCATACAATTTCAAACCAATATCTGTTCTCAAAAAGGTATGTATTTATAACTGTATAAACTTATATACGTATTATACACACTTTACGTAGCTATATATATATATATACATTTTTTTTATTATTTTTTTTAATAATTATTTCTATTTTTATTAAGAAATCCAATTATTCTATTTATTTATGTTTTTTACTTTTTTTTAATATTTTTTCCAACACATCAATATATATATTTTGTATATTTTATTTCAATTTATTTCATTTGGCTTTTTATTGTATTATATATTTTTTTACTTTAGCTTACTATATTTAGGTTAATTTATTTTACTTATTTTACTTAATAATATTTTGTTTTGCATTTTATTTCATTTAACTTTATTTTGTTTTGTTTTACTTTAATTTATTTTATATTATTTTATTTTACTCTTGTTTATTTTATTTATTTTTATAATATCATACCTTGTTTACATCAATTTAAATTAAATTTATTTTTTATAATTATATTTTTTTATTTTGTTTAATTTTCAATTTTTACTTTATATAATTTCAATTTTAGTTTTGATTTTATTTTATTTTAATTTATATTATTTTAAAAAGCAATAATTTTTTCTTTTGTGCAATTTTCGTGTTTAACATTATTTTTGAGTGATTTTTAATTATATGTTTGCAAAATATGTAAGTAGTGTTAGCATTACGTACTGCCATTCGGAAGGCCCGGGTTCAAATCCTGCTATGACCATCATCCAAAAGTTATAGAAAATTAATTGAAATAATGAATTAAATAAAATTTTCTTATTGCAGTCGCCCCTCGGCAAGGAATGTCAACCACACAGAATGTATTTCTGACATGAAATCAAGGTTCCTCATAGAAAATCTCTGCACTGCACTGCACGTCACGCCATTTCTTGGAAAAGCATCAAGATGCAAAACCACAAATTGGAAGAGGAATTCGGCCGAAAATCGCTTCACCGGTTAGAAAGCGTCAATTGTATGTACATATGTACATATATAAATGATAAGTTTTCTTTTCAATAATTTAAGTTCTTTTAAATTTTGGGCAAATTTCCCAAATTTTCATTTGCATGCCTACTGTTTTAATAGACATATATGTATGTATATACATTTTGTACATTTACTTTTTGTTGCTTTAAAAGCTTTGCTTTTGCTTAGTTTTGTTGTTTACTTTATGTGTTGTTATTATAATATTTTGCCACAGCTGTTTGTGTACTGCGTTTTAAGTGTCAGGACACAGTGTATTCAAAACTGCTCTCTTCAGTGTCTTTTAAACTGTTTTATAATAAATTCTGTTCTGTTGTTTGTCAAACTGTTGACAATGGGCACAAGAAACTTACAATAATTATATATATCGACAAATTCAGAATATTAGAATAAAAAAGGAAAATAGTGGTCAAAAATGTCTGGAAATTTAAAAGAATTTTAGAAAAAAGGCCAAAAAATTGAAAAAAAAAACAAAAAATGACTAAATTAAATGAAAAAATTAGAAAAAAGTGAGAAAATTTTCAAGTTTAACTAGTGAAAGAGGTCTAAAATATAAAAAACTGAACGAAATTCAAAAACTAATAAATGGTAAAAAAAACAAAAGAGTGCAATAGCGAATAAAATTTAAAACTAAAAGAACGATAAAAATTCAAATAAAATTAATTAATTGATAATATTAGTATGAAGAAGCGCAATAAGACAAAATATAGCAAAAACCTGAACTGGAATTATGGGATATAGCAAGAAAAGACCCAAAAATTTGAAGGCCTAAATAGGAAATAATTTGAAAAAAAGGGCGGAAAAATGCTGAAGGGAAAAAGTGAGAAGACTAGAGTACAATGGTGCTTAAGCGAAGTGAACACGTGGGCGTGCGGTCGTTAAAGCAGCCAAGAAGAAGCAGCGCCCCACTTTATAGTGTATTGTGCAAGCGTATGCAACAGGCAAGCGCCGTCACCAAATGCCAAGAGGCACGGTGCTTAGTGAAATAAGTGGCCCGGGATGGCGCTGGCATGGGTAGTGCCACAAGATAGAGCGTAACCTCGAAGGTTAATTTTAGCAGTGTCGGCCGTGGGTCAAAAGTCGAGGAGCAAGTGCTAAACGCCGGCATTATGTGCCACACAATCAGGCGTCAGTGCGACTTTAGACTGTTTTTTGCTATTTTCAATTATAAGGTACGGCGCAGGCCATCAAAACTCCAACACTTGCAGCAAGGCCACCAGCAAAGGCCTACGCTGTGCAAAAAAAAAAGCCTCCAAATAACGCTCATTAAGCAGTGAGGTCAAACAAAGGGTGAGTTTTTAGATTTCAATTCTTTATTTTTTAATTTTATACACAACTTTGCAAAACGGGGTTAACTATTTCATCACTAATACCGTTCGATTTCGCCGCATTACCACTACATCCACAAAACTATATTTTTCGTTTCTGCACGACAGTTTCTGTAGTAAAAGGAGTAAAATACATATATCAATTTTGAGTTTTTATGTTAGTAGTGTGTTAGAAAGAGATATGAGATGAGATTAGTTCAAATATGGCTTTCGAAAATTGTACGCCATTTACTTTTTCAACTCTCAGAAGCTAAGAGTTGATTTAACCTTTTACAGTATTTCTAATAAAAAATATAATTCTTTTTTACAGGTAGATTGAATTAATTCCGACCCAGTAGTAGAGTTCAAAGAGAGAAAAGTCATGAATTAAGGTAAGCTAACAACATATGTATAATGTTAAGCTATGCATGCATTCTACATACATATGTATGTTATGGCAGTTTCATTTTTTGTTTAACTTAAGTATAACAGTGTAGTTGTTTATTCCAGGTTCCAGGCCACCTTTTGACAACAACAAAGGACTTGATATTGCCAACTATCACCGCTTTTTTAAATGGTAGATCACAAGCAACAACAATTTCTTCCTTTTGAATAAGAGTTATTTAAAGCAACTACTGACCACATAAACAACGTGAGCTCTCTGCAGAAACCATAAAAAATTAACAAAGGGAAAAAATTTTAATTTTTAATTTGCTAGGGATTGAAACAACGGCCAAAGATATGTAAAACAGATTGCAATGTACAAATAGTATTTAAAAAAAATTTTCATGTAATTATTTAAAAAAAGAGAGCTATAATTTTTCAAGATGTATTGCATTCAATCAAATATGTAAATATCCATTATTTATGATTTTATATAAAAAAATAAGGACTTTCAAATTACTATTTGTCATTTAAAAGAAAACAAAAAAGGTAAAAAATCAACATCTCAAGGTTTACAAATCGAGAAAAATGACATTTGTTTTCAATAACCCATGGTTAACATTTCAGGTAACAAATACATTTGCTTTTAATAACTCAAGGGTAACTAATAGCGTACCAAATACATATGTTTTTCAACAATCTGTTGCTAACATTTCGTAACATTACAAAATATATAAAAATTGAAACAGACGAATAAATATCGCAGAATAAAAGTGATAAACAGAAAAACAAATATAACAACAAATATATAACCAGTTAGACGAATGCTATCAATCTCACCGGGATTGTATTTAAATGTCATGATCTATTTCCTCTGAATTCCTTGATTCCATATTTTATTAGAATTTACATTTTTTGTTCTTCGAGTACATATGTAAGTATAGAGATTAGTAACGAACTTTTTTTTTTTGATAAGCTTTGCATTTTTCCCAATAAATTATACAATTTATGTATGTATTGTATATAATACAAGTATGTATGTATATAAAAGCATATACTCGAACATATGCTCACCCTGGAGGAAAAATCATCATAAAGCACTCAATTTAAGTGGTTGCTCCAAAGTGTGATTTCGTATTTCCCTTCGACTAGAACCAGATCTGATTTGTTAGTGTCCAACTTAAGTACAATGAAATCAGTCAAATTATTTCTTTTATCGAGTTTCAAATACTTGCCAAATACTTTTAAGGCAATGTCGACCATGTGACCAATGGAAGCATGATGAAGATTTCAAGGCATAAAAACTTAGCTCACTTCGTGGTATGCCTCAGAGCATATACCCATTATACTTTGATTTGCTTGCTCGGCAGCATAGCAAAAAGTGTTTCTAGTTCCCTAGGACAGAGTTCACTTTTCGATTCTAACCAGTTCATTAAGGCTTGTTTAAAAACGTGTATGCGCGTAAAGCCGCGTTAATGGCAGCGTGCTAATTGGAAATTCCAAATATCACCAGACTCTTCTCCACTTCGACGAGTGAGGATCTCCCTCTGATTCCCCCGGTGGTTATTGCATCGAAAACTTTCAAAGCTGGGGTATTTTTATCCAGCTGGATCATCTGATCTAGCCAGCATATTTGCTGTTTCTTGATTCGCTGAGCTATATATGTCAATGCCACCTAATATATGGTACCGTTCATCGTTCCATAGGCTGCTCTTTTCGTCGTTCCCAACCCGCAGAAGATCATAAATCTTACGGATACCCTTTCTTTCGAAGACTCTAAACGCCGACTCAGCAGATGTTGTTAGGGTCAATGTCTTCGCATCGTATAGCACGACGGGAATGATGAATGGCTTATTTGTTTGACGCCAGAAGATTTTTCGTTTTTCCTTCGTTCACTACCAAACGCATAAGCTTCGTTACCTAATCCAGCCTGGAAAGGTCAGTACTCACGGCGCAGTTGTTGAAGTCAATATGATCGCTGTGCGCTAGCAGTTGTACAAACCTATAGAAGATTATAACTTCTCTATTTAGCTCTGTAGCTCAAATAATTTGTTCCAGCAATCAGTTAAAAAAGTCGCACGATAAGCAATCACCTTGTCTGCGAGGATACGAAGTTCGAACTTAGCGAGATTGAAGCAGCTAATTTTCTTTTTTGCTTCCAAAGACTGTTTTGAAATCGACGAGGAGGTGGTTATCCTCTTTTCAGGGATCGTTTCCAAATTTTGACTCTGAACCGAAGATGGTCTTTATTGCCCACGTAAACTTATCTTGAGCCGCTATACAAACGATACCAATCACTCGCTCTGCATCAGCCGTACTCAACATTATTATGTGGGTTTTTCTGCGAGTGTATATAAATATATGGAATAATAGAAACCACTTTCCAGCAGAGCTTACGAAATATGTATTTCAATATATATGTAAGTACATATGTTCTATTATGATTGCATTAATCTATATATACAAAACACATACACATATATTTACGTGGATTTCTTAATCTCTATATGCATAATTTTTACTTAATAAATTCGCATCACAGGTTGCATTCTAATTAGTTTGCAATTACCTACCGCACAGCATGTTCCAGCTTTCGGTGCTCTTGCCTTTAGTGGGCTTAGTGATTTTTACGGCCTCACCGGCACAGGCTCAAGGATTTTATACAATAACAGCACCCGAATACATAAAACCTAACTCCGAGTATAGGGTGCATGTGGGTGTAGCAAATGTGTATCAAAACTCAAAAATAAAGCTCACTCTGAAAGGACCACTATTTAATAAATTCACTGAGCTTACGATTCCGCCGAATTCCGATAAAACTGCCACCTTTCAATTAGGGGATATACAAAATGGCGACTTTTCATTGGAGGCACAAGGATTGTCGGGCATAGTATTTCAAAATTCGACGAATTTAATATTCGAAAACAATTTACCGGCGGTCTATTTGCAAACTGATAAATCTCTCTACAGACACGGCGATACCATACAGTTTCGTGTAATATTTTTAGATCAGTATTTGTTGCCCGCAAACGTCAACGAACCGATCTCGATTATGATAAAGGTAATTGTGTGTGAGTGTGTGGGTGTGTGTTAGAATTAATAATATATATGCAATGCCAATACATTTTATTATTTTTATATTTGATTTTAGGATGCACAAAACAATACCATTCAGAGTTTCGACAATATCACCCTGAATACCGGCGTATTCAAGGGTAAGCTAAAATTAGCCGAGCTGGTCGTTTCAGGTGAGTGGTCTGTGGCAGCTTTTCTGGACAAAACCCCAGTGGCTAGTAAGACAATTGAAGTGAGAGAATATGAATTGCCGTTATTTGAGGTGGACTTAGATGTACCAATTTATGTGAATTATAAAGCGAAAGAGTTTGCGGTGAAAGTGTATGCGCAGTAAGTATAATTTATTTATTTTGGCCATTAAACATATTTCGGTTTGCCAACCATGGTTTTAATATGGCTTTTAAAATTGTAAATTGAGCCATGAAACACATGCTCAATCGCTATTTGGAACACCAGCAGATAGTAAAAAGTAATCCATTATTTTTTCATTAAATTGAGTTTTTTATTTACCATAGTTAGAATTAGTTAGAATTATACGGCTTATGTCCAATATGTCTTGAGTCCAATTCTTCACCAGCCAAATGAGAAGCCCTTGGTGCGAGGTCCGGACTATAAGGTGGATGCATAAGGATCATCCAACCAAGATCTTGTAGCTTCGAGACCCGACGAATTCCACTATTTTATTGACATTTTCGACAATTGGCCTTCCACACAGTGGAACATCTTTTACATCAAAATTACGGCAAGGAAATCGACAAAACCCGAACTGGGAATGATTGACTCTTACAGTATCAGGACCAAAGCATTATTTTGCCGATGTCCTTTTTTACATGCGATCAAACATTACTGAGTTAAGGGGCACAACAAAAATAACATATTAAAATTTCAAATCGATATCTCAAATAGTTTTTGAGTTATAGCAATTTAAAGAGCAGCCGCTCGGCAGCTAGAGAGTCTCATTAGCTACGAGAGAAAACGATCATTAAACGCGTTTTTCTCGAAACAGCATTTTCCGAATTCGCTGCAGTGATTACTCGAGAACAAATGTTTCGATCACTATCGAATTTTTTTTTACATGTTCACCGTACAATGATCTATCGGTTTTTGATCTGATCAAAAAATCGAATTTTGGCTGGTCAAAAACGATCAAAATTTTGGGTAAAATTCGACCATTTTTTTAAAACGCCACCACATTGTCAAATTTCGATTATTTTTTTATCGTAGGTCATTGTGCAGACAATATTATCTTATCGAGAATTTTCAATGAATAATTCAGTGAAGGACCTGTTTTCGCGCCGTTGGAATATTAAATTTTTTTTCTTCAAAAATTTCACTGTATATTCTTGAAACATGTATGAATATAATCTTAAAATTTTGATATAATTGATAAAGTGTTTTTTTAATATAAATTCCCAAAAATCACCTTTTTTTAGGCCATTGCACACATTAAGTGTGCCCCTTAAGCGATCAGCACTTCTCCTCTTATCTTTTTTCAACAATTTAATTTAAATAATCTATAACTTGTTACTTGACCTAATTTATATAATAAAATTGGCGCTACAGCTCATTCTTACTTATCCATTTTAAGGTAGAATTACATTCGGGCTTATTAAAAATAAATTCAAAATATTTCATTTTTACTTATAAGATTATTTAAAAAATTTATTTAATTTTTCCAGCTACACATTTGGTAAGCCGATATTTGGTACATGCCTAATTAAGCTCAATGCGTCTACTACCACACTCTTTGAAAGGGAATTGAACCTATCTGACGGTCAATTAGAGATTTCAATTCCAACAAAAGATCTTGGTAGACGAATACGACCGATCGAAGTGAGAGTCACAGTCGTGGATCATGTCACGCAAACCGACCGTACAGTTTCAAAAATTATAAGTCTTTCATTAAACATGTATGAAATAGAAATGGCGGATGTCCAAAAGGAATGTTTTAGCGGAAATGATAAATTCATTTACTCACCACGAATTTCTCATATCATTGGCAAACCAATCGATATTGATGAAGAAGTTTATGTTAAAATCAAAAAAGGTGAGACCGAAACTACGGATTACACCTATCCCGATGAAAATGGACGTGTTCGTGTGGAGCTGGAATGTTCAAATGATCCGAAAATAACTGTTACAATAAAATATAAAAACGAAGAGAAATCAAGCGAAATTGAATTATACCACCGAAGTGATAGCGGCCAAGGAGGAGTATTTGTCAAGACGCAATTGTAAGATTATTGAGAGCTCTTACTAACAAGTACAATATTTAATAAGTTCATTATTTTAACACTAATTATTGTGGAACCATAGATATTTATGTATTAAATTCATTTATATGTTAATTGATTTATGTTATTAATATATTATATTTCCATAAATTTACAGCCCAGAAGTTGATACGCCCATGGAGGTACGTCTCATATCACCCGAGCCCTTCTCGAGCTTCGTATGTGTTATTGTCGGACGCGGCAATATTGTATATAATAATAAAATCAGAATACCGGATGGACGCAGTGAAACCGCATACACTTTCTCCATCACACCAACTCATGAAATGATACCGGAAGCGCATATTTTCGTGTATTTCTTCAATGCCGGTAAAATGATTTACTACGAAACCAAATTTACCCTACCGAATCAATTCCGAAATAGTGTAAGTAAATGAGATTTTAGTTTTTACACTCAGTATTTGCGCTTCGGTTATGTGCAATGTTTGAATATTTCGAGACATTTCAATAGCCTACATAATAATACATAATACATAATATTTACACAAAATACGGTTTTATTAAAAAGAAAAAGATTTTCCTTCTTAAAACCAAAATTAATACATCAAAAACATCTTACTTCTACTAAACGAATAATTCGACTAACGAAATTCGACAAAATGAGGTTGCTCTGGCTCACTTCTTGGAGAGAAGAGTAGTGTTCCCGCTTCTAGTCCAATCAAAAAGCTAACTTAGTTAGCAGAGAGAAGTGTAGTGTATCAGTCAATCTAATCAAAAAGCCAGCTTTGTACTAAATATGACATTTGGAATAGGTTCGTCGCTGGTCACCTCTCAGGTAGAAAATGTAGACTTCACGTGTATCTAATCTAAAAACTATATTTATACTAAATTTCTAGCAAATCGAACCATAGCTCGATTTTATTCGAATGAGTCGGTCTCTCGTCCACTATTCGCAAATTTTCTTACAAACTTTCCCGGGGGGAGCAACTATAAAATGCCGGCTAGCTTCGGAGATCCTAGAAAGAAATATGAAAAAACGGTTTTTATATCTATGAATGGGAATAAATCGAACCTTCCTCAGTTTTGTCTATATTTTAATGGGGAAATTGGAATTCTACATATATTTTGTACTCTTCCTTCCTGGTATCATAAGAATCGGTGCGCGTCAACACAAGTAAAATGGTTCTACTAATTAATTATATAAAAATATAGATATCCGAATCTCATCTTCTTCAAAATGTTGGTTGTCAACTGTTCTCGAATGATAAAAGTAGGTGTTGCTTAAATTTTACAAGTGGGTTTGCTCCTGTTGGACTCCTTACCATGGACTACTGCTTGGGTTCTAGATCGTACTCAGCGAACCACGACTCATCGCCAGTACCGACTTTATTAAAATTGCTAGACTGGCCATTTTCGAACTTTATTAGAAAAAACTGAGCAGCCTCATTTAAAAATTAGATTTCCTCGTCAATTTTGGATTTCACCAGAGCTACAGCGGACTGACATCATCAGTGGAAAATTTTGGCCGACCTTCTCGGGGCTTCAACTCTACGGAAAAATGTCCGGTCTGGAATTTTCGGTGAAGTCGTTTCTATGCAATTTGGCATTCACTTGTTTTGGCTTTAAATAACGCCGTAACTCGAAGAGAATCACCTTTCTGTTAGCGTTGGTGGTGGAATTTCGTCTGACCAATACTCAGCTATCCGGCGTTTTCTCGTCTCCATTTCAGCCGATCGTTCTAAAATTTGAAAGGAAGACTGATAAAGTAATTGTAGTTTTTGGATTTAACAAAAACAGATTGAAAGTTGCCAACTGACTGAACTTTTGTTACTCCCTTCGTAGCTCAATTTCATGACCTTACTCCTGTTACCCCAAATATATTTTTTTACAGTACATTTCTATAATTTTACTAAGTTTACAACAAAACTTAATATTCTCTCTTTATATTGAAATATATTGTCTTAGTTTTATGTTGCCTCCATTTCCGTGAAAGTTGTCAAAACACATTTATACATACATATATTTTTTCACAGATCTCCATCGACATGCCGGAAACTGTCAAACCAGGCTCTTTCGTTTCTCTAGTAGTCGAAACGGATCCAGAATCGTACGTTTGTTTATTGGGTGTGGATAAGAGCGTAATATTGCTGAAGACCGGAAACGATCTTGACGCTAAACAAATATTTGAAAATTTAAAAACTAAGGACACGAAAGTATCTAGAACTTATACACCAGGCGAAAGTGCTGGTCTTATCACAATGACAAATGCACAACACAATTTGGGTAAGAGTTGTTCGAGCCTTTCTTCTTTTTGATTTATTTAGTCATATTTATGTATATTTGTTTTGCTATATACTTTCAGAGAGCGCGGTTGCAAAACCAGATGGGGTACTAGTTGGTAGAGGCTCCAAACCAAAAGTCCGTCAAAATTTCCACGAAGTTTTTGCGTTTACTGAAATTATGAGGTACTACGATGTGATTTTAAGCTTAGTAAAGGTTGTTTCTTATTCGTGTGGTTTCTAAAGAGGCAATACTTTTTTCGAAGATGGTATTTGCCATTTTATAATGATTATCACACATCACGTATTTATGTTTGCCTTCTATAGCTTTCAAAGCTTCTTAGAAGATTAAGCTGTTTTTTCTTTATAATTTGCTTTTATGACTCCCGCAAAGTTTGTAAAGAAAAATTCGGAAATAAATTAAAATACCAATTCGAATAAATTATAGAACAATTTATTGCCGGGTCTTCTAGTTATTCATATATGTATGATTTTACTGTTATGCTCTGCAAAAAATTGACATGTAATTTTTTTTTACTCCAGTGATGATGGCCAAAGTGAGATACAAGAAAAAATACCTGACACAATTACGACGTGGGTGGTCACAGGCTTTTCAATTAATCCAAAAACTGGATTTGCACTAACAACAACTCCAACTGAAATTAAGACTTTTTTGAATTTCTTCGTTACCGTTAAACTTCCACAATCCGTGAAATTGGGTAAGTGTAATTAACTAAAAACGGAAAGAAAGAAGAAGAAATAATCTTTTGTTCTATTTTACTTTTATTTTTATGTTTATTTTAATGTTGTTGTTTTTTTCTTTATTTAAGTTTTTTATTGTATTATTTTGCTTTTATAAATTCTTTATTTTAGGCGAAATCATAGATCTAGAAGTAACAGCTTTCAATTATTTACGCTCAAATGTGAATGCTTCCATTTCAATGGAAAGCGAAAAGGGACAATTTGAATTTCTTCCGAATTATGGTAATAACAAACAAACAGTGGGCTCCTTTATACAAAGAGAGAGAAGCAGAACAGTAAGATTTAAAATACGACCAACTCAAGTTGGCGAAATAGATCTGAAAATATCTGCCGTAAGTTTCTTAGCCAGTGATGTAATTATCAAAAAACTGAAAGTCGTTTACGAAGGCACCACCGTGTGGAATAATGAGGACTTCTTTATAAGTGGCGAGGAGAGCAAAATTTACAGATTAAGTATACCGCTAAATATTGTTTTGGGCTCTGAGCATATTGAAATTTCCGTTATGGACTTTATAATGGGTTCAATGTTGAATTTGATCAATAGTGGTGAGAATCTCGATAATCTCATTCACTCTCCCTATGGCTGTGGGGAACAGAATATGTTTACTATGGTGCCAAATTTAATGGTTTTGAAGTATTTGCAGGTTAGTCGGATAGAAATATTATACTAAAATTATAATGATCAGTTCTTTATTTTTATTTATATAATATAAAAAAGTATTTTACACTTACTCTCTCATGCACACGCTTTCTGCCTTTCAGAGCACCGATAACACAAATAAAGCCCTCAAAGACAAGGCAATTTCTTATTTACAAACCGGCTATCAACGACAACTTTCCTACAAGGTTAATGATCACTCTTTCAGTACATGGGGTGCCGCTCCCGGAATTACTTGGTTAACAGCCTACGTTTTACGCATATTTATGGAAGCAAAATCCTACATATATATAGATGAGAATATTATCAAAAATGGTTTAGAATTTCTGCGAAAAAAACAAGAAGCCGATGGCGGTTTTAGAGAAGATGGCAGATTATATGATTTTGCAAATCTAAACAAATTAAGTGTGACCGCTACTGCGTTGCTGGCTTTCCTTGAAAATACCCAATACAAAAATCAATACAAGGATGTCATAGATAAGGCGACGAAATATGTTAGGAATAATGTGAAACAAAACACCGATATGCGTGCATCGGCTCTATGTTTATATGCTCTGCAAGTGATTGGTGATCCGATGGTTGGTGAGCTACTTGACATCATAGAAACCAAAGCGTACACTGGTAACGGTCAAAAGTGGTGGCAAAATACCCCAACACCCGCGAATATTGATGTTTATATAACAGGGTATATTGTAATGACATTGTTGGAATTAAAAAAACCAGTTACGCCAATTATCAAGTGGATAGTGTCGAAACGTAATAGTAATGGCGGTTTTGCTTCGACTTTCGAAACGGAGGCGGGCATGCGCGCCCTATCTATGTATGCTGCCAAATTTAAGGAGCAAGGTAATAATTTAGATATCGATGTGCGCTCTCAAGGACAATTGCTGCAATCGTTTAAAGTTGGAGTAAATAGTAAAAATATTAACAAAAAATTTGAGGTAATTGGATTTTAACAAGATATTTTACTGTATTTTATTTTTTCTCACTTTATTTAATTTTATATTAATTTACAACTTTCTTCTATTTTTCTTTATTTTATTCTAATTAATACTTTAATTTAATTTAATTTAATTTAATTCAATTTAATTCAATTTAATTTTATTATTTTTTTTGATTTATTTCTTTCTATCTCATATTCCTTTTTTTTAATTAAGATTTTTAGATTTCTTCTTCATTGTATTTTAATTTATTTAATTTAAGTTAATTTCATTTTAATTTTCATTTGTTTTAGGTTATAAAGATCCACTTATATTATTTTATTTACATTATTTTTATTTTATTTTACATTATTTCTTTTTATTTAACTTTAATTTGACTAATTTTATTTTATTATGTTTTATATCCATTAATTTTTATTTTTTAATTTAAATTTTATTTTATTAATTCTTATTTTATTTTATTTTATTTATTTATTTCAATTTCTTTAATTTAATTTTTTTTAATTTATTTGCTTCGTTCTATTTTACTTTATTTCACTTTGTTTTATTTTATTGTATTAAGTTATATATTAATATAATTATTATTTCAATTTAAAGCTTCCCAGAGAGACGCGAGAACTTCAATTCACTGCGACTGGCAATGGCAAAGCAACCTTTCAAATTTCTTATAGTTACAATACTTTGGAGACCAACAATCGAGATTTCAACGTTAACTATACTGTGCTCACCCCACCGGGACCGAGAAAAAATTTACAAGTCTGCACCCAATTTATTTCTCACACAGTTGAGCGTACAAGTATGACAGTTTTGGAGATAAGTTTGCCGTCAAGTGATGAAGTGAGCCCGGAGTGCTGTGATATCAGAAATTCGAGGCGAGCAAAGGTAAATACCCCTAAAATGTTCAGTAATATTTTTAAGGTCTCTTCACAAGAACCTTTTTTATTTTTATTCAAATTAGTATGTACGTATGTGTGTAAAGCCATATTTAATTTTCTTCAAAAAATATTTTCAGAAAATTGTTGTAAAATCAAAACAAAAAGTGGAAATTTACCTTGAAGGATTTACGCCAGATGCCAGTGAATGCTTAGAAATCCCATTAGTGAAACAATTTGATGTGGATAACAAGAAACCAGCAACAATTATTGTATATGATTATTATGAAAAGAATGTCGATAAATTCTTTTACCAAGTTTAACGATAGACTTTTCCATAAGGTCTGATGAAAATTTGTATATGAAAATATAAAAAAAAATCGCATGTATGTATGTAGATTAATACGAGATTAACACTAGAATGATAATAAATAAAGGAAAAATTTACTAAAAACGCAATCAACCATCAAATCAATGTTACTGACTTTTTAGACTTTTTTGAAATGAATGAATGAAGAAGTTCGACATTAAAGAAGGTTTTCCAATTAAGACAATGCCGATCGTGGTGACAAACCATGCACGCAGTTACTAAACTTGAGAGTTGAGTTGAGTTGGGGTGGCTGCTGGTTATTACCCATAAGCCGATTGTGAAACCGCTATACGGCTCATGTCTTTACCTTCTCAAATAATCGAACCATTTCGTGTGCCTTATAAAAACAACGATATTTTCGCTGAGAAGAATTAGCAGTGCTTTTTAGGGCCTTGATAGCAGTGCTCCTCCTATCTGTTTACTACGACTGAAAGTAGTTTTGACAGGTGCCAGGGTGACTGTATAAATCCAGTACACGATATTCGGTCTTAGACCCCGAATTTTTTTATCACCGTTTAGCACGTGCATAGAGCATTTTGAGCAGATCGCACAAGCTGTGCTGATTAGTTTTCAAAACTGCGTATTTAATGTTAGACACCAGAACAGTAGCGATAAAACTCCTTCTTGAGGGTGCCTCTTGTGGTGTGTCTGGTGATACTGGCACTGCCCATCTCTGCGAAGATGACCATACTTTTTAGAGGAGACTCCACAAGATTCAATGTGTTTTATTGGATACCGCATGTTGCTTTCTCGAGAGGCTGCCTGGGCGTAGATTTAGGCGTATAAAGCTGCCAAAGATTGTTAATAGGAAAGATGTGAGACTAAAGGGCCGAAAGTCCATTGGACTGACGTGGTTGGCCCTGCCTCCTTTTGGAGAATTCATCTTTCACACAGGCAGGCTTTATAAATCTAAAAAAGAAGTGGGGATAAGATGTCCCCGGCCCTTTGTAGTTCAGCGTGGAAGATTCCAAGCAGTCGTGGATATTTAAATGACTAGAATAACCTTAGTGCCCATTTCACCCTATTGCGACGTACATGTTTGCTGATATCAGAGACGCACTTTCTTTCCCAACGTAGGGTTGGTCACAGTCTGTGGAACATCTGGATATCCAGCATTTCTTCACAAGATGTGGTAGTTGTAGCGCTTTGTATCTGTGGGAACAAACCTACTGAGAGAAACAGATCTTGTGGCTCGATGTCATTTTTTCATCAGTAACTGACAATAAGCGGAGCCCATCACGAATAGAGTTTTGTACCAAGAATGCTGCCAGAACTCTCCCAAGTTAGTACTCTCCCTATTAAAATTCTAAATCCTCACATTATGAATACCAATGGTTAAAGCATAATAAGGTAGGTAGAAGTAGTCTACAGCACATCACCAGCAACATAAAAGCCTCCATGAGAACGTGGGTGACTCCTTACCGTGTGACTTCTTCAATCTCATGATGGGGAAATAATACGGGCTGCAGAGCTGAAGAGAGAAGGTACAGTCTTCTGTAACCCAATGCATAAACACTTTTTCCAACATTTGCTACTTCGAACTGAGTAGCCAGTTGAGAAGTAAAAATCACTCTCAACGAACAAGAACCAAACTCTCAAGTCGCTCATCGTTCTCGTCCTGTTATGGACGGAGGCGTAGATAATGTCAAGATCTGACGATTTGGCTAATAGGAGTTTGCAATGGAAGGCTTTGCGAAAGGTTTATATTCCTTCAAACATTGGCAACTGTTGATATCTCAGACCATGGAACAATCAGCGAACGAAAATACGGCGTCATGGACATAGTTCAGTGAATCGAGAGATTCCAAGAGGCAGATCTCCACACCGTTTAAAAGAGTAGATGAATGTGGATCTGACTTCAGTTGGAGTTCCCAACTGATGCCGAATAGCAAAAAAGTGAAGAAAACGTTAAAAAATTAAATAATTCGTTGTTGTTTATTTTACAAAAAAAAGTTCAAAGACAGCATCTTTTGTGATGAAATTTCCTACAAAATTTATTTATATAAAATCTCTTTTCAGCACATACAAATGTATAGAAATATCCAAACTATGAATATGCAAACCAATCTATAATTATTTACAATAAGAACTCAGTACGAGTATGAAGATTATGCTTGGTTTTGAGTTTCCTTCATTTTTTGACATGACGCACCGCAATCATCACCCTCACAAATATCACAGAGTGACGTCTGCACTTGGTAATATTCGGTGGCGCGTTGGTTAGTATCATAGTAATCATAGACAGTCACAGGCACGGGCTTTTGCTTGGCCACCGCATGTGCTTTGGAGGCCTTAACGGGTATGCATTTGGCATCGCCGGGTACCAGGCCATCGAAGTAGACAATCACAGTCGAATCGGAATTCTTCGTTTCGGTGCGCTTAACACGGTCCACCGCTTCAATATCTCCAAAACTATCGTCGTCGGCTATATATCCTGATGGTAGTGCTACCTCCATCACAGCCATATTGGATTCTTTCTTCTCCTCATCAGCTTCGACTGGCACAAATTCGGCGCACACTTCGAGAACCAAAGTGGGCTTATCACTCTTGATGTTTGTTTTCACCTGGAAACTTGGCTTCTTATCTTTGTTCGCCAAATTATAATGATAGGACAATTGCACCATAGAGAAGCCGGTACCCTTGGCGGTGAAATCGACTTGGCGTGTTGTTTTTGGTAGCTGTTGTTGGAAAAAAAAATGTGTTTTAGAACAAATTTCGTTTGAAAACACTTCAAATCAATTATGAAGCCAGCAACTTACGACATGTGTTTGCAACACCAAGGAGTTTCCTGGATTCACCTTGATGCTACCCTTATTATCCTCGCCACCACTTGATACGAATTCAATATCCATCTCACCACTGCCCGAACCGGTTTTCTCAGCAAAACTTATGAGCGCTTGCAAGCCTACCACTGTATCTTGTGTTGAGGAAAATCCACCATTGCTGTTACGTTGTGCGATTAGCCACTTGATGATGGGCAAAGCATTTTCGGCACCTTCTTTATCGAGTATCGCCAGCAGTATATATGAAGTGATCTCAACATCGTTGCTTCGTGGACGCCAACGCCAGATGTCATCAGTTTGAGTTGTTTCATTCGATTTGGACCACCACTTGCGATTGTTCTCTTCTTTAGCAAGTGCTTGCACCTTAGCTAGGAGTTTGTCGGCAGCTCCCTGAGGATTCTTGGCTAGTTGAAGAGCTAGTGCGGCTATTGAGAGTGAATACTGATCATCTGTTTGATCGATATTTTCTAGCAAATATTTCAGGCCATTGTCGATTTGCACTTGGTACTTTGCTGCATGCTCCTGTGGAGAGTAAAAAAATAATATAAATCATACAATAAGTATCCGACGAGAAGCTCTAGTATCGTCCACACGTCTCATGTTGATCACTATATATAATTTTATGTGACTCTTGCCAACCCAGAGCAGGTTTCGGAGATATTTCGTAGTACTTACCACGTTCTCGAGGAATGCCAGCAATGTGAACGCTGTCAGACCCATTTCATTTTGATGCGCCGAGTCGAAGAGTTTGCCATATTCGGGGAAACTGCCATTTGGCGCTTGTTTCGATGCCAAAAAGTCCAAACCTTCGACAATAACTTTCGGATCAATATCGGTATATTTCGCTGCTTGGTGGAAAGAGCGCATCACGTAAGCAGTGAGCCAAGTACTGCCCGATCTGTCGGATTTGCCGAATGCACTGTAAGAACCATCATCGTGTTTGTACGTCAATTCACGTTGGTAACCAATTTCGAGATATTTCTTTGCTTTCTTCACGACAGTTGGTGCATCGTTTGAAGTGGCCTCCAAATAACGCAGAACTAAAATATTCGGCACAAAATTGACCATATTTTGTTCACCACAACCATAAGGCATGCGCACCAGTTTATCGAGATTCTTCAACGTAGGCCCCAGCAAATCACCGACAACTGAAAATTCAATATACTCCGAATCAGGTACAGCCTCGGCTGGCACATCAACGCTCAACTTCTCGCTATATTCCGGTTTTTCTTTGAGATTTATGAAAACAGCGTGGTTTTCATACTGCGTTACACCCTCCGGTTCAACTTTGAGCATCTGGTGTATAGCATCACCGGCCAACGGCGTTGTGGCGGTAATTTTCAATGTGATATGCCCAACTTTTTTGGGACGTATCATAAAGGAGACACTGCGACCAGTATTTGAGGGAATCGAAACACGTTTCATGCGTTTAATTTCATCCACAGGATTCTCCTCAATCTCATTGGTGGCTTCGGTGAAGTCATACTCCTTATCTGTATTATCCATAACAACTTCGGCGTCCAACGCCTTGTCCATATAATTGAAGATGATAACAGGTACGGCAATAACCTCTCCTACACATGGAAACAGTTTAAAGAGAGAGAATAAAAATACTCATACGGTTGATTTACAATAGAATGTTTGCTGTGTTGACTTACCGCGCTTCACGGAATAAGGCAAATTTGTTGAGACGAAGAATGGCTGGAAGACTTGTATCTTCGTGGGATCTGCAGTTAACGCAATGCCGGTTTTCGGATTCAATGAAAAGCCGGTGACAACCCAAGAGGTGATGGTATCGGGTATCTTCTTTGTCAGGGTGAAGTTATTGCCTTCGGTGCTGGTTTTGGTAAAGATGGAATAAAGATTGAATGTAAAAATATTAGTCAATTGAGAATTTCAGTTCCAGCTAAGCAGAGTAGAGAAGCGTAAAGCAACAAGCAAATAAGCGGTAGCGAGTGTACATACACGTACATTACATGCAAATTAAAACGAGACACATTCATGCATTTTAGAATTGTTGCATTGTTGGTGTGATTTATGTGTGTAAGGTGTGATTACGATGATTTCAAAAATGTTAGTAGTGAAAATAAAAACATATATTTAAATTTATTTATTTACAGAAAACACTAAAGAAGAACTAAGAGCATCAATTGTGAGTTTAAAAGCTACAAGTGTAATATGATCGTATGTATATATGTCTGTATATAAAAGTAAGTGCAAATGTGTTAGTTGACAAAATATTTCCAGTGCAAAAAAATAGTAGAAGTGAGTTAGCCATTTCGTGGTTTCAAAAGCACAGTGCTGCGTTTTGACATCTGTCAAGCTTAACTGTCAAACTAAACCTTTTTTGTTTTAATAAAAAGTCAGTTGTTCACGAATATTGATCGATTAACAACCGCACATCGCGTTAAAATTGTTCGGACATACCACAAAAACGTTGACTCAAACGAGGCTACGTTTCGTGCTTTAAGAGGAGATTATGTTGCTCTTAATATTCCAACTGGTCAAAAAGCAAGCAATGGACAGCGATTTTCGAACAAAAGTTTTTTCAGCGACGAGAAACATTTCTCACTCCGGGGATACATAAATAAGAAAAATTGTCACATTTGGTGTCCGATGATCCTCAGATAATTAAAGAAGAACCATTACACTCAAAAATAAGCTTATAGTCTGATGCGCTCTGTGGTTCAGAGGTACGATTGAACCTTACTTCTTTGAAATCGACAACGACGTCGCCATCACTGTCAATTCGGAACGTTTTCGTCGTGTGAAAGCCGATTTTTTTGGCCTGCAATTGAGGAACACCCCTCAGACAATATCCGATTTCAACAACTATATGTAACATACCACAGAAGACGAGCAAATATGTCTTCATGGCGATAAAATTTACCCAGCTGCGTAATCTCTTTTTACTTGGCGATGAAAATTGGTCACGAAGATCGTGCGATTCGACACTTTGGAATTTTTTCGGAGGGCTTTTTGAAAGACTGTGTTTATGTAGATAAACCTTCAACTATAGAGCACTTAAAAACCAACATTCTTCAAGTTATGTCTGAGATCTGTCCCAATACGGACCAAAATGTAGTCGGAAACCGCCTCAAGCGAATGGACGTTTACGAAAACCCGAGACGGCCATTTTAAAGATGTAGTGTTGCAAATGTAATAAAGATTTCATGAAATAAATTATTTTGAATGTTTTTTTGTGTTTATTTTCGAAACCGCAAAATGGATAACCCTGTATATGAATTTACATATCTGTATACCCCGTATTAAATGTGTATGGAACGTGAATATAGTAGAAGAAAAGCAGTAACAGCACTGCAGGTCTGTTATGCTTCCAAAATTCCGAAAGACTCGTTGTTACCTAAACCTCTCTTCTTAATTTATACTTTACTACAATATTTCCATCTTCGTTTGGTATTACAATTTTACTGTGCAACGATATACACGAGAGATATATTTCTTTAACCACGATGTATTAATTTTTTTTGTTGTTTTTATTTTATTTAAAGTAAATAGTGACTAGTGGCATAGGTACAGAGAGCTGAAAAAAGAAAAAAGGGAGAGGCAGAATTACATGAGAATGAAGAACTTGAACAGCTGGCCGAAATTAGCGAAAATTCCGTGAAATGATGCGTCCAATTATATGGAGAAACCTTCAGGAACGTAGCACACTCAGGAATAAGCTTGTTAGGCAATGACAACATGACTTCAGACCTCGCTTATCTACAATAGACCAGGTGCGCCAAACTTGAACTGACACATGAGGAAAGAGAGCTTCCTCCACGTCAAATGCGAAGTATGTAACGCCATTGTTATTTTCTTTGGAAGGGAAATTCTTCATTTTTAAAATTATAATAAGATGAGAACTGCAAATGGGTTTAAAGCTATGAATCATCCGAGTATGTGCCCTGCGAGACGAACAGAGAAGCAGAAGACCTTCAATTGTGACTTGCAAAATGACTGAAAAAATCGAAAATGGATGAACTTGCGGCAATTAACTACTTTACGAAAGAATTACAGAAAACCTCGGATATCGCAAACTCTTCGCGGCAAAGTATTTCGACGAAGGCACCAAAAATTTGACACCACCTGCAGCGACCATGCCAAAAAAGTAGCCTATATTATGGACTAAAGTATCACCTTATTTTTTGTTTAGACAAAATTTTTCAAAGCCTACAAAAGTTAATTTGTGTACTTTCTGAAGAGATATTAAAAGATTTAGTATAGTTGATAGAGGAAAAATTTAATGGGTTCTAATATTTTAAGAAGCATTAAACACTGAAGATTTGGAAAGGATTTGTTTCTAATATTCTCTCCGTATTCAGCGGCCTCCTGCGTCTTCTTTTGTTTCCAAAATCCTAGTTAACACTCTGTGAAACTCGTTTCCCCTTGGCTGGGGTCGTAAACAAAAATTGGGAGCGGGAACTGGGGTCGACAGGTTTCAACAGCTGCTGCAAGCAAACTGGTTGACAGATCTCGCTCATTTTTGGCGCATTCAGCGGGGGCAATTTAAATGACAATTTCCGGAAACTTTCTAGTCTTAATGTAGGCGACTATCTACTTTTTCGATTTTTAATGAATTTGTGATGAACAGTATGCCTTTGGTGGGCGCGAGGTGGCAAAATACGTGAAAAAAAAGAATGAATGCTGTGCAACTTCGCCAGTGAAAATTAATTACAATAAAGTGCCTTAGCGCTCAATCACCACGAATGAATTAATCATAACGTACATTTCATTATTTTCGAAAATCCATAGTTCCGAAAATTCATTACGAATTTTTGGATTAATTTCAGTTTCTAAGGTTTTTAATGTGGTGCTGAATGAAGATGCTGGTAAGGGATGTGCCAGTCTTATATCGTAAAAAATAACTGAAAAATATATTTATAAAGAGGCAAAATCAGGAAAAATGTATAAGAATATATGATTTGAATGTTTTTATATTATAAATATATTGGTGTAGTAAAAAGAAATACATTATTGTGTTATTTATCTGTATCTCCCGTTGCACAAGCCCGACCGTGTTACGGCGTTCGAAGATGATATTTCGTGTCAAAGATGGGCACTAGCAAAGAGAAGATAAGCTACCATTTACAGTTTACAGTCGATAAGGGCGAAAACGCAAGCCAGGTGACCGAATATGTGAATAGTGTTTACGGTCCTGGTAATGCTACAGTCAATCATGCATCATTCCGGCTTCATTCCGGTAATTTCGATGAAAAAATTCTTCATGGAATAGAAGGCCAATTGCCGGAAGTGTCGATAAATCATGACATTGTCGAAACCGAACGTCATGTAAGCAGTGTTTCGGTTGACCAGGAGCTCAAGATTGCAAAAAACCGCTTGGAACCATTTGAATAAGGCTAGATACGAAAAGAAAAAATTAAACCATTCGATTTCATACAGAAATAATGGATTTCTTTTCACTACTGCAATCCTTATATTTCTCCTGTAAAAAGTAATCCATTGGATTAGTTAATATTATCCGATCCATGTCAAAAATGAACCGTTCTTATCGACATTTCAAAGGCATGTCATCACACCTCTCTCATATAAACCCTTGTCACTTGTGGCAAGAAAAATGCAACCATCGATTTTCACAGACTTCTCATGCGGCCAATTCTTCATCAACCAAATCATTCGCCATAGACAAGAAAGGGAGGTAATCGCTTGGACTAAGACTAAAAGAACGTCGCATCCAAGCTATGGCTGGTCCTAATGAAACACAATTCCCGTCCGATAGGCCAAAGTTAGTCGCCTCTGGGTGATTACTTCTTTCAAACGGCCCAACGGCCGAATTAATAATTTCGACGTAGGTTAATGGATCGATGTTACGATTCAACACCCATTCACAGAGGTTTTTCTCATCAACTCGCGTGGCACCCATACATCGATAATCTTTGTACATCCAACATTTTTCGAGTGGCCTACCCCACCGTGAAGCCATGCCATATTTTCCATCAAAATTACCGGAATGTAATCGACAAAATGAAAGTTGTTCTAGATTGACTGTTACGGTTTCAGGACCATAAACACGATTCACATCCTCACCAGCCTGACCTGCGTTTTTAAATATTTTGAAGAATCTTAGAATATAGCATATTCGCACTTTACTAGTGTCCAACTGTGACATGCGATTTAACACTACTGATTTAAGTGATCAAGACTTTTCCCATTATCTTCTTTAGTATGAATTATCACCTTTCTAATGCCATCTAGCGAAATCCAATCACACTTATATTATAGAACGTGAGATCAGTAAACCTATCTAGAGCAAAAATAATGGATTACTATTTACTAGACCTAAGTAAGTTTATAACTTTTTGACTTTACCATGAACCCCCTCCTGCAAGAAGCAGTACTTTAAATGAAGAATCTGTTTGGATTGGCTTAGTATTTTCGGTGCGAGAGTCTTTCAAAAGATGTGGGAAAATATCTTACACCCAAATGATGAGAAGGTTCACAGTGGATGCCAACCAAAAGCCATTACTGTGGTAACAATGGAAAATTATTTTAAAAAAAGCCTACATTGCATTGTTATCGAGCATCCATGTTTCTGAAAAATCTTTACGAGTTCTTGGCCTTATAACCTCGTTAATTGCATTTGGTGCGTGAACTGGCTCAGTTGTAGTGTAAACGAGATCAAAACCACCCAAAGGCATAGGCTGTATTGTAAAGCTATGCTCAGGCAGTGCTAAAAATTATTTTAAACAAATTTTAGAGCGGAGTGAAATATTGAAATATGAAGCAATATACAATAAAATTAAAGCAAAAATAGTCAAGATAATAAATAAATATAACAGAAATAAAAATTAAATGAAAGAAACGACTAAAAATGGTGGCTCAAAACATATAACAGTAAACAAAATTTATTATTTCGGATAAAACACTAAAAACGAAAAGATTAGCGTACGAAAGTTATTTACAACAAAATTTTGGGGAAATAATTGTTTCATACGATTTTTCCAAGCCAATTTTCGCGAAAAGCCAATTTTCATAAAAATTTTGACGCGCACGTAATTTTGCTGTAATCTCATTATCAAAACCCAGATCATTGTTCATTGATGGACCTGCGGTGGCGGTGCTTGTTGACAGGCACATTTCGGTTGTAGTTTCGCGGCGCTGACCAGAGGCACCACTTATAGGTACTCTGCCACCACTGGAACCGCTCGCTGACGGTCGTTTCTTTCTATGACCTAATTGAGCGGCATTAAATATAGGCAATGCGGTCAAATTAAAATTATAATATTGTAATATAAATAATATTAATGAATACATAAATAGAAAAAAATACCATTGATATCGATAAAGTTTTTTTTTTTTAATTTTTAATATTTAACACATGCGCTTGCAACTATTAAATACGTTTTACTTTCACTTATTCTAATTTTTCGCGTAATCAGTATTGCCTGATTCCATGCTGACCGAAATCAAATAAATTTCTAAGTAATTTCTTCTCGATGCTACTGGCGTGACAGAAGAGTTTGAGGAATTGAAAAATCCCATATGGTGTTAGAAATCGTTTTAGGTTCGCAGAATGGGGGGAAAAGAGTGGAAATAACAAAAAATATTTTTGACATTAGTCTTGCCACAAAAGGATTGTGCAGGATTTTAAAAATGTTTGTATCGAAAATAAAATATGTGGATTGTAACCGCTGAAACGGCTTTCGGGCGAGCTCCTTCCTCAATTTGCGATATGCGTCTTGCGGTTTTTTCAATAAATTGAGGATCTTGCAGTTTATTTTAAGCCATCTCCGAACGGTCGAATGATTTTTATGAGAAGATTTAATTTTTATGGACATTTCCAGCCGAAGTTCGATCCTCAGCCCTCAATTACAAAGACTCACCCTCGTAGGTCATTAAATAGTCAATTCAGTAACCCAATCTGATGCAGCTAGTCCTCATGGAACCGAAGAACCTGCAAGTTACACCTGCTATCTTGGAAGATGGTTCATGTTCTGGCAAATAAACTGCTCTGCCTGAATTCGATGGCAAATCAAGTTTTATATGCACAGTAAGCTTCGGAGTTACTTGGATCAAGGCTCGGATGCAGTAACTAACTTCTTGCCTTGGATTGTCTTCCTCCTGGATTAGATAAGTTGAGAAGTATTTCACTTAGCATTGGTTCATTGTACACTTATTGAAAGTCTGACTGATACATTTCACTTCTCATGCAACCCAATACGATCACTTTGTACAGCTCAACGAAATTTATAAAAACGAGGTTCATTGGAAATCTTGATCTTGAGCCTTTTGCTTAAACAACAACGGGGGTTTAAAAAATTCTCTTGCTTTTTAGGTCTATGGGACAGTTACGGCCGTACAAATCACTCCATTAGATGGTGAAAATCGCCTCAAATAAAAATTAATGGACCTACTATTAGAGGGCTTATGGCTGATCCAAAATCTCATCATCAAGAGCTCAAAGAGGAAACTGGAGGAAAATGCTATCTCACAATGCCGCCAGACTAACCCCTGTTCATTTGTTTAAAAGGACCTTTGAAATGTTTCCGAAAAGCAAAAATTTTTTTTTCAATTTTTTTTATTAATTTCTCCGTTTTGCCACGCCAATAACTTGCAGAATTTTTTCTCTATATTTTAATTCAATTTCTTGTTGCGCATATACATACATACATACATTTTTCCTTTCTATTCTAAAGGAAATTTACTCTAAAAATGTGCTCTTAGTAACTAAAATAAATTGTATGATATAAATTTTTTTTTTTTTTTAATAAAATGTGGTTATGAATATAAATACATACATATGTATATATAACGTGCGATAAAAAGCATAGACGAATTACGAACAAAAAAAACACCGTTGCTCAGGGAAAGATTATTACTCATGGTTTTCGAATATCCAACATTCGATAAAGCTTTTGCGTACGGTTGGTGGCATTATTGGTTGGCTGATAGATTCTTGGCGAAAAATCCCAATCGGAGCCATTAATCTCTTTGTATATGTAGGTCTTTTTAAGGTGTAGAATACACCACTTCTCGGATAAAACATAACACTGCTGCCTGTGAAAGTCGAAGAAAGTATAAATATACGATGTATGATAATGACAAAGCGAGATAGTGTGGCAACTGCGATTGCGTGAGAGCAGAATAGCAAAGGTGAAGGAAACGTAAAATTTTGTAATAAAATATGAACTCCTGGAACATATGTAGATATAAAATTTAAAGCAGAGAACGATGGTAGAGCATAAAAAGTTATGAAAATCTGCAAAACAGACGAGCGCGCTAAGCAGCAAATATTCTTTTTTATTTCTACTTCTTATAAAAGAATTACTTGAGAAAAATTGTACTTTCAACATTTGAACATGTCCACGAGTGCTCAGTGTATGTACGTATGGGGGGTTTAGTTGGCCTCGCATGTAAATATTTGGCAAAATATTCAATTTCATCTATGGTTTCCTCTCTCAAGTGCGCCGCTGCAGCAATTAGATCAAGATCGTGAAAGAGCAACTCTTCTTCGGGTATCGGCGATATAGTCCAATAAATTAGTTCTGCTTCTTTAAAAACCAATTCAAACGAAATAGATAATCAGCGAGGGTGGGAATGAGAGGGAGCGAGAGTTGAGAACAAGGCTTTAAGTATTCTGCCACTACTAAGAGATTTTATTAGTTTCGAAAATTATAATTTAGAAATCAAACATTTTTCAGGCGTCAAGAATATACGAATTACAACGTATAATAAGTATGACAGCTCACTTTTGATTGAAAAGGGATGCGTTAATGCACAAACTTGTAATGGTGATAATATACAAACTATTATTGAGACGCCGTAGTATTCTAAAATCGTCACGGCTTGGTGTGCTCTATAGGCAGAAGGAATCCTTGGTGTACATTACTTCAAAAATGAAACTGGCCATAACGCTACAATCAATGAAGAGCGTTATAGTGCCATGATGAATGACTTTTTCATGCCTGAATTGTAGCGTGTTTACATGGACGTCTTTTGGTTTTAACAACATGACGCCATATGCCACAGATTCAACGATCCAATTAATTTATTGAAGGCAACTTTTGATGATCGCATGATCTCACGCTTGGGCCGGTGGCGTGGTCACCACGACAGTATTACACCGTGAGGTTATGTAAAGTCGATTGTCTAAGCAGATGAGTCAAATACGACTGTCGCCGTGGAAGAGAATATTCGGCGTCCTATTGCTTGTATTTTTAGTCGTGCCAGCCGCAGCGCTCACTCACTCGAAACTGTTTTTAAAATGTAATGACCAACCTTTTAATTTTTTCTTTAACAGAAAGCCAAAATTTTGTTCATAACATTAAAATGTAGACGTTTTGTTTCACCTCGGAAACCATATATCTTAAAAACACCGTCTAATTTCTAGCTTAGAGTAAGAATACTTTTAGTTTCACAAATTCTACAATCTTAGTTGGTAGTAAGATTTAAGAAAATTAAAATGTTGTTTTATAGATTTTATAAAGTCCAAAAGCAGGCAGCAAATAATTGTTAGAACTAATATACACACTACATACTGACATACCGCTACAACATGCATTTTAAAAAAATCTTCTACAAAAACTACTTTCAACTATCAAATATTCCTAATACGCTGGAGAATGGACTAAGGAAATCACTACTTAAATGTGAGCAATGTTTTTTAAGTACCAAGAATTTTTTCCAAAAATCCAAACTTCCTCGAAACTGGTGCGTAACTCCGTTATTGAAATAATGTCCATATTGTCGCACTCTCCGTCATTATCATCATCTATGAATTCCGCTGATTGTAAGGGTAGAGCTTCGAATTCTAGATCTTCGTCACTTAAGTCGTATTTTTTAGCTGACAGAATATATTATATGTATATATATGTGTATGTGGCAGTTATATAGGTTTCGTGGTTACAAACAAGGCTATATTTTGACATCTGCCAAACATAACTGTTGATACAAATATATTTTGGCTTAGTTAAAAGTCAGGCATTCATGAGAAGAGATCGCTTAACAACCGCACAACGCGTTAAACTAGACAAAAATTGTGATTCACACGAGGCCACGCTTCGTGCTTTAATAGGTGACTTTGTTGCGCGTAACCGTATATATTGTTACAGATATTGACGCCTTTCCTGCATCGGTTTGCTTGTTCCACCTCAAATATCGTTGATATAAGTGAAAGCGTAGCCGAATTGCCGAAGGTATCTCGACGTACTCAAGAGCTGCGACTTTTTACCACTACACAGCTTCAAGTGCCAACAGCTGACCATTCACAACGCCGTATATATGTAAATCGATTAGCTGCTTCAACGAAAGGCTGTGACAGTGATTATTTTTTCAGACACGAAAATTGTTACATTTGGAGGCTCCAAGATACTCAAATAATAGCCGGGTGCACTCTTTGGTCCAGAAGTATGACTGGACTTAACTCCTTTGAAAAGGATAATGGCGAGACTGCCAATGTCAACTCAGAACAAATTGGACAAGATGAGTGTTCAACAAGATCGTTTATTGCGAAAGAAAAATCCCGGCAACGTAATATTTTGTCTCGACCGGCATCATGCCATTTGATCTGTTGGATTCATTTTTGTGGGGCTCAGCGAAAGACTGTGTTTATGTAGATAAACCTTCAACTCTTGAGCTCTGAGACCGGAGCCAACAACTTTTTGGTCCATGTTGTCGAAAATTACCCTAAACGTATTGAATATTCCGAAAATTCCCCAGGCAGTCATTTGAAAGGTCTAGTGTTTCGCTTATAATGTCAAGATTTGAACTTTGTAGTAAAAAGGGGAATTCATTAAATTAATTATTTTAAATGTATTTTATTTACACTTGTTTTCGAAATCGCAAAATGGATAACCCTGTAAACAATTCAAACATCAATTATTCAAACATAAATATTTATAAAAAGCATTAATTACTAAAAACAAGTGACGCAAGATGATTTTACTGGAATAACGATTTTATGAGAAAAAATTACTTTAAAAGCTCAGTTAACCGTAGAAGAGCTACTTAAGTTTTGCGTATCTACATTTTTACTGAACATTTAGTCTTTCGACAAAAGAACACGCATAGCTAACAGAGGACCACAAAGTTTATCTCCTCTTTAAAGTTGCGCTTGCCAAAATTTGTTCAAAACTACTATAAAATTCCACAGAAAAAATATGTAATCCACTTGCTAGTAGATCTCATTATGATATAAGGAAATAAATAATTTCACTATGTACAAATATGTTTACGAGTATGTACAGATGAAGGGCAGTGTTTTCATGAATTATGTACAAACTCTTGTTCTGTAGTCACCCCCAAAATATATGTGTTTTGTTAGTAAACTTATATAATTATGATTTATGGAAATGGAATTTTGGAGTTTTTAAATACTTTTGGCTGTCGTGAAATATCCATACTTCAGCAAAATCTTGTCGCACTTGAGGAATTTCGATTGGCTCTATAGACTCTGAAATTGCTAAGGCAAAAGCTTGATCCTCTTCGAAAAAGTCGCTCTCAAGATCATACATTGTAAGTGGCTCTAGAAGAATTTCAATGATCGAAATATTAATTAACATAAAGAAGCTTAAATTTATATTCGGAACCAATATTTTTTTTGTTTTTTTTTCTTTTGGAAACGCCTACATAAAAATTTCAAATAAGTTGGTGAGAATTTAGTGAGAATACCGTCGATATGGATATTATATGTCATGGTTTGTTTCAAAAACGCTAAAGAGGATTTCGTCATATTCCCCAAATTTAATAAAATAATATTATGAAATTAAAATTGTTATGCAACTGCAAGAATGTTTTGAATCCCTTCAACGAATGGAGTGATCAAATGACCAATTTTCACATAAAAATTCGCACAAAACACCAACAAATTTTTACTAATAATTATACAAACGACGTCTATACATATAAAACCAGACCCAAAACGTTAATGAATGCCACTTATAATACGGCCTCCATTGAGGAAAAAAACCAATTAATATATTTACTTTTCTTGGTTCATAAAAATCCAATTTTCTATAAAATTCTTTCTCAAAGTCGGTGCTACAGCCCTTAGTGGAACGAGGGGTTGCGGCTCGGCCAGAGAGGTAGGCCTCATAGCGACGGCATAAGCAACACCTGGAGGAGCAGGCGCAGGCAAAGAGGAAAAAGCAGCAACTTGTCCCCAACCACTAGCGAAATAGGAGTGAAATTTGACTGCGAAGAAAATATTGAATATTAAAAAATAATTACTGTATTTAATTTTTTTCATTAATAATTGTTGTAAATTGTGTGAAACATTATCCCCGACGACTGAAAATGTGAACGCACGGTAGGAGCGAGTCTAGAAGAGAAACATTTTGAACATTCCCGCGAAAGCTCTAAGTTTTAGAGAGTAGTGCTTTTTGAGATCTGTGCTTTTGAGCAATGAACAAGTCTCGCGTCAACCCAAAGCAGAAAAGTGAGAGCGGTATAGTCGATCAAAAAATTAATAATAATCGATTTGCGTATTCGACTGATCAATCTAACCATCCTAATTATTCGATTGAAGTCACTTTCTATTTTCTAAGATTTTGTTGTTAAAATGTGATTATTGCGATTAAGGGCCATCTATGATCTATCTACATGTGAACGTCAAGAGCGCCATATACATACATACTCGTACATAAGTGGAGATATTATGTATCTAATTAATAAATCAAGTGTACGGAAAAATTAAAATCGTTTAATGAAATGTTCCGTTTCAAGACTACTTTTTCAATGGTTAAAGTTATATAAGTGACAAAAAAATTACGCAGAAATAGGAGTAAGGATTTTCGTGGTGAATTTTTTCTATGCAAAACACATGCTGGAATCAATTTTTTAAGAATTTAAAAAATTTTTGTTTTACGAAAAGTTTTGCAAATTCTTAGTTATTTACTATTAAAGAGAAGGTTCTTTATATAAGAAGAAACTCTTAAAAACCTGAATCAGACCGGTGATAAGCATAGAATTCCGCAAATTAGTTTGAAATTTTTATATTTTTGTCTTACTCCAAATTTCTGCTTCTTATCACATATCTCTATTACACTACTCTTTTCCTACTAACTTTTCGTTTTCACCATTTGAAAAACTATCGAAAATCCAAACTTCAGCAAAATTTTCACGTATTTTCACAACAGGCTTTGCTGGTGCTGGAAATCGTGGTGAAAAACCAATCATGACTGATGCTAATGGTTGAGCTCGAGCTATCGCGTACATTGGTATATCACCAGAGCGGGCTGACAAGAAACTGTAGTAATGTTCTACAAGTAAATGAAACACACTTACATACATACATACAAATAGGGCATCAATTTGTTTATTTACAATTAATTTTTTTATTGCAGTAATTTTTGGAAAATCTTTTATAATTGCACATGCAAGTTACATAGTCGTTTTTCGATCAAACAAAATTAAGAACCATTCAAGCAACAGGTTGCAGGAGGGAACAGGAGTGAGTGCAGGCATTATTGGACTATATTTTGTATTTATGTACAGTTCCCCAGAGCTTTTGATCCAATCACTTAATGCTTTGAAACAGATGAAAAATTATGTCGAAAAATTTTGGATAAATTCGAAAAAAAAGTAGTTTCACCAACTGCTTACCATTTTCACCACAGTAAGGCATATAAAGGGTGTATATTTTAGACGTGCGAATTTCAATTAGCCAATACTTCCTCCGAGTTGTCGTCGGTTTGTAATATTTTACCTGATTTTATACTCAGTTTGACTTGCCGTTTCATAACGAACAGACTTACTTTTGCTAATCGTGCAAATTCATTACCGAAATAATAGTTCGGTTCGAACAACGAGCTACGCACTGCGCCCAACATTTGGTCGACATAACTGCCCAACATTGTCCGGATCAGTTTTACACCATGGACCAATTCACCACTTAAAAGAAAAGATTGTTCAACGTTGAAGCCCACTTTGAAATTAGTTTGTAATATTCGAATCTGGAGTGAGGATTGCAATCTCTAAAATTCACTGCTCGGTGTGCTCAATGGTCAAAGGGAAACATTGGTCCATAAATTGGAGGGTGTTTATGTGGTGAGCCAGCATAACATAACCTAACCTAACATTGCTGCTCAAATTTTTGCGGGGTTATATGAAGTCGCTGGTCTAGGCAGATAAACTGATCGCGGCGGTCACTTGCCCGAAATCATTCAGAAAATATATTTGGCAAAATCTTTGCTTAATTGTTTAAAACAAATCTAAATTCCATGACGTATTTATCATCAAACTATATGCGTATTGATCTTCTTAAAAACCACATTTCTTAAAAACCACCCTTTTAGTTTAGCAGCAGTGCATTTTTTGCTAAGAAAAATATAAGGAAAAGACAACTCGGGGAGAGTACAGAAGTAGATCAAGAAGGGCTACATATATTCAAAAGCGTGCATAATTATTTCCGTCAATTTTTTTTCAAATCTAATTTAGGCCTCATTATTTTTTCAAATATGCGGTGTGCACACATTTACAAACATTAATGAATAAGTGAAAGTGAAAACATTTGTCCGGAACCAACCGTTTGGTGACATTATAAATCCAGACTTCGTTAAAATTTTTACGTATTCTTGGCAAGGCTTCAGAAGAATCTACTGAGACACTATCTCCCTCAGATTCGGGACTAAAATCGGTTTCATCTTCGGATTCGAACAAAATTCCTTGTTCTAATTCATCTCTTTGGAGCATATAAATAATTTCTATAATTAAAAATGTAAAATAATTTAGAAGAAAAATGGAAATTGGAAAACATTACGGTTTTGGAATTATATACCAAAAAATATCTAAAAATATCTATCATATCTGAAAAATATTAACTGACCGTCACCGCGCAAAACACGATTATGTTTATCTGCATATTAGATGTTATTTGCTATTTATTTATTATTATTAATTTTCAGTATTAATAATTCACTTCGCACCTTCGGCATGCGATATATTTAGAATTATTTGTAAGCCCATAGTTGTCAGCTGCTTTATCAGTTATACCCTTTACCAAGTAGCTTCCTTTCTCTCTCTACAAAAGTTCTTATGCAAGCCATACGAATATGCAACAGAGTGTGAACGAACCTATAACGTAGAGTCCAAACCCAAGTTTCAAGAAACATTTTTCGTATCGGTAAAATGCCATATGCTGAGGGATCTAATGTTCTATCGGCAACATCACGATGCATAGGTTCATCGTTGAGTACCATTTCGGAATATTCATCATCTTGCAGAACGTCGGCGAGTTCAAGTGGCGATGGGTATAACTCTTGGGTTCATAAATATTTATGTATGTCATAAGACGGTTATCATTTTATACTCCTAAAGCTCAATGTTTGGCACATAGTATGTATGTAAGTTTCTTAAGGAGCTTTTTAATTTCCATATTATTTTTCTAATTATTTCACTTACCATCATTGTAGGGATAATTGGCATTGGTCATTGTTACCACTCCGGCTTGTTGACCGGGATAGCGGCCATATCCTCGCATCCATGGTGTACTGGCCTCGTAATTGCTTAAACTATTGAATACTTGATCCTTGGTAATGTCGTTGCCTGATTTCAGCAAAATTACGCTCTGATCGACACCAAGTAAGCCGACGAATGAATCGGGATCTGTTTTGATCTGTAGCTGTACCTCTTCGCCGGGTTTCGCTTGCGGTTGAGCGCTGATATCGATCTACGAAAGAAAGCCGAGAATGAAAAATTATCATTTAGCATAAATAATAGAGAGAAAATGGCAAAAATAAATTCCTGACACGAAGGGAAAAATTCTACAATAAGCCTGGGATGAGAGATCTTCCTTTAAATGAACACCGCTACAAAAGTTTAAGAGATCACAATATGAAACTGTGCAACGTAACGGCGAAGAGTATTGCCCCCACTACAATAGATGTCAAAAGCAAGCCAAGCAATCGGGCTGAGGCTTACCGGCTGTATCACGAGATTTCGATAAAATTCATGTTGCGATAGATGGAAAATACTCCAGAGAAAGAGTCGATACGCAACATTTTTTCTCTAATTTTAAAGCAGTCTTCGGTTGGCTCTATGCCGCTATGTTTGATTCCCAAAACAACTTGACGTCTTATTGTACCAGAAGTGCAGTGAATAATGCTGAAGCCCCTCGATCCGTTTGGTTCTAAACTAAGTGTCCGAAATGGTGACTCACCTCAGAGAGGTTTGAAAGGTTTTGCGGAAGATTTATGGTTTCTTGCACATTGGCAACTGTGGAGTACCGGACACAAGGGAATGACAAACTATACGAGATATACGGTGGCATTCGCGTGGTTGTCTCTGAATTAAAAGTCGCACAAGAACACTGAGTTACATCTTACCGTATTTTCGAACTCCTTTTCGAAATCAATGGTCTTCTCTTCAAAACGTAAATTGTTATCAAAAACATAATGCACATACAACTTGGCCTGTGGCACCATTTCGAAAGTGGGTATGAATTTAATCGACTGGGATTTGCGGCCCTCAGGCACATCAACATATTCAGCTTTCACTATGTTGCCACGCGCAACGATGGCGTAGACAAAATATGGTAGAGCTTCGCTGGACTTAACCTCAACGGTAACGGGCTTGCCAAGACGTGGTCTAAAGAAAAAAAAATTAAAAATATTTTTTATAATTTCATGCCACAGCAAACCCGGATATACTCACTTCTCTGGCTTCACCGACAATTTCAACAATTCAGGCCCATCGATGGCAGGTATAAATTTCGATAGAGAACTTAGGTATGTTGTTGTATCTAAGAAATTGCATTTGATGGTGTAATAACGGTCAGCATCGGGTAGTGTAAACTCGAATGTTGCCATGCCGTGCTCATCCAAATTTGATTCGAATTCCATATCAGACTTTTGTGTATCATTTCGCCGGCTATCATCCATGGAATATATATAGTCTCGTGGTGGGAAAACAAATAATGTTGCCTTGTTTTTGTTATCACGCACCGGTGAACCATCTACATTCTTCACCACAACAGTGATTTGTGTCGGTTTGCCGGGATGATAATTGTTTGGTACGTTGACACCTTCTATGCGATAACGTTCAGCGTGTAAGTTCACCGTGGCTGTTGCATTGTAGGTATTACCCGTCAGTTCTTCCTCCATAATGGCCAACACTTTTAACGGTGGTACATAGGTGCGTTCACTACTTATACCCAGATCTGTGCCCAAATCAAACTCTACATGTCCTTTGCCATCAACATCAATTGTTTTATTCGCTTCTGGGTCAGTGGACATGCCATAATAATGATAGATCGGCTTAATCGATACCGATGCCTTGCCCTTCACCGATTTACCGTAGGTGTATTTGGAACGCACGGTCACCTTAATCAATCCATCCGGTATGGCTACATCTTTGGCCGTCTCAATGGTCACCTCGAACTTGGGCAACACATATTTGGCTACCTCAAATGACTTCGTTTCTGCCTGCTGACCTTCCACATTGACGTCGATGTTCCAGTTGCCGAGCACAGGCTGCTCGGAGAGTTGGAATTCGCCGCTGTAAACACCTTTGGTCAACTGGACATTTTCGAGCTGTTTGATGCGATTTTGTGCGCCATCCTAATGAGTAAGGTTAAATATTAATATTTAATGAAAATAACATAAATAAATGATGAATAACTTTTTAAGTAAAATTAAGATTTATTACAAATTAATTAAATCACAATTATCATATGTGAAAAAAAAAATTCAATTTAATTTTTTTATGATGCAAATGCAGTTAATGAATGAAATTTAAAGCAATCAATGAAGAAACAATTAAGGAGAAACTAATTTTAAACATATTAAAAATAAAATTAATTAATTTATTATTTTGTAAAATTAATGAAATTTAAATTAGAAAACAAAGAAAGTAATTATAAGAAGTAATTGGAGTGAAGTTAATTACTAATTGAACTAAACTTCGAATGCAATTAAAAATTAACCAAAGTGAAACTAATTAGAAGTCAACTTGTACTAAACTTAAATTAAAACTTAGAAATGTTTATATTAATGAAAAAAATTAATTTCAATAGTCTATTAAGCCAAAAATTAAATTTAATAAAAAAAATTTTCAAAGTAAATTAAAGGAAAATACATAAAAATTAAAACTGATTAAACTAAATTTAATATTGAAAAATTTATTTTGATTAATTACATTAAAATTCAGAAAAATAAAAACAAATTAATTTAATTAAAATTAAATGTAATGCTAATCCATTTTTATTTATTTATTTTATTTACCTATTAATTTATTTATTTGTTCAAACACACAACCATAAGTTATTGTACACAGTTGGAACTTAATTAGGGAAAACTTAATTTAATTTACAAACTAATTAAATTAAAAATGAAATGACTTTAAAGGTTAATAATATTAAAAATCTGGAATTAAAAACAAATTACGTATTTTTTCCAATTTAATCAAAGTAGGATTAAAAACAATTCAAAAGTTACTAAATTAAATTTAATGTTAAATGTGAAGGTAATTTAAACTAAAAATTTATCAATATAGCAATATATTTTAAATGTGAATAAGCTTAATTATAGCTAAATCAAGATTAAAGAAGGCTAATCAGACTTTAATTAAAGAAATAATTAGTTTTAATTAATATAATTATATTAAAAGCGAAATAAAAGAAATGTGTTCAAAATTAGTTAAGAACAACAAAACTAATACTATCAAAATATTATTTTAAAAGTAAACGAATATAATTGAAGAAAATATTAATTTAAAATTAAAAACAACTCTTATTTATTTAAATAAATATTATTTCTTAAAATTAAAGAAAAGACAAAAAAATTATCTGTAATTTTAAAAAATCAATTATTAATCAAAAATCCAATTAAAAATTGAAAAAATAGATTTTAGTTATAAATCAGTTAAGCTAAATATAAAATAATAGAAAAAAATAAAATTAAAAAAGAAATTTATTAATTTAATATTAAGAATAAATTAAAGTAAAATTAATAACTAATTAAATAACTAATCAAAATACGTTTAAGAGAAAACTAATATATAATAAAAAATAAAAAATAAAAAAAAAATTAAATTAAATTAAATTCAAACCAAAAATGTATGAGAATTATTAATTGAATATAAAATTCACTTATTTTTATTTCCAAAGCAATTTTGAAATACTCACATTAATCACAATAGTCACGGGTTTCTCAATTTTCGCTGGTCGTGTATTTTCATCCAAGAATAGCACACGAAATTGTACCAAATCACCTGGTTTATATGTGGCCTTGTCGGTTTGTATAAATGTGGAGGGTTTGTAGTCGGCATAATTTAAGTTTGTCGAATTCTCGAAGGTTAGGCCTGAGACACCTTTGGCAACCAACTTGTATTCACCATCTTTCAGTTTGGGCACATTGAATTCGACATTCTCCGTCGACATCGGTTGCAGCTCTACTGTTTTGGTTTCATTAAAGGATGGTCCCGTAATGCCCACTTCAATTTTGCAAGGCCCCTCGGCTTTGTGTACCGATACAACGGCATTATATTTGAAGTTGGAGCGAATTGTACCGGGTCCAATTACAGAATAATGACTGTTTGGAGAAAATGAAATATTTGTATACAGAAATATAAGAAAATCTAATCTCTGCAAATTATTTTGTTATTTCGGATTGTCCCTAGCTTTGCCATTATTTATCTTATAAAATCATTTGTCAATAAGTATTGGAAATAAATATCAAAAAATCTGTCAATGTCAATCAATACAATAAAATCTGGTTTTGTTTTATATTCATATGTATGTATGTATGTATGTTCATTTAAAATAACCCTTGTTCACCTTTCTGTTGAGGATCGATGTTTGTCATCATTTTTATTTCATTTTTTATTAAAGTTCCCAGAATTAAATAAGCGAATAGGTCAAAACCAGAATTTGATAACATCCATATACAATTCTTATAAACATACAAATATGCAAATATATGTATGTAAATAAGTATTTTGCATTTTTGTTCGAAGCTTAATCTGTTTGTTGGCTCTTAGGCATAGAAAAACAGCGTAAAACGTTAATGGAAACTAAAGAATAATTAAAAAGAAAGTTTATAAATAATCGCCTTTACTCATACGAAATAGATTTTGTCAAAGCTACATATAAATATATTCCTATGTTTGTTCCAAACGTCTCAATAGAACTTGTTTTCGTGTGTGTTCCTTGAACTTTTCGTTTATTTCGAACTCGGCTCATGCTTGATTACCATTTCTCTTATTAAAATGTTTTATATCATTAACTCGTTTTAAAATTCATTTATTTTAGAGTGTTTTTATTTTCATTTTTGGTAGGAAGAATATCAAAAAGCTATAACATCGTAGTAAAATGTAATAAAATACAAAAATTTTGCATAAATAAAATATAATCAAATAAAATTTAAGACAAAAAAAAAAAACAAAATTATGTGAAAAAATATAAAATAAACTAAAATAAAATAAAATAAAGTTAAAAAAAATAATATTATATAAATTAAAATTAAATAAACTTAAGTTAATTTTAATGAAATTTAACTAAATAAAATAAAACAAAAAAAATAAAATAAAATAAATTAAATAACGTAATTTAAAAATTATAATTAAAAATACAAAAATAAAAGTAAATTAAAATAAACTGAATAAAATAAAATAAACAAATATAAAAAAACAATATAAGCTAATTAAAATAAAATATAATAACATATTAAAAAAAATAATACAAGCAAAATGAAAATAATATCAAAAGCAGAATAAAATAAGGTAAGATAAAGAAATAAAAATTAAACTTAATTAAATTAATTTAAATTAAATCAAAACCAAATAAAATAAAAAGAAATAAAAAAATAAAAAAATATAAATAAAAAAAATATAATAAAGAAAAATAAAGAGAATGAAATAAAATTAATTTAAATTATATAACACAACATAACATAAAAAATAAAATTAGAATAAATTGAACTAAAAGAATTAGATTTTAATAATATGAAATAATATTAATACCTTATAATCTTAAACTTGAACAATTAAATAAAAACAAATGAAACAAAAAAATGAAAATCAAAGAATGTAATTTAAAAATATAAAATAATAAAACTTAAAAAAATCAATTAGGAAAATAAAATAAAACTGAATAAATTAAATAAAACTTTAAAGAAAATAGAACAAAAAAAAAAAAAAACGTTATCTTAACAAAATATAAAAATATAATAATATAATATACAATATATAAACATAATGTTAATTAAAAAATTAAATTGCTGCAACAAAATTATATGAACTTGAGGCAGATAATAATTTTATTGCATTCACAGTAAATCCATTATCGTTATAATTTATTTTTTTTGTAAAAATTACAAAATTTTCATATTATTAAATTGAACTTGAATTTTTATTATATTCAAGAAGCAGTGAATTTATAAAATTATATATTATATAATTGCTTTATCAGCAACTGTCCATTAGTTGCAAAGGTAATTACTGCCATATGGAGATTTTTGCTAATTAATAATATAAATATAAAATAAAGTACTAATTATTTAAGTAAAATAACATATATTTGTAATTATTAAATTAGTTTTTCTAACTTTTTAATTTACATTTTATTTAGTTCCCTTTTTCGATGAAATAGCTAATAAACAAACAACCGAGTAATGAAATTTGAATTAAATATAATTTTATACGTAATTCAGATGCTGCTCGAACATGGGTAACAAACGCAAAACCAGCAGATACAGCTACTGATAATTATAGCAGAAGGTCCCAATGAGAAAAAAATTAAAATATCTTTATTGATTTATTGTTATTATTTGTAGTTTTATTAAAAAATCATGTTATTATAAAGCATCATGCAAAAATTTGTTTTTCCGATTGGTTTTTAAAATAGAAAATAAAAATTATATTTTTCTTGCAAAATCTCATTTTTATTACTTTGTGGAGATTTAAAACAATATATGCGTATATTTTTTCAAAATTAGTCTCGGTAAATAAGAGACTTCAATTATATGCTTAATCTGAAATCTAAGACTTTAACTTAGTTTATTACTTAATTACTGTAAACAGAAGCTCATTTTTCCAGCAGGGCGCTAACAAATATCTCCATAATAAACCGCAAATATTTGTGTCTAAATCTGGCATACGTCCATACAATTAAAGCATATACGGTTTCATGTTCACTTGTTAATAAACAGTTTTGTACTACGTGTGCGGTTGGCGATAATGAGAGGGAATTCCCAGCGCACAAAACATAACAATTATTTATTCCAAGATTTGTTTTTTTTTTTTTGTAATAATTGTCATTGAATGACGTCACTAACGTGCAAATCGTGTAAATTATGAAGAATCTAAAATTTCTAATGAACAAGGCAAGGCTAATGTCATAATTTGTAATTATTTCTTAGTTCTTGCCATAGGCGTAGTTGAAAGCGCCAGAAAGTAAAGAATTTCACACTTAACTTATTTACACGCTCAGCAAAATATATAAAAATTCTTAATAAGCGATTGTTTTTAGGGAGAACTCGGACGTACGTAAATAAGTCGAATAAATGTTATAAATCATGGGAGCTCCACAGGGATAATAGATTTTTTACAGCAAAATGAAGTATTTCCCATATCACCAAAACCATTAAAGAGCCCACAATGCCCTGTTTATCGGAACTGGTTTAGTTAAAAATAATATAAATTGTATTATCACCCGCAAAAAATATATATTTACATACATATATAAGTGTATGTATAGATGACTACTCACCCAGTTGCGCGCACCAAAGCAAAGATCTGTAAAAATGTAAACGCCGCAATGACCAGCGGTCGCGACATCCTGCTATCGTCTTGCTGCGTTTGTTTGTTTTTATTTTAAATTAAATACTTCTTTCTTTTCTCTTATTTATTTGCTTGTATGCTTGTGTATGTACAACTGAAATCCGGTCTAATCGTTTACAAATAATAAATAAATGTAAATATTATCGGTAAAATGCGATTTATACTTGTGGGTGAACAGTAATTTGATTTGTGCCTTTTTTATTCAAGTGTATGTATGTTTGTTTGTTTTTGTGTGTTATTTTTTTCACTGAGCATTGATTTCAGAATATGTACATATATTAAAAAAAAAAAATTATGGTAAGCTATTTTTTATGTTCAGCAATTTATGTTGAGTGAAATTCGCTAATGAACCGTATATTATGTTCAGCATTTATTTATGGCTGGCCATGTATTAAATTTTGTAATTATATATGTCTGGCTATATATTATGTTTAGAAATGGTTTATGTCTGGCTATATATGTATTATGCTCAGAAATGGTTTATGTCTGGCTATATATTATGTTTGTTCCCATGCGGCGGAAACAAAATTTTTTTTGTAATGACCAAAATTTTTTGTCTATGAACACTTTATGTCTATGTTTTATGTTTTGAAATATTAAGCTAATTTCTATATACAGCCTACTGTATATTTGTTAATTTTAAAACAAAATCACATGTCTTATTTACCAGATTTTATTCTTAAAAAAAAATTTAACACTCAGCAATAATTTATGTCCGGCCATATATTATGTTTAGCAATCATTTATGTCCCATCATTTATTATCTTACACAAAGCAATTTTTTTTATTATTTGTTAAGAAATGTTTTGTAATGAGTACATTTTTGAATAGTAACTCTTATTTAGCAGAATTTATTATGGAAACAAATTTAATGTTCAACAATAAATTATTTCCGGCCATATAATACGTTTAGCATTTATATATCATTAGTTATGTTTGACAAAGGAATTTTTTATTTTTTTATTAAATGCTGAGAAAAATTTGGTAATTTTTGGAATTAATAACAACAACATTCTATATATTTCGTCAAGCCATAATTTATGTTCGGATTTAAAAAAAAAAATACATTATGCTCGTAAATGTTAAAAATATTAGATAAAATTTAATATTTTCAAATATATTTTGTCAAATAAAGCAATAAATGACAATGACCTCCGTCTCGTGATTTATTAAACAATTAGAAAATTACATAAAAACGTCACTTAAAAAAATTAAAACAAATTGTAAAAATCTTTGCATATTTACACTAGAAGAGATATATATGTAAGTATGTATGTAATTAAAAATCTGTGCGCTATCACTCTCCCGTTTCCCGCACAATATTAATCAGCTCCTCGTACGAAATTACATACAAATTAATTCCAAAAACAATTCTAGATTTAAATTTTATTGGCAGCACACAAACACAAATCCACAAGCGCAAATCGATTTTGCTAATTAATTAAATAAATAAAAATTTCACTTTGAATAAGCAAATCAAATTTGTGTTTTAGGTTTGCTCAAATCTCCACAAACACTTGTTTTCCCAATTCAAGTTCGAGCTAACGCGGCGAGTCGAGCAAGCGTTCGCGTCAACAGTTGCATTACGAATGGCCAGTGGCTTGAGTGTGAGCAGGGATATGGGCTTTCTGTTTATATTGTGTTTCATTTGATTTTATTCTGCTTTGTTGTTTTAATTGTTTTTTTTTTTTTATGTTGATTTTTTATTGTATTCTCTTTAAAGAGTCTTCCACGAAACAATTTTTTTTTTTATTTGCACTCATATACGATACGTGCATGGTCTATGTTGTGGTTTGTTGTTTCGACTTTTTTGTTTTTATTCATATTTTATTTTTGTTTTTATATTCTCTGCTTTGTTGCTGCTGCTGGCTTGACGTTGCGTATCTTTTAACATGTTTTTGTAATATATTGTACATATGTGTATAGAGCATATGTTGTTTTGTTTTTGTTTTTCTGTCTTCAGCATTTGTATTGATTTTGTTTGATTTGCTTTATTCTATGTTTACATATTAATAACTAAATACGTATGTATGTATGTACGTATATGCAAATACAAAGCGACAGAAACTATTTTTAACTTCGTTGTTTATTTTTTGCCCTTTCTTTACGTATGCTCGCTCGCATACAAACATATGTGTGAATATGTAAAAATATGTATGTACATACTCGTATATACCTTGCTAAGTTGCCGGCAAATTTATCAACAGCTTACTTATATTTATTTATTTTACACGTGCTAAGGTCTGGTTCATACTGTAGCGAGAAGGAACAGTCAAGCCACGACTGACAAGTGAAAACGTTAAGGTGTCGTCAGACGTAACATTTTTTGACGCAATTTATATTGAGTTACCCCATAAAAAACCGGTTTTTTTTTTTTTTTTTTTTTTTTTTTTGAAAAGAAAAAAGTATATTTTTCTAATTTTCCATTTTGTTGGATGAACTTTCTCCATCTTTCCGGCAACATCATTATTCCACGCTAATATAACTTCTGGTTTTTATCTTAAAAAAAAACTGAACCATACGCAGATTTATAGCCTCTTAATTTTCAAAAGTTTTACCATTTAATGAGTTCTGCAAAGTTTGGAACAAATAGTCGTCTGACGGTGCAAGGCCCAGCCAAGCTTTCTCAGTTTTTGGGTCTATCATTGCCCTGTGGGACTATGACACTTTACGATTGACCAATTCAGGCCGTTTCTCGTTGATGGATGTTCTCAATTTGCCCAATTGTTCACAGTAGATATCCGAATTAATCGTCAGATTCCTTGGAAGCAGCTCAAAATATACCACGTCCTTCCAATTCCAGCCTTTGAAGGGGTTTGTGGTGCTTCATCATACTTGGACCATGACGTTATTGTAAACAACAAGTTTTTTATCTGAAAGTATGATTTGCGTCAAAAATGGAATTTGGCAAACCAACCTCGACACTGAGTTTCTTTTAAGGCCTTATCTTCATACAAATTATGCAGTTTTTCAGGGCTCCATATTAAAATTGACGCCACACAAACAAATATAAACAAAATTACGCCTACTTTTTTTTTGAAGCAAGCTAAGAGTGGCAGCTTATAAACCGGCTGTATGAAAAACGGTGGATTTTAGTCTTTCACACATAACGCTTGATAGAAGGTTGTGTGCGACGTTAAGGAGGCTTATTCCTCGGTAATTTGGCGCAGATTGTGCGATCGCCTTTTTTGTGGATTGGGCAAAGCAAACTTAGGTTCCAATCGTCAGGCATGCTTTCATCCGACCATATTTTGCAAAGAAGCTGATGCACGCACCTTATTAGTCCTTCACCACCGTATTGAATAGCTCGGCCGGTAATTGCTTTTCGGACTTCCTCATAGTCGAATAATAGAACAAATTGTCCATCCTCTTCAATTGAAGTTTCGGGTTCACCATCTCCGGTTGTATCCTTTTTACTGCCAATCAGCAGGCTGGAGAAATGTTCACTCTATAAATTCAGTATACTCTGGGCATTCGTCACTAGCTCAACTCCCTGGGCCTACAAGAGTTTACTCCGGTCTTGAAACTCTCCTTAAGTCACCATAATTTTTAGTAGAATTTTCGAGTTTTACACTTCTCGACCAGATTCTCAAGCTCATCATACTCACACATTTCAGCCTTATTAAAAAAAAAACACTTTATCAATTTTTTCAAGATTTTAAGAATATATTATATACATGTTTCAAGAATATACAGTGAAATTTTTGAAAAAAAAAATTAAATACTTTTTAGGTTATAGTCGATCTTCAACGGCGCGAAAAAAAACGTCCTTCACTGAATTCTTCACTGAAAATTCTCGATAAGATAATATTGTCTGTACAATGACCTACGATAAAAAAATCAAAAATTGACAATATGGTGGCGTTTGAAAAAAATAGTCGAATTTCACCCAAAATTTTGGTCGCTTTTGACCTGCCAAAATTCGATTTTTTGATGAGATCAAAAACCGATAGGTCATTGTACGGAGAACTATATATAGAACATGTAAAAAAAAATTCGATAGTGATCGAATCATTTGTTTTCGAGTAATCACTGCAGTAAATTCGGAAAATTCTGTTTCGAGAAAAACGCGTTTAAAGATAAAATGATCGTTTTCACTCGTAGCTAATGAGACTCTCCAGCTGCCGAGCGGCTGCTCCTTAAATTGCTATAACCAAAAAACTATTTGAGTTATCGATTTGAAATTTTAATATGTTATTTTTAAATGTGTATTCTACCGAAATATGAAAAAGATCGATTTTTTTTGGAAATTTCACACTAGGTGTGCCCTTTAAAATGCCATTATCTAAAATATTTTACCATTTGATTTTATTCAGATTGGAGTCAACATTTTAAGCAAAAAACGAGGTGAAACTCTCAGATTCTTATAAGAGCTAAGAATTCAATACGAATGATGCGGAAATTCGAGATTTGACGTCTACTTCTGTTCATGAAAGTCTTGTCGGAAATTTAGTGTTGCATAGTGTAAGTAGTGCTTGTTGAAGCAACGATAAAACTAGATGATTCGTAGCTTACTTCACAGTATCTTCGGTAGATCGTTGGTAATAACTTTTATATCGAGGATTAATCAACATCCCGATGTTGCAGATTTGAGGTTAAATCCAAGACTGCAACGGCAAGCGCAATCAAACTACCTATCTCTTATCAAAGATAATCTCATGAAGCCGAAGTTCTCCCAACCACTTTTTTCTTATTTGTATTTATACGTGCGCCCAGAATGCATTTTTTTTCCACAAACACTGTTATCTTCAATCAATAGGATTTGCAACTACTTGAACTAATTATTTTGAAATCAGTCATCTTATCGGCAACTTATCGAAAACTATAAATTGTTTGATTAGATCGCGCTACGGGACGCAGTAGTTAATTATTTAAGCATTTTAAATACTTCAGCAGCACTTAGTTAAGCTTTAACTTTAACTGCCGTAGGGTAGAAAATGAAAGCCTTCGTAATTGTTTTGGCTTCCTTAGCCACGCTTCTGGCCGTTGGCGGTGCGTCGAAAGTGCGTTATGATAACTTCAAAGTGTTTAAAATTCGAACAAAAAGCGTTGAACAACAGAAATGGATTGAGAAGTTGGCAAGTGATTCGAAGAACGTAAGTACAAGAAGTTGGAAAAAATAAATTATGTTAAAAAAACAATAAAATTTTTTTAATAAATAATGGCACTGGTGGAACTACTTATTTCAAATTACATATGTATTAGGGCCACCTAACAACAACATGTCAATGAGAAAATAAGTACGCATCAGATTTTACTGCGACAACAAAATAATTATTTTCCGAAAAAAAGTACAAAAATTGCAATGAAATTTGGATTTTTGTATGTCCCTTCAAAGTCTCCAACAGTAAACTACTAACATTCCTGGACTTTATTTTTTCTTGATAACACTTTTTCATTAAGGAAATGTCCTAGCGAAACATATCGTTTTGTTCCTCACTTAAAGCAACCAAGTTTGATGGAGAGTATTGCGAAAGAGAGTCTGGTATATGTAATTTCAACGACACGTTAACACTTTATTATAAGTTCGTTGCAGATGTTTGGTTTCCAACAAAGTTCTGAACAATATTCATAAAACACTCCGAGCCAAGTTTTTCTGGTCATTCAGTTATCTCTGAAAGGCCTCATCTTGTAGGAATTACAAATATTCTCACGAGAATTCTCCTTTAAATATGCCGTGCTGACCCGGCCTTTCTGACCCCAAATCGGGGTTTTGGCGCAACCAGATCAACACTGTATAGGATGAATCATTTAACCGCAGACAAGTTTTGGAAGTTTATAGTGGCTACCTTTTGTTTGAGTCCATCAAGAGTAGCAACGCCCAGGTGTGTTCTTTGTTACTTTGTTGTTAGGAGAAGTATTATCTTAAGTCCTTATACCGGTTTTATGTGGAACGCAAGATTTGTATTGATTCCTCATACGAATTCGAAAATAATCCAAGCACCAAAGTTCAATTAATGATCTGACGATTTGACGCTGAGAGTTAAAAGTTGATTTTGGTATCACAAGAAAGACTGGGTGAAATTGGAGCAAAACAATTGTGAAGTTTTGATGATATAAAAAAAAATCCTCTAGAAGTTCGTGTAGCAAAAACAGGGTTGACCAGTGTAATTTGGTTCAATATTAAATACCAAATTTTTGGCAAAAAGTTGGGAAATACAACAATTAAATTTTATTAAAAACTGATAAGCTTCTTCATTTTTCAGTTCAATTTATGGCACAGCGGCAATAAAGAGGTACACATCATGGTCAATCCACAAAAACTTATAAATTTACAAAACTACACACGTTCCTACAGTTTGCCTATGGAGGTAATGGTTTCCAATGTTCAAAGGTAAGGTGTAGCCGATTAATGAAGTTCATACATTATAATTAAATTTGAATCCCACCCTGTTTAAAAACAAGCCTTATTGATGGCGAGCAAAGTACGCGCTCAACTGACGATACCAGCTCCTTTGGTTGGACTCGCTATTATCCACTCTCCGCAATCGAGGCTTTCTTAGACGATATACTTGCCAAATATCCCAGCGTTACTAGTGCCATAGATATTGGCACATCTTACGAAGGACGCAAGATTCGTGGTATTAAAATCTCCTACAAAGAAGGCAATCCCGGCATTTTCATTGAGTCCAACATACACGCACGTGAATGGATTACCTCGGCTACGGCGACTTGGTTAATCAATGAGCTGCTCACTTCTACGGATGAGAAAGTACGCAATTTGGCTGAGAACCATGATTGGTATATAGTGCCGGTCTTAAATGTGGACGGTTTTGCCTACACCCACACAACGGATCGCATGTGGCGCAAGACACGCCAACCTGTTGACGGCTCTGATTGCATTGGCGCCGATCCGAATCGCAATTATGACTCACATTGGATGGAGAATGGTGGCGCCTCCTCAAATCCCTGCGATGAGACTTATGCCGGCTCGCAACCTTTCTCTGAGCCAGAGGTTAAAGCACTTGCTGATTATGTTGCCAGCATTAAGGATCGTCTCAATATTATGCTCGCTTTTCATTCGTACAGTCAGGTGTTGCTTACGCCGTATGGTTGGACAAAGGATCCGCCAGAAAATAATGATGATTTAATTGCGGTCGCAAAGGCATATTCAGATGCAGTTTTTGAATTACCTTATCAAACTAAATATACTTATGGCGCAACTGCGGATGTGATGTGTAAGTTTCGTAGAATTAAAATTGCTTAGAGTTTATAAACATATGTGTTTAATTTTTTTATATATTTATTATAGATTTTGCTTCTGGCGCTTGCAATGATTGGGCTTACAGTGAGCAAAACATTTCACTCTCCTATACAATCGAATTCCGTGATACTGGCCGATATGGTTTTATTCTGCCTCCAATACAAATTTTGCCACACTGCGAGGACACACTCACCGGTTTGTTGGCTCTGGTGGGAAAGGCCGATGAATTGGGTTATCTGGCGCTCAAATATTAAAAAATGTAAAAAAAAAATATATAAAGTCAAATCAATAAAGACATTCAAATCGAAGCATTGGACTAGGATATTAATAGTAATGATAAAAACGAAGAAAAAGAGGAGCGCACTCTTTACGTAAATTCTCAAAAGCCTTATCATATAAATGGTTTCCCAATAAGAGATGTTATTTTGATAGTCAAATAAGTATTTCCCTTAAAAAATCAATAGTTTTACTGCTTGTGTGGCACGTATCATGATGAAAGTAGCCATTGTCCATATCAAAACCAGGCAATTCCGGTCCGGTCCATTCATTTTCGAAAAGTAAGTTCCAATGACCCTGCCACACCATAAACCGCACCAAGCAATTACACGTTGAGGACAGAGAGACCTTTCAGCAATAAATCTTGGCGTTTCCGGGTTCCGATGCGACAGTTTTGCTTATTGACGTAGCCATCGAGGTGAAAATCAGCCTCATCAGTCAAAATGATTTTTCGATGAAGTTTCTATAGTGAATTTGATTAATTTCAATGCATTGTTGAGACGTGTTTCGTTTCATTTTTTTTATTACTGACGTAGTTTTTACTTGTCAAATGTCAAAATATTACAGCTTCAGGAGCGACAAAGCACTTCTTATTGGAAGACCCTATATCTAAGCCAACTTTCTGCCTGAGATTTTCACTTATAGCTAATGAAAGTGGATTTGTAGCTGCTTTAAGTTTTTCTCTGTACCAAAAATATGATATTTTTCCGAAATAGATATATCTCAGGTACATTTCTCGGCAAGAAAAATTTAAATAAATCAAGTTACAAATTTTATTTTTCGATTAGATCGATCAGCAGTTCACTATGAAGAACTGACAGCTAGCAAGTTCCATATTTCATTATGAGTTCTTTTCTTTAGGTCAAAGCCTACCCAAGACGGCTGGAATGGGTTAAGAAATACAATATGCCTACCGCCCAAATAACATACCTTAAATTTTTGGGTGATCTGAAACCCTTACCAACAGAATTGCTTTCATATCTCCGGAAGTATATATGATAAATACTAAATACTCAAATACTCAAGTTTAATGGACAGCTGGACGAAAAAGATGACCCTTTACCAAAAGTTTCTGATTACGAGTTGCGAAATTTTAAATCCGTTCAAGCGAAATACTTTGTGGTGCTGCTGACTATAATAAATTATTATTTTACAACCTTAATTCCATAGCTCAAGATAACCATGTGATAATCAAATAATATGTTTTTTTGATAACCAAATAGAGCTAGATTATGGTCAGTCCGAAATTTTACAAACTACATTCGAATTCAGTCGATCGAAGTGTACTTGTAAGCCCGTAAGCCGCCCAAAACGAACACAATGCGTGGTGAGCTAATTTGTGGTTTTCTCTCCATCTTCTTGGTGGTGGCAAGTGCATCATCGAAACTACGCTATGATAATTTTAAAGTTTTCAAAATTAAAACCAAAAATACGCAACAACGACAGATGATTGAGAAATTGGCTGAAAATACAAAAAATGTAAGTTGAAAGCAAATTGGAGAGTCAGGTAATTTAGAAACTCTACAAATAAAGAAAACTCATTCTACAAAAGGGAGGGGCTTAAATACCATATTATAACTTGACGCACATACGTAAAATTCTATATATTCTCAACATTTGATTTGTGTTAACCAAAACATAATAACGTTACTTTTTTCGAAAGTTTTTCATTCTATATATAAGGTGTTTTGCAGACATGTGGTTTTCAAGAAAAAATAAAGCGCATAATAATAAAAATATTATTAGCCATTACGTTTTAAAAATTATTTGAGTAAGTGACCAAATTTCAAACCGAGAGACACAATTTGCGACTATACATTTTTGAAGATATATGTGTCTGGCAATCCCTCTGACCAAAATCGCTTCAGCAGCTACCTAGCGCCAATTGTATAAAACCAGCATATCAATATCGACTTGTGAACAATTTCATTTATTAATCTACTTACCCATTCAACACAAAGTGAGCTTCACTCTGAACAAAATTTTCTTGTGAAAATCGTTTTACCCTCATTCACAAACGAGCGTCGCTCCTGATGGTCGTTCAACTGAATTTCTACTGTTGTTAGAATATATAAGCTCGTAAACCAAGACTCTTCCGCCAAATCTTCCATAAAGTGTATAGGCAAAGTTCTTGCACGCGATGGTGGATGAGCTCATGTGGGTCTTCTTCGATGCTCGGCTCCACGGAGTCAATAGCGTTTTCGTTGCGCACGAATACAGCGTTGTTCGCAGTCACTTCGTAAAAAGCCATCTTCATGATTATGGTGCTCACGAAAAAATTCCTAATGAAGTGTTCCCTCATATTTAGTTCCATCACATATATTATGTGTATCGAAGCTCAGCTTTGGCTTAATGGGTGAGCATCATTGGACCGTATTCAAAGTTGATGCAAATCGTAATATAAATATAAATGCAAGAGCTTCACTTGGATGCCAAGTGAATATTTTATTTCACGTTCGGGACCGGTCAATTGGCCTTGATCATGCGAATTAACGCCCTTAGACCATTTTTCGTGAGGCTTCAATTAAAGCATTGGGGGACAACATTGCAGCATTTATTCGTGAGATACCGGCCGAAAAGTTGGAAGGAGTATACTAAAATTGGACCAAGTGGATGGATCGTTTAAGGCGCAATCACGTTCAAGATTTACATGAAATGATCTTCAAACATGGAGCTTAAAAATTAAAATATCATGCATTTTTTGAGAATTTTATGTGTTTCTTTTTTTTTTTTTTGAAAAACTTTCGTATAGCTCTTAAAAAATCACCCTTCATTGGTCCGATCGGGTTCCGCTAGATGGCGTTAGAAAGACGACATTTCGTACTCAAATAATTTTTCAGACAGTTTTGTATTTGCTTAATTCAGTTTAAATTTGATGTAAGAGCTGCTTCACGGGGTGGAAGGCCAATTGTCGAAAATGTGGATAATATTATGGAAATTGTAGAGCCCGACCGTGATGTAAGAACTGTTTCGCTTGTCGAAGAACTAAAGATTGCCCAAAGAACCCTTTGCAACCATTCGAATAAGGCTGAATACGAAAAGTAAAAATTGAAACCTGAACTTGCTGAATGGCATTACATCAATAGTGTTACCAGACGCACTAATTGCGACTAAGTTGCACTGCCACACACTTTATTGTGTTCCTAGTTCCAAGCACATTGCTTCCCTTCTAGGGGTAGTAAAAAAAAAATTAATGCATGAAATTTCAACTTCGATTGAATTTGTCTTCTACTGCTTCACCATTTCTCGAGTAACATATAAGTGACATAAGCCTGATAGAAGGTATCTGTTGTTGATATCTGGCCGAGTTCCTTCTCCGATTTGTGGTATGCATATTGGAGGGACGTACAGTTTATACTAAGTAACCTCCAAACGGCTGATGGTTTTTATATCAGAAATAAACTCGGACGGCTTGGTTTTCAATGATCATCAGAAATCACTAAGAATGGCAGGGCCTTTCAGTTAAACACAAATTTAATGAGGCATTTAATTTGTAATTAAGGAAATGAGTAGAATTGAAATTTTTGTAATTTCTTTAAACTCTCCTTACTTTAGGAATTTTTCTTATCAGTCACGTTCCCATAATAATAATTTATTTTGCATTTAGTTCAATTTATGGCACAGCGACGATAAAGAAGTTCATATTATGGTTAATCCAGAAAAGCTCATATATCTACAAAACATAACACGCTCCTATCGGCTACCCTTTGAAGTAATGGTCTCAAATGTACAAAGGTTGGTACGCAGAATGCCTAATGAAATAATTTACAAATATACATTTACACATATTTCAAAATTCAAAAATCTAGGAAAATGTACATATTCCCATTATTAATGAACATTTTTTAGTCTCATTGATGCTGAGGAGCCTACGCGCACCACCGATGATAGCAGCTCGTTTGGTTGGACCCGCTATTATCCACTTTCGGCCATCGAGACATACTTGGACCAAGTACTCACTGAGTTTCCCGCAGTTACCACGCATATAGACATCGGCACATCTTACGAGGGACGTAAGATTCGTGGCATAAAAATCTCCTATAAAGAGGGCAACCCCGGCATTTTCATTGAGTCCAACATACACGCACGTGAATGGATCACATCGGCCACGGCTACTTGGTTCATCAATCAGTTACTCACATCCGAAGATGCTAATGTACGCAGCTTGGCTGAAAGTTATGATTGGTATATAGTGCCGGTTTTGAATGTGGATGGTTTCGTTTATACTCATGAAACGGTTGGTGGACTTGAAAACATTTGAGTTAAAGCTAAAATAAGCCTTATAATTACTTACTGTGTGTCTCATGATTGGTTTGTTTCTTTCTTTTTACGTTCAGGATCGCATGTGGCGTAAGACACGCCAACCAGTCGAGGGTTCGCCCTGCATTGGCGCCGATCCCAATCGCAACAGCGACTCACATTGGATGGAGAATGGTGGTGCTTCCGACAATCCATGCAGCGAAACATTTGCCGGCACACATCCCTTTTCGGAGCCAGAGATTAAGGCACTAGCTGATTACATAGCCAGTATTAAGGATCGCCTTAATATTATGCTCGCTTTTCATTCGTATAGCCAGGTATTACTTTCACCATACGGACATACAAGTGAGCTTGCCGATAATCATGACGATTTGATGGCTGTGGCAAAAGCTTACTCTGATGCTGTGAAGGAGTTGCCTTACGGCACGGAATATACTTATGGTACATCAGCGACATCTATGTGTAAGTAATAAATGTAATAATTGAACATAATTTGAAATTACTTTTACTTCTTACAGATTACACTTCCGGCTCGACCAGGGACTGGGTCTACAATGAACAGGGCATTCGTATCTCTTACACTATTGAATTTCGTGATACCGGCAGATACGGTTTCATCTTACCGCCAATACAAATAATACCACATTGCGAAGACACGCTCGCTGGTATATTGGCATTGGTGAACAAGGCCAAAGAGTTAAATTATCTGGAGCCTAAATACTCTATCTGAATATAATCACTCAAATATTTTTGAAATAGTTAAAAAAAAATTAAATTCAATATTCCCAATGGCCTGTCTTCTAGTCTAATTTTCTTGGTTTTCAAATATTCCTATTTCCAAAGAAAACTACGAACCCTTTGGCGTAGAAGGGATCAGGGATACTTTAACTGAGTTTCCTGTCAGGCTTGTAGCTTTTCTAACTTTGTTTCGCTTTCCTGAGGCATCCATGTCGATATAGTGTAGGAGTTATAGGTACAGGATATCGAGTCCTTGATTTTATTTGTTAAAACAACAAATGCTCCGTCAGCATCTGGAAGAACCTCTCCGAAACTTTCCATAGCAAATAAGGTCGCAGTGAATTCTTATCGTGTGAATGCTTCAATCTAGAACTGAAGATAGAAAGCAAAATCCCTTATAAAAGTATACAACTACTGGCGTAGGCCACTAATATTGACATCATTTGGCCTCAATAACTGCGCCATGAGTTCCGCTTTCTCCAGATGCGATAAGCAGGCGGAGCCATCTCATGCCATCAATCAAACTGTCTTCACATTCGTGACTCGGCTATCTTGTCACTGTTGACAGTCAGTACTTTGAGATCGTAGATAAATTCGTCTATCTTGGAACCAGTACTAACACCAACAACATTGTCAGCCTCTAAATCCAACGCAAAATTATTCTTGCCGGCAGGTGCAGTTCAGAGCAACAGTAGGCAATTGAAGTCGATGAGTCAACTCTAAAGGTCACTAACCACTCCCATCTTGCTTTAAGGTAAGGAGCATGCACGATATCGACATCCGATGAGTCGGCCTTGGGTGTGTTTTAGAGAAAGTTTGGTGATAGGTTGATGAAGAGCTGTATGAGTTATATGGCAGTAGTGATAAAGTTCAGCATATAAAGACACCTCGGCTACGCTGGCTAGGTCATATCGTCTGAATAGATAAAAGCTGTTAAAAGCAGGGAAAAATCAACGTCTTCAGTTGGAAACGACTTGATTTCACTTTGGTATTTCCAATCGACGCCAAATAGAGAAAAGAAGCAACAAATGGTGCGCTACTACTGATTCGGCTATAATCGTGTAAGTGGCGCCTAGGTCAGGGAAAAAGCATATGATAACGACTACCATACGCGCTACCGCACGCTTATATGAAATGAGGAACAGCTTGTGAGATCAGAGAAATACTTTGCAGAGCTTTAGAAAGCTTCGAAATAAACAATTTAAGAGTAGGCAGACTGCGAAGAATATTTGCCACTCAAATACTATTAAGGATATGTTGCGTATAACCACAGAATTTTGAAAACCCCCTTGCAAGGATATTCTTTTTTATTATTTCTCTTTAAAATATTTCACATACGAAGAAAACAAATCGTCTATTTTGTGACCTTGCAGCGTGGTGCAAGGCAGTTTCGATGCACCGAACATATTACCAAAGCGTTTGAGAAAATATGTATTCCTCGAACTCTAGAAACTTAAGTCGGCATAGGCATGTGATTGCAAAATGTCCTAGAACTTTTTTTTTCAATTATTAGATTAATATAAAAAAAATTCAACACCACTCACCTTTGTTCCGGGATGAATAATATGAAACCCGTTTTTATTAATAGCAATCAGTATGGTCTCCGGCAAGTTTTTATCTCCACCGCTCTGCATTACCGAAAAGAATGTCGAACTGAACATCGGTTGCTCGGCTAAAAGTCTCAGGAAAAGCAACCTCGCCGTACTTTTATTCACATTTTCCTCCAATAGCACGCTCGCATATTGTATAACAAGTGTTCGTCATTCGTTTACTCCCAAGTTCACTCTAAGATCATCTGGCACTAATTGAGGTAGTATATCGGTTACACTTTTTAAGAATTTGATATTCGCGCCAAAACCAACTATGTATATTAAACCAGCCAATTTCACTACCAACTCTTTATACACCCTATAGTAGCCGCTCAAATATTTAAGCACCTCTTGTGGATAATGGAAAATCATATCGGCACTCATATCCCAGACGGGCACGACATTCAATCAAAGCTTTTTCATGAAATGCAATTAGTATTTGAAGTGGAACTGCGTCATGGAGCGCTTGGCTGAATTAAGTTTAAACGACTTTTCCAAGTCTTTAGTGAAATCGAATATAAATTCATTATCGGTCATGGCAAATACTTTCTCGCCAATTATGGCGAACAGTGCGTAGCCATCGTGAGATTTAAGCTTAAAGCGCTTAGCGACATCTTGCGTGATATGGTGAGCGCGTGTGAATGATTCAAGCTCAAAAGCTTCAATACTGCAGTCGGGAAAATAGATCTATTATAGGTGAGAGTGAGAAAGGAAGAGAGGAAGAGAGAGAGAGAGAGAGAGAATAATATAATCTTTTGAAATAATCCGTATAAGTAATGCACTAACCTTGTGATAAATATAGTTTTCGGTGGTAAAGGTAACTTCAACCGATAAAGAAAATACAAAGCTTCTTCGCTAAGAGTTTTCGGTGGTAAAAGTAACTTCAACCGATAAAGAAAATACAAAGCTTCTTCGCTAAGAGTTTTCGGTGTGTAAAAGTAACTTCAACCGATAAAGAAAATACAAAGCTTCTTCGCTAAGCTTACTTCTGAACTGCTTCTGTTTACTTTATTAACATCTTATTTATTCCTAAATCCTATGAAATAAGATACGCTTATATATACTTTCCATGGAATAAGACATGCTCTTATGCATTTATTTGCTTGCTTGCATAAATTCTATGAAATACGCTCATGTACTTTTGTTTATTTTTATTATCGCGAGGAATATATGTACATATGTTAATTATATTCCTCAGCGATTCTAAAAAATTTGACGGCTAACGTTAATATGATATGTCAATATGTGACTATATGCATGAAA